TCCAGAAAAATAACAGGCTAAAGGCTTTGGACCGAGCCACATTATCAAATATTCTATATACTAGCGTAATAAATTCGTTAATCGGAATTTCTCCGATATTTTATATACTGTATGCTTTGTCCTAAGTCAAGGCGAAGCATATAGACAGTAAGAGGAAGGTCTATTTAAATTTTAAACTAAAGTAAAATACAAAATCGGGCTCAGTTTGTAGCAACATTTTGACATATACATAGGCCTATGCAATGGAAAATTTCTTCTTGTCTTAACTATTTTGTAAAAAATCTTCAAAAGTGGCAGTGGAGATGCCCGTAACGAGTCGGAACATATTTATGCTTCCATTAATCAATTTTATTTTGGTATCTATGCAACAAAAGAAAAATACAATAAACAACGGACGATAAAAATGCCGAGGACAGGCATAACTTAAAAACAAAGTTAAAAGACGTACAGGTACGCGCCCGTCCACCAAAAACAGTTAAAGAACGTAATAAAATCGGGCAATGACTTCTGAATGCAGAACAATGAAAGCTTCAGCAAACTGTGCGGGTCGAAACGATAGGAATACGCTCGCCACCGCACCTTTAATTACTCTGCGTGGGTTCGCAGGTTCGAATCCCATGCAGGGATGGTTATGTGCGAGAGGATTGCTGGACTCCTCGCCGTCGTTGGGTGGTTCACGTAACCGCTGGTCGGTTACGGCTTCCTCCACCACCAAGTCCATGCTTCCGAAAACAAACAATATAACTAATCCCATACCCGACTTGGAATGGTAACCGGACGAGAGGCCGTGGTTCGCCATATGGATAAGCCGTCTTATCGGCTTTCCTCTCCCATGGGATAAATATGTAAATCCTATCCTAGTGTACATGACTCCACCAAACTGTGCGACTTTACAGACCAAATTTATCTGATTTCAGCAATTTTTTTGAAATCGTCATGAAAATTCACTAGTCAACTAAAAAAACGCTGTTGTTGGACACGTCAGTGGACATGACGATCGTTTTGCATTTTATGCTGGCACTCTTTTTAAGAATTTTAACGATTACAAAAAACGCTTTTCTCTTTGATTACTGAACCAACTGCTTTGGAATTTTCATTGGTTAAAGATTGATTTTTTCACCAGAAGGCTATTACTTTTATTTATTTCAAAAATTTCTGTTAACTAGAGATTTGTTTTTTATGTGTCAGAATAATAAAATAGCGGTACTTTGTGACGTGTCCATATATTTGAGCATAGCTTACTTGTTCCACATCAGAAACTCACCTGAAGTCTAAGAATTACCGACTTTTATACTGCTCAACAGAGCGTGACGACTGCTGCCAGAACCACTGTTTGGGAGAACGCTGCGATTTTGCTTTGTATTTGCATGTGGTTGGGCGGTAAATGATCCGCGAAATGCTGCACTAAAGTAGGTTTTTCGTAATATTTTAGTGTTTTAAGGTACACGATGGGCTAGTTTAACACGATATCCAGTCCTCTGACGGTACTGCAGTACTGGTACGGGTGCACCACTACCAGGTTCGATACCGTATCGGTACTCAACTCAACCGACAAATAGACGATGGTACTGTACATGCAACTTAACAAAAGTTGGTCAGTATTAAATTTATATTATTAAAAAGACTGTTGAAGCAACATTTACACACAGAAAGCTTTTCGGAGCAGGTATATAGCAACCCCGTGAAGTTTGTAATGGCGTGGTTAGACGAGCGTTCCCTCAAAATATGTTGCTGGCAGCATCGGTCAAAGGTCATGAAAGTTGGTAATTGTTTGGTCTGGTCCGCCCATATGCTCATCATGTCCGCCCATCCATAAATGCAGGATAACATTATATTTATTTCATTTTGTTTTTGTGGCAATAAATCTCACTCTCTATCTCTTTCATTTATGTGAATGTATGTGCATTTTGATTTTGGATATACGGAAAGATGAATAAATAGCATTCTGAAGCTTATATATAAATAGCATTCTAAAGCGCATATTTGTAACCCAGTTTGTAACATGCAAATTGCAAAGCTCTGTCCTGATGACCCCCAAAGGTCGTATCTTTGCCCCCCAGTCATATATCGAAAACTATTTTTTTGATATTCGTTTATGTGTGCATAAATTGTTTTCTTGGTTTGGCAAAATGAAATAAACTCTCTCTCTCTCTGTCTCTCTCTATTTCACAACACAAGGAGCGCAATAGAGCTATATCATCAAATAGAAACTTATGGGCGACAGGAAGTGACGTCCAAAAACGTGACAAACGCAAACAGAGAAAGCTGGTGTGTGGCGCAATCTGTTGCGTTTCGTTCTTTTTATCCAGGTTAATCCGTGTTACAGAAAGAAATTTTGTTATGAGCTTTATAAAATTCAAATACAGGATGTTCGAGGTAGAGGATATAACGGTACCATTTAAATGCGTTGCTTTAGCTGTTTTCGACAATCTGTTATAACCTGGTACCGTAGCCAGCGTAATAATACGGTACCGTTACGAAAATTAAAAAAAAAAAACAGTTACAGATTGTGATGCTTTATTTCCTGTCGGAATTAGCTCAGCTCAGAGCATTAGGCCTAAACGGTTATTCCAGTATGTTATACCCTTACGACGGCGTTTAAAAACGTATTGATTTTAGGGATTGGTCCATTTCAGTATTCAGGTACCGGTAACGTTACCGTATTTCCATAATTATGAAAATTTCAGAATTCAAGCTAAGTTTGAAAATACTGAAGTACTGGTACCGGTACCGTTGCTTGGCTAAAGCATAAAACCAATGATATGTTTGACTAACTTGAATTTATTGCAGTATAGATTATAGCTATAGTCTGACGGTACTGAATTATGTTTGTTTGACTAGGTCAGTCCATGGGTTCCTGGGTTCAGAAACTAAATGACACAGGATCAATGTTTTTCAGAATTATGGCTGCATCAAAACGATAAGACGTATGGTCACGGCGTTTCGTGGTATAGAAACTGGTTCCCCAACATTTTAACAAAACATCAAGTTACAAACTAATCTCTCAATCTACAGATCTATTGCAAATCAATTAAACAATACCGGTACTGAAGTAGACTGATCATGGCGAATGATGTTTTTAATAAGATGGATGAATTTCAACAAAGTTTATTAATATTTGAATACATTTTAATCAGTTACCGTAAAAGTGTCTAACTTTATATGTCTAACCTATATAATTATTATAGGTGGTGCTGTTAGATGTACACCTATTCTCAATTTTTTTAATGTTACATAATAATTTTTTCGTCAAAAGTTGATTCGCTCAATTCCGAGACGACATCACACTGAGTTGCGGAAATGAATTTTGACGACTGACATAATGGCGCCAAATTGACATTTTTCGTTTAGACAAAGACGGCTTTCCAATGTAGTATTTTTGTATTTTGTTCGATCCATGTGTGAATATATGCCAAAATCACATTAATGAGAATATGTTAATCGACGGCGTCCAAAATCGGATAACTTATAAAAACAGAAAAACTAGAAAAATTCCAACGTCCATATTGCACTGTATACTAATTTCACAATTATTCGTTTAATTGAAATCAAAATGGCAGTTATTGAATACAGCCTGGGTAAATTTTCTTCACTCAAAGTGAAAAATTGATTTAATTTTTAACATAAATCCAGAGACATATCTCAAAGTTAACAAGATGAAGTTGAAGATTAAACTTTACAATTGGGTTCGACGTGTGTGATATAAATTTATCACTAATAAAGATAACAGCGTAACATCAACAAAGCTATTCGTTGAGAATATTAATATTTCAAAGACTTACAATACAAGCCTGTTGAGACGTGACTACGTCACCCGCATCAGGAGCCTTTTTCTCTTTGTGCGTCGCGGTTACGCAGTGAGGAAAATGACTGTCCGAAGTTAGGCAGTGAAGAATAACGCTCAGATGGCAAGAAAAATAGATTATTTCAAGAGTAAAAATAGTCCAATTTACCCGAAATTTACAGGGAATGTAAATTACCTCACGAATTCTTGACCGAGCAATTTTTTTGACAATGAATGGTTGAGTTATTGACAAAAATATGATAATTTTGGCCGAAGTTAGACACTTTTACGGTACTAAATTTGATGACACCTTTTCTACCAAATAAGATGTTGAAAAAAAAAGAATCAGCAGTTCTACTTTGTTCAAAATGCCAGATAACTTGCACCAAACTATGTTTTCCTTAAATTTTATTTTGTATTCAAAACCAGGAAAGGAAATCCTGATTGAAACAGTCGCGCGATTTCGTCATTCGTTATAATTGTTTTTTTTTCAGCGATAATGATTTTTCTGTTGCGCAAATATTCAGTCCGTGGCCGAAAGCATTAAAAGTGTTTTGCCTTATTAATTTAATCATATTCAACGAAACTCGACGTTGTGCCGACTTCGATAAAATATTAGTATTACTGCTCTGAATTACTACAATCTGCGTACATAAACAGTACATTTCATTATAATTAGAATTGATTCTAATTTTTGCGATCTCCTTAATTTGTCTTCGCTATAATTAAGATATCGCCGTTAGCAAAATTTCACATTTCTGATCGAAAATCACGAAATTTTTGCGATTTGTTACCCGCTATATTATGTATATATATATATTATCACATCGCTTTTTTTACTTAATATTCACTTGTGTTCAGTTGAGAATTGAATTTGCGGATTCAATCCTTAGGTTGTATTTAGTGTCTCGTGTCAGATTATCGCATAATGACGAGTTTATCATGCTTTACGTATAGTTCCGAATGAGAAAAATACTATTTATCCGACGCCGTCTGCCACATGTCCAGGGGAATACTTGTAGGAGAGGGAGGATTCACAGAAATATAAATTACAGACATAATACGGATGTTCACGTCCTAAATAGTTGTGAAAGTTGTTTCTAATGTCATGAGGCGGTATGATGTTCTGCATTGGAAATTGGCATACTTCAAAAAAATATTTTCATCTATGGTTATGGTCATATTCCCTTCGTTAAGAACACTCATTGAATATTTCATGCATTTTATTTTTTCAGAAACTATTGTGTACTGGGTTCCCGGTCACAATTTGTTTGTTAAAAATCCTAAAAACCCTACAAAAAAATTTAAAAAAGTGTCAAAAACACTAAAAAAATATAAAAAATTAAAATCAGATCTGTGACGATCGACAAAAAAGAGGAAAATGAATAACGCAGGACCTACCAGCTACCCAATGGCTTCACTTTATGTTGGTGACCTTCATCCTGACGCGACGGAGGCTATGCTTTATGAGAAATTCTCTCAAGCTGGCCCAGTGCTGTCCATTCGCGTCTGTCGGGACATGGTCACCAGACGTTCGCTTGGCTACGCATACGTCAATTTTCAGCAGCCGGCTGATGCAGAACGAGCTTTGGACACCATGAACTTTGATCCCATCAAAGGTCAACCCATTCGCATCATGTGGAGTCAACGTGATCCAGGACTGAGAAAATCTGGTGTTGGCAACATTTTCATCAAAAATTTGGACAAGTCTATTGACAATAAAGCTCTGTATGATACTTTCTCTGCGTTTGGCAATATTTTGTCATGCAAAGTTTCGTGTGACATGAATGGATCCAAAGGATATGGTTTTGTGCATTTCGAAACCGAGGAAGCTGCACAGCGTGCGATAGAGAAAGTAGATGGAATGTTACTGAATGACAAGAAAGTATTTGTTGGGAAATTCATTTCACGATCAGAAAGACACAAGTTGATTGGCGAGAGACAAAAAAATTTCACTAATATCTACATCAAAAATTTTGCCGATGCTCTAAATGACGAAAAGATGAGGGAAATGTTTTCACAGTTTGGTCCTCTACGGAGTGTTGCTGTGATGCAAGATCCTGAAGGAAAATCCCTTGGATTCGGATTTGTTGCTTTCGAAAACCACGATGACGCTGCAAAGGCTGTTGCTGAAACGAACGGAAAAGAAATTGGTGGACAAGAGATCTACGTAGGTCGCGCCCAGAAAAAATCTGAACGGATGTCTGAAATTCGACAGAGGTATGAAAGACAAAAGCAAGAGCAAATTCAGCGATACCAAGGAGTCAACCTGTATGTAAAAAATCTTGATGATTCCATCAGAGATGATAGTTTGCGTGAAGCGTTTGCATCCTTCGGAACCATAACTAGTGCAAAAGTTATGACTGATGGCGAACGTTCTAAAGGATTTGGATTTGTTTGTTTCAGTGCACCAGATGAAGCAACTAAAGCAGTAACAGAAATGAATGGTCGTATTGTTGGGAGTAAGCCACTCTACGTAGCTTTAGCTCAAAGAAAAGAAGACCGAAAAGCTCATTTGGCTGCTCAATACATGCAGAGAGTTTCCAATTCAATGGGAATGAGAGTTGCTCCTCCAAACCAAATGATAGGACAGTCATTCCAATCAGGTGCTCCTGGATACTTCATGCCAATTCATGGTCAGAGTCGCTACATGCAGGGTCACCAGCTTATTAGGGCAACACCAAGATGGCAAGCTGCCACTGCTCAGCCAGGATTCCAAATTCCTGGAAGCATTCGTGCACCACATGGTGGAGGGCCCGCTATTCGCCCAATGACTGCCCCAGTTTCAGCCAGGAATGGTCTTCAGCAACAACAACAACATCGCATTGATATGCTACAGAGCCGCCAACAGCCAATATACATGCAACAAAATCGACAACCTTTCAAATACAATCAAAGTGTCCGCAACCCTGCTTCGATGGCTGGTGGTGTCAACCAACAAGCCCAAGTCCAACAGCAAGTTGAAACAGTACAGCCTGCTGTGCATGTTCAAGGTCAAGAGCCGCTTACAGCAAGCATGTTGGCATCTGCTCCACCCCATGAGCAAAAGCAGATGTTGGGTGAACGTCTTTACCCACTCATCGAAGCACAACACCCGACTCTCGCTTCAAAGATTACTGGAATGTTGTTGGAAATTGACAATTCTGAATTGCTTCACATGTTGGAATCTAGAGACTCTCTCAAAGCAAAGATGGAAGAGGCTGTGGCTGTTCTTCAGGCACATCAAGCAAAGATGCAGGCAGCAAGTCGACAAGCACAACCTGCTTCTCAGCCTGTTCAAAATCAAGGCATTACTGGTGTACAACAAATCAACCAGGTTAACAACGCTGCTCAGAATGCGGTTCCTGTAGGTGGTCAAGAGTAACAAATTCGAAAGATAATAATCGCCGGTGTTATGTGTGAACTGTTTCGTTTTTAAAAATCATCCTACTTTTGCCCCACAAAAAATTATCCTAATAAAAAAAAAAATTACTGAGCCCCTGGTTTTACGAACTTAAATCCAGGTGAAAAAATACTGAAAAATAGAAAAAAAAATATCAAGAACTTTACAAATTTCAAAAACCAACTTTTGACAGTTTTCAACCATTTAACTTGAATTTTCGGAACCCTGACTTGTTTTTTCCATGTTTACCAAACTGACCTCAAAGATAATAATAGTAGTTCTTACCATCCCTCAAAACACATTGATAGATCTCTGGATGAGATTTTGGTGACCTTGTTTGTTCTGTGTGTCCCTTTCAGGGACTGCTCTAATTTTTTTAAGTTGTTTTAGCCCTCTTTCTCCCAGATTGGTATATGAAAGGATTGTCAAATAATACCAGGGGATTGAGTGTGTTTGAATTTACCCAGAATAATTGAAAAACCAAAAAAAAATTGAAAAATGATCGAATTTAGTACGAAAAGTAAACTGTTTCTTTTTCGGCCACTCCACTCTGTGTAAATAAACATCCATGCTTGTAAGCTGGTGATCACTAAGTGCAAATTTTATCGTTTTATTCTTGTGGGCTATTAATTAAGATTTGGATGTCAATTATGAATAATTTAATGCAACTATAACTACTAACACAGTAGGGTGTTAATGAAACGACAATACTGTTCAGTGACTAAGTCTTTTAGGTAGTTTATTCATAGCTGACTTCCACGATTTCTTGAAAGCACTCATTTGCCAAGAATATACATCAATGTTGTTGTAAATCATTGGTTTACTGTTTGCTCATGTATATGGTATTTGAAATTACTGCACAGTGGTGTCTTTTTTTTGGTCTAGTAACATTTCATTAAAATGATAATTGCATGCATCTAATTGTGTCATTTAATTATGTTGGGACTTCAGATTGTAGTAACTTGGAACTACCAGCAAATTTCACCAAGTTTCCAATTTAGTTGCGTTTGCGATGTTTTACACTGGTTGCGCCCTTATCTTGTTTTACAAAATTACCATCGATTGTTTCGGCCATTTGAAGACTCGAAACCGACAATTATAAGACTTTCGGATCATCTAATGTTGCTAGCCGTAGGGCATGAGTTATTGCAAAATACTTATTGACTGATAAAATTTCCGAGAACTTAATCGTCACCGTTTTCGGGTCAAGTAGTTTGTTGACGCTACAATCATGATACATGTATTAGCGTCATCTTGAGAAACCAAGTATTAAAGATACGCGCGGTCAAAATGGCTCCTTGTATTGATCTCGCTGATATAAATGCTTTATGCGAAACAATATTAAAAATCAAATTTCGTATGGTAACTATTCATCGCCGATTAACAAAACGTTTGACAATAGATTTGCTTGTCACGAAAAGTTGTTTGGTTTTTGAAGAAAAGACGCTTGACCATACATACTCCCAGTAAATGTGATATTTTATACTACTGAAATATTTTGGCTTTGTGAAGGTTTGCTTGGCTCTGTAGCCTACTGAAGCTGTTCAGTGAGTGCTTAGTCGTTTTACATGCTGCGTTCCAAACATGGAAGAAGACCTACTCTCAGTAATGTTCAGGATTCAGTGGGTTTATTGACAGGAGATGACTCTGATAACCCAAACTCTATTTTTTTTTTAAATTCTTCTTTCTTCAAATATTCTATTTTTTTTTCGTTTTGTAAACACGTAGAATAAAAACCATAACCTACAATACACAACATAGGGATAGGATAGGATTTACATAATTATCCCGGGGATAGGAGAGCCGATAAGACGGCTTATCCATATGGCGAACCACGGCCTCTCGTCCGGTTACCATTCCAAGTCGGGTATGGGATTAGTTTTTTACTGTATTGTTTGTTTTTTTCGGAAGCTTGGACTATGGTTTTAAATAATACATCGGAGAATATTTGCGTCGGTGTTGAATTGAATGAAACTGCTCAAGAGTCGCCTAGAGCTGTGATTCTCAACTTTTTTCATCGCACATTAACGGAGAGTTTCATCTTATAGCAAAAATAGTCGCAGAGGTAAGAATTACACAAATGGAAAATGTTTAATCAAGCTAACGTTTGATTGCAACATGTTGTGGCGGTTGGGGTTTCGTGCTAAGCTTTCAAAACATGCTTGCTTAGTTCGGATATAAAATTGTCTATCACTACCATCATGCTTTTGAGTATTTGCATGTACAATGCCATCCACACCTCGTTTGACTCCAGTAATCGATAGGGATGAGAATATTATAGCGGTTTATTGATTCCATGCTGTAAATCCCCAAGGGTCTTGCAGAATGTAACGGAAACCGTCATTTAGTTATGGGCATTAGTTTTTAATCGCCTCGATTCACTCAATAAATCTGTAATTAATTCGGTACATATGAGCTTGTGCATCGACGCGGCCACTGTTCACGCCTAACGCCATCAAACCTTTCCTTTGTCATTGGACTTGATATAATATTATGTATACAAGAGAGCAATGCTCAAATATATGGACACGAAAAATAAAATTAATAAATGAAACTAAAACAGCGAAATTTTGGATGAAATATCAGATCTCATAGGAAATTTAGGAATAAGTAAAAGCAATAGCCTACTAGCGAAAACTACAATCTTTAACCACTGAAGATTTCAAAGCAAGTGGTCTAGTAGTTAAAAAAATGCAATTTTTGAACAACAACAAGAAAAAATAGCAAGAACAACAAAATAACAAAACAATCCATAGGTTCATTTCGTGTCCAATAATGAATTTTGATTGATGCACTGTAGCGTTGGAAATCAGGTACCTACGCGATACAAACTATCTTTCCTTGCTCTTTGATTATAATCCGTATCCTCCGTAAGCGTATGCATAACCCAAGGATGCCTTTACTTAGGCTTACCATACGTCCCGTTTTTGGCGGTACAGTCCCACTTTTCAACGTCTTGATCCGACGTACCGACCAGTCATCTAAAAGTCCCACTCCGGCGTTTAGCCAGTTAGCATAATACACGAACATTACCAATTAGCATGTTCTCCATACTGTTGCTGTGTAGCGTATCGGTAGCCTACTTACTGGAGGTGGATGCGTGGTTTTGTTTGTTTCGTTAGCTTAGCGGATAATTGCTACAATTTGTTACGTGTAAGCCCCGTACGCTAAAAGGGTGCTTAAAGTGAACGTTAATTCTTTTGTATTTTTCGTACTGAAACCGATATTAGACAGATAGTGCATGAAGTCTCGATGACAATATTGTCAATGAAGACAGTCGGGGTGGTTTTAAATGTACGCTCCTAATGTAAAATCGGTAAATTTAGAGTTGAAAAAATCACAGCTATGGTCTTTGGAGGCGTCCCGCTTTAAGGTCACAGAGGTTTGCTTATGATCCGCAAGCGTATGCATAACCCAAGAATGCTGCTGCAGCAAGAATAATTTCTCGGCGAAAGTTACAACTTTAACCACTGATTTGATAGAGATTGGTCCGGTAAAATAAAAAACGATTTGTGTCGGATAACAAGTTGGCAAAATTTGGTTATATAGTATAATTTGGTTTAGTACGCAGGATTATACAAAAACGATTCTTGGGGCATGTGAATGAAAAATTTGTAGGCGTAAACTAAAGAAAAGTGGAACAGTGGTGGTAAATTGTACTACTGGTTGTGTATATTTATGTTTAAATATTCATCCCGCAATTTTTTTCACTCTCTGGGTCTGATAAATATTCCATCGACGAAAGTCTTAGTTAGACTGCACACAACTCCACCCGGGGTATAATTACTAGCAATATATGTACTTCTAATAGAAACAAGTCTAATTGTTTTCAATTTCACACCCAAGAATAATTTGCTTTGTCTGACCACAGAGAATGATAATGTTGACCCTCTATGTCTATACCGGTATGTTAGTCGTTGGTCTATACATAGCAGTGGTCAGGAACCCATGGCTCGCGAGTCATATATGGCTCTTTTCTTGACGACATGTGGCTCCCAGAAAAATCTGGTAATCCATGGCTAGCCTTACCAAGTTTCAAACTAAAGTTATAGCCAAAGTTGGCAGAACATTTGCCAATACGTTTGCGAAACGCGCTCAGCGTCTGTCTATGTTATGTGCGAGAAGTGCCAGACAGAAATTGTGACAAAACTAAGGGATTCCGGAACATATTTTGTGACATCACGAAGCAACAAAGAAAAGCCATCCGTCCGTTTGCGCTGTTTATTTGTAATATTTCGCACAACGGAGATGCCTATGAGAAAAAAAAGCGAGGAGTATCGCGGATTTCAACATGTGTTGCATGTGAGCAGTCGTTTAAGGCCCTCAGCGGCAACATGCAGCATCAGAAGTCACATTAAATGTATATTGAATGTGTTGACTTTTAAGTAAAAATTTAAGACATGATTGAAGAAAGAAAAACGCTGTATGGCCCACACGGAAATGCAATTGAAAATATGTACCTTTTATGACTCTCTTGACCAAAAAGGTTTCCGACCCAGTATACATAATTTGATCCTCCTCAAGTCAATTTACCCGGTGTGAGCGAATCACAGATTCAGATATTTGTTTTTGTCGTGCGAGAAACATTGTGCAATTGAAAATTAAATGCAATTAAATAAAACGAACAATATTTCAGCAAAAGACTATCGAGTGAGCGACACCGTTTTTGCTGAGTTCAGCAGCAGCTTACGTAAGACAATATGGATGTGTTTTATTGCAAATGGATACACTACATGAGAACTAAAAAAGAACAAGAAATTCAATGAAAACGTGTTGATGAAATATGTAAATTTTGAGCTCTGACACAAACGACAAATCTATCCCAATGACGCTAACACTTACAATATTGCCTATCCGAGATCCAAAGTACATCTGCAGCTCTGCTTGTAGTAGTGTTATAACCATAGCCATTATTATATAATGGCTATGTTATAACTTTATAAGTATAGGCTCGCTTGCGGTCCGGGTACTGCTGTACTGTATAAGTTTATTTCGACTCCATAATCAGCATAACAATAAAATGATTGGTATAAATAAATAAATAAAAACCGATTATGAAATCAGGAGAGCAAACAAAATCTTAGATACGGTAAGGTTTAAAACGTACCGGTACAGAATGTTTATAAGATGGAAGGTTTTGCCAGAAGCGGTACGTGTTGACTCACCTAAAATAATTGAAATATTTCACACTCGCTCACATGCACCCACACACACAACCATACAGAAGTTATAAAGTAAGAAGAACATGATAAATTACATACTGGTAGATTCCCTAGAAAACACAGATTTCCTACTGCACTAGGCCACTAGCGCTGTAGAGCAACTTAGCCGCTGCAAGCACAACAACTTACAAACTTCTAGCCTTTCATATCATTCTGTCATTCAGTCATTGGTACACGGTGCAGTACTATTCCATTCCTGAATAGGTAGATCTGCAAGATTTACCCATGTAAAACAATCAACTGTGAATATCCAAATATACCGGTACCGTATTTGAAGAGTAGGTAGGTTTTAAGAATAATTCCGTGTGCAGTGTTGACTGGTTTAAATTCAACCGCAGAGTGTCGAAGCGACAGTTTAACAGCAGTTTGTGTATGTAAAATGAATTATTTTGATTCATTGTGGGAAAAGACTGATGCTCAACTGACTTTGACCAATGTAACGGCAGCTTATGAGAACCTGAAAAAAGAGGTACGTTAACAGGCTAAATTATGCCAGTATTTTTGTACATGCAGACATGACTATCATATTCACCCTATCGGTCTTTTTCCAAACTTGAGCAAGAAGTTCATTTGTAAATCTCGGCAAATCAGTGGAATCTTGCAAATTGTATTTCCAGTTCAACTGTTACTGTAGTAATCAGTAGTCCTCTCACTTTTAACAAACTCTGTACAATCTCTGAGATATTGAGTAAAATGGTAATTTTATATTTTTTTAAAGGTTGTCTCGATGACCTAACGGTCGCTTCGTCACAATGCCTTGAAAATAATTTTGAAATGTTGTATGTATACTATTTGACATTGTTGACGAAATAAAATACTACTACTACTATAATCAATAGCAGATGGAAAGCCACTTCATTTAATATTATTTGCCTTATATACAGATATATGAAAATATATCAGTATATTGAGCTCTATCTGGAAGTCAATCCAATCCCTTCCTAACTTAACTGTTATTTATATGAAATTCAAAGTTTATGTTCAGATATGTCACAGAGTTCAATTCTTAAATTTAAATGCTTTGACACAAGCAATTTTTGCTGATACAATGGATACGATATTGTTTATACTCTCAAGGAGCCAGCATGATTAGAAGTTGAAATAGATTTCCTCCAACATGAATTAAAGATAGTTTTGATGTGTTTTTGCTGTGTGGCGCTTTGTGCTAAGTGTTAGGAATAAGCTCGCCCTGCGTGGGTTCGCAGGCTTTAATCCTATGAGGGATAATTATGTGCATGAGGATTGCTGAACTCCTCGCTGCCATAGGGTGGTTCATGAAACCGCTGGTCAGTTATGGCTTCTTCTACCATCAAGTCTGTGCATCTAAAACATACAACTGGCTAACTGATCCCATACCCGATATTGACTGGTAACCAGTTACCAGACGAGAGACCATGGTTCGCTATATGATTGAGCCTTTTTTTATTGTCTTTCTCTTCCCCGGGATAAATATGTAAATCCTATCCCATCAAGCTTAAATACAATTGCAAACTCTAAATTTGTTTTCAGCTTAAAACTGCATGGGATTCTGAGGATTGGCAAATAAAAGTTTTGATGATTGAACTCGTCCTTGTTGCTTTGTTGATTATTTTAATATTTATTGCTTGGAAAGTGAATGGGCATGCAATCAGCAAGTTACTAACCCCCGACAGTAAGAATTATTTGCTATTGTCAGATTCTGTAGCCTAAGCCAGGGCTACTCAACTATTTTCACCAAAGGTCCGTTTAGAAAACTTCAAAATTACTGGGGTCCGGACATTACAAAAAATTTATTTTATTAAATAAACGAAACTTCAAATGCAATATTAAATACAAGAGCAATGAATGGCTCACAAATATGGACACAGATGTCGCGCATCGGTAGCTTTGTATTTAAATTGTATCAAAATCATCTGAAACGATACTTATAATGCAAAATATACAAGCAGACGCGGTCCAAATTGAATGGTCGAAAGGTCCGGATTCGGACCGCGGTCCGCCAGTTGAGTAACCCTGGCCTAAGCCATAGGTTCTCAAAGTGCTCCGTACGGAGCCCCAGGGCTCCGCGAGAGAAACCTAGGGGCTCCGTGAGCTATTCGATCAAAATACGGACTTGGTTATTCTGTAACTGTTAATAAGCAAAACACCAATAATAATATTTGACGACAGTAGAGTCGAAATATGGCAACGAGGTGGTAATTTAAATTTGACAGTATCTAGAAGCAGAAGCGCAGTCAGGATTTTTAGAAGAGAGGGGAAAAGTTCATAATTGAAATTGGAAATTCCCGGGCAACATTATTAGCGATTAGGCCACTCGTTAAAAATAAACTTTTTCAGTGGATAACGATTTTACATCCATGGTCGATGCGAGCATTCAAAATGTCTTGGTCATAGTAATTTAATTGTGTTCATCGTTGCCTTTGAGTCAGAAATAAGATCGGACCCAAAAATTCCAGCCTGACTGGATAATTAACTGGATTTGCAGGCCCGAGCCCGAAGCAAACCTGAAATTTCATATTTTATTTAGGAGGTCTTTGAATTGTCATTCCGAGAGTTTAGTACAGTATGTGTCGTGTTGATGCGGTAACTTCTGTTATTTTGCAGACCACGGTCTCTAGTGGCCAAAACACGGCCGAAACGCCTCATTTAAAAAAAAAGTCAGCGATGAGGAGCCCGACCCGAACGTAATGATTGAAATTTCAGGCCCGACCTAAAATAACTTAAAATAAGTGCTAAACTGATATATAACTATAAATAAATTGTAATCGTATTTTCGCTATCTTGGGATTCATCAAATTTGAGTTGTTCTCACATCTCAATGAATACAATTCACAATTGCGGAATCCTTGACCGATGCGCGCATGTTCAAATGCCTTGTTTATTGGTTCACTGTGTTCAATTTAACCTGCGGATGCGTTGACTTACGACAATATAAAATCATTATCACCCACAATTCCCACGCCAATCCGCGGACCTCAAAGGAGAAACAATAAAGTCAAGTACACGAAAAAAAGGAAGCATGGAAATTGATTTTGTCTTCAATAACAAATTAACTAATATAATCTTTATAATTATCTTATCGGTAGTTTCAGAATGTATAAAAAGGTACAAGGTACAGAGCGCACAATTATTGTATTGGTTTCAGTAACTACGGTACAACTCCCATTGATAACCTAACATAACACCAAAGTTTGTGATTTACAATGTCTAAAAAAGCGTTTTTGATCTGTCGCGAGTCCGCTAAAACAAAACCTTGTCATGTTTTCTTCTGTTTTAGTATTTTATAATGCCGCTTTTAATCAAGAAATTTGGGTTGCTGATTCACCTCTTTATTAATTATTTTTAGCATCTCGTCGCCGATGATTATAATATACTAACTTGTTTTCCATACTGAACTCACAATTCCGCACAAATACAAAAACGTAATTATTGTATTCGCGGAACAAGCAAGAAAATGTGTGATTAGGGGAGAATAAACACCCACATATAGATGTTACGGTCTAACTAAAAAACACGCATCGCTACGAAAACAATCGGTGATTGCAGCAAAATGCAATCGCGCATTCTATGAGCGACTTCTTCATTCTTCCAAAATATCAAAAGGGAGTGTGTCAAATTTCCAAATTTACAGCCCTAGTATATATAATTTATTCGTGCAATTTAGATTAAAAAGTTTCAGCATTCAAATTAGGTAAAGTAATTTTAACTTATTCAAGAATACTAATCAGTAAATATCAACATGTGTTTTTTGTCTGCTTTATTTTCAAAATTTATTTGTGGGGCTCCGTGAAGAATAGTCAATCTCTTCAAGGGCTCCGTAACATTAAAAGTTTGAGAACCCCTGGCCTAAGCAATAGTTTAAGTATTTGTGAAGTTGACCAAATAAATATTATATGGCATACATATTAGGTAGTTATAATGTTATTAGGGATTCTTACATTGCTCGAAAAGAGATTTCAAGATAGTTCCAAATGTGCGATTGGATTGGGAAACTATACCCTATTGAAAAGTAAACCAATAAATAACGTTTTAACGTTTGTATCTCTTTTTACAGGTAAGATTCTGGAATCTAAATTGTCAAAGTCACGGTATTCAGCTACAACATTAAACTGTTATTCAAGGTATGCTTGCAACTACTGCTTTTTGTTGCGCTTATGGCCTGCTTTGAAAATTGATATAATTCATCTCTTCTTTTAAATAATTTTGTTTCTGTGTTAAATAACTAATGTAGGAAAAAGCTACATTTTTCAACTCTTTGAAATACTTCTATGGGATTTGTTTTCATGTAAATGGTGTGAAATAAAATTTCCAATGGTATGTGACCCCTGACCCATCCAGGAACATGTATTAGATGGTTTTTACCATCGTTGGGATAAGAATCACACAGATAATGTTTATCATTGACATGCATTCATTTAAAATTGGTAATCCTATTCCAGGCAAAATTTGAAAAAACATGAATAACAAGATGCAATCAAACACACATCCATCAGAATTTACAGATTGTTGGGGTGATGATGAACGCATGAATTTTTTGTTTTCTGCTTTTCCGGCTGATAGATCGGTTAACCCTCATCACTGGGACAACAAGATGGCGTTTTGGAAAAAATTGATACAAGATATGTCTGCAAAATTACCTTATGGATATGTCTCATGGGATAACTTGTTCAACAACTTGACACGTCAAGGGAAAAGACCACTTGGATTACAAACTGTTTTTGATGACATGATCCAAAATGGGGAAATTGTTCCAACTGCACAATATACACATGATATCCATGCTAATCAGTCTTGGGTAGGATGGGGGTTGAATTGGTGTGTTAAAAAACCTGCTTCGTGGATGGCTGATAAAGTTCTCAGTCCCATTAAAACTAGATCAGGCCGGGACCTGAAAAAGGGCCAGTTTGTTATTGTTTCTGCATTGGAACACAAATGCAATGAAGTGATGGCAAAATTCCATCAATATGCCTCAAAGAATGAACATAATCATGAATTTCTGAATGTTGTTTCTTATTTGCAATTACAGGATATAACCAAAACTATTTTATGCGATACAGAAAGTTTGGATTTGACGCTGGCCACTCTGAAGAATAAAGGAATTGTAGAAATTAAATCTAAACATGAATTAATAAGCGAGCAAGCCGCTGAGAACAATCATAATGTTGCTTTGAGCGAGAAGTATATCAAGTTTGCAAAGCCTGGCAATAAAAAGGTAATTCCATTTTCGGATGTTGATATTGGAATACTACAGCTCTGTGAAACAAGAACACATTTGCAGCAGACCATTAATAACACTTGCCAGGAAATGGAGAGTTGTACTCAGAAAGCAAAGGAGTTACTTAAAAACAAGCAACGGACCATGGCATTGGGTGCACTTCGGAAAAAGAAAAGACTAGAAATATCACTCAGTAATAAAGAGCAAAATTTAAACAACATTGAAGAGCTGTTAGAAAGTTTAAACCAATGTAAAACTGATAAATTGCTTATGGATACTTATAAGAGTGCTGTTGCTGCTCATAAAAAGGCTTCAAAAGGACTCTCACTTGATGTGGTGCAAAGCACAATGGATGACGTAGCAAATGTTTTGGATAACCAGTCCGAAGTCAGTGAAATTATTTCTACCCCAGTATCCTGTGAAAATACTTCTGATGATGATTTAGAAACAGAGTTAGCTGCATTAATAAACGGTCCTACAGATACCATTGGTTTAGAAGATATATGTAATAAAATGACAACGGTTACTCTTGAACCAGGGATTGTTGATCTTCCTATTCCACCAACTCATTCACCTGGCCGTACAGAAACTACAACAAGAAATGTTCAAACGAATCATACTCATAAAATTAGCCTTACAAGCTGACCAAAATCATTAGTAGCAATAGGGGCTTTTCTCTGCCTAAAATGATAACCACAGAGGTGCCACACAATACTAACCATTTTATAGTGTACTATTTGAGATGCAATAGAACTTTAGTATGCCATGAGATTTAAAACTTTGGAATCCAAAAGCTATAATTTGCCAATTAGCAGGTGATGAAAACACTGCTCAAGTCAAATGTTATTGGTTATCTCATTCACGTTTGAGAATGCCTGGTTCAAAAAGTGGGAAAGTATGTTGACTAGCCAGTACTTCGCCACATCCTTCAACCAAATCAGCTTGTTTCTTATCCCACGGGAAAACCCTTTTCTTGCCGCAAATCAGAACAGATAGCATGTTTGAATCCTTATTTAGTTGTGGCACATATATACTCACTTTCCTTTTTTCTTCAGAATGATTACATTATGTTATAGCTTGGTGGCATTTAGATGTTTTTCTATTATTATGTGAATGTAATGGTTTCCGATGAGCATGGTCAATAAGATACATTATCTCTGTGTCTGCAATTGTGGTTTTCTACATTTTCACATTGTTTCACTGATAATATATAAAATCTGTATTTATTGCTGAAATATAAATTTAATCGTTGACTGCAATTGAATTGGCTGAAAACTTTAACCAATTATCATCATGGATAGTTCAAATATTGTTATGTAGTAGTAAAGCTGTCCAGTAATATAAGTTCTTATTACACAATGTAACAACATCATTATATTGAAGGGCACAGTTACTTTCCCATTGAAAATTCAATAAATAGAGCGATGCACTAAGTAGGTTATTACTTCATGCTATACATAATAAAATGAGAATGCCTGCAGAAGCTTCACAAAGGATCTTCAAAAGTGCCATCGGAGCAGTTTTGCCCCCTGCTTTGGTTCACTCTAATTTGGAAAGACTTGGAGACACACTTGCTGTTGGTAAGTGCTAGAGTTAAGGATAAGGTAATAACATTAAAACTAAACAGCATACATAATTAACAACATAAATAACAATCATTTCGGTTGTTTAAATTACTATGCAGATTTGACAGTTTGCTTTGTAAACGCTGGTTCCATTTTAGGCTCGAAAACATACGACTTGCGACACAATGTGCATATAGTTGGATTTGGAAAAGCAGTATCAGGAATGTGCAGGGCTGTTCAACTGCTGCTGGGAGACCATCTGGTTAGAGGAATAATCAGTGTACCTTCAGGGACTTCGAAAATTCTGGAAGAGGCAGGAAAAAGGTTGGTAGGATAATGGGGAATAAGCACCGTGGTTGCATTTAGGAGCATCCATAATTTGTTGTTTCCAACTACTTCACTGGCTTACATGTAATTATTAATTAACCCAAATGTTTTTTCATCAATTCTGTAGCTTCCTCCTGCCAGACAAAGATGGAAAGATCTCAATGTGTGAAGGTGCAGTTAACAATCTTCCGGACGAATCTTGCATTTGTGCAACTCAGAGAATAATAGCTATGTTACGGGATTTAACAAAAGACGACATAGTTATAACATTGGTGTCAGGAGGTATGCACAATATAAAAACCTTAATCTTCATACATGAATCATAAAATATCACCGAAATAATTTATAATTAGGAGGGTCTGCACTTCTTTGCGCTCCTATTCCGCCATTGACACTAGATGACAAAATGCGTGTTACATCATTTCTCGCAAAACAAGGAGCAACAATCCAAGAGTTGAATATAATACGAAGATCCCTATCTATAGTGAAAGGAGGAGGATTAGCACAAATTGCATACCCATCTAAGGTATGAAGGAGAAGACAACTTAAAATATATTTATTATTGAATTTACAGAGGATAGCTTAGCCTTAAATATGATGGCAGGCTAAAATCTCTGGTTCAATCTCATGCCCACCACCTCACGGCTATATATTGCCAAAACTGAAAGAATATGCCCCTCTAAAATAAAGTGGCTGCTTATGCAGAGGCTTGTTTGGAGCGAGAGGGCATCTATATTAAATTATTTTAAGGTCACTAAGAGTGTTAATTTAATTTTTCAGATGGTCGCTTTAATCCTATCAGATATTATTGGAGATCCATTAGACCTAATTGCAAGTGGCCCAACAGTTTGCACGGAAAGCAATGTTGAGCAAACAAGAATAATAATGGAAAAATATGGTTTACACAACAATATTTCCGCTGATGCAAAAACGATTCTACTAAATCCAGTTCAAAATAAACCAGGGGATCTACGACATGTACAAAATATCCTTGTTGGTTCAAATACTGTAGCTGTGAACGCATCGTTGAAGGAAGCAGAAACGTTGGGATACATGGCTTTTGTTCTTTCCCCAAGCGTTGAAGGAGAAGCAAGAGATGTCGGTGTTTTCCTAATTGAATTCATGATCAAAGTGATAGAATGTATTACAAAGCGTCATTTAGAGACCGAAGAAGAATTCACTAAATTCCTATACGAGCATCTTATCAGAAAATATGAAAGCAAGAACTGGCCATGGATATCTAATATCGATAGATTCGCCAGAAAGTTACATCAATCAATAACTAGCTCCAACCAAATTCTACACAAAATCTGCATAATTGCTGCTGGTGAAACTACAGTTACAGTAAATGGAACTGGTAAAGGTGGTAGAAACCAGGAAATGGTACTCGCTGCAGCAATTCACCTTTTCAAGTACTATAAAAACATTGATTACAATCTCTGTTTTCTTTCTGGTGGAACAGATGGCCAGGATGGACCTACAGATTCTGCTGGAGCCTTTGTTGATAGCAGTTCTAACTTTATCACAGACCCATCTGATTTAGCACAAGCAGAAAAAGCATTGCTCAATAACAATTCCTATCATTTTTTAAGCAATTATTCGGATACCTTGTTAAAAACTGGTCTTACAGGAACAAATGTCATGGATTTACAAATTTTAACGGTTCAACGGTTTTAACAGCATTGCTCAATAACAATTCCTATCATTTTTTAAGCAATTATTCGGATACCTTGTTAAAAACTGGTCTTACAGGAACAAATGTCATGGATTTACAAATTTTAACGGTTGAGTACATGAATTTTTTAAAATGAATAAAGTGTGCAATATAATTTAAATCACATTATTGATGTCTGAGATGTAAATCAACTTAATTTGATAGTACAATAGTCTTGGCAATGGAACAACAGAATTCACAAAATTCTCACTTGTAGAGGCATCAATCACTAGTGCTTATCTGTGCAATGGATGGCCAATACATCATAAAATTGGTAGATCGCACAATATTATTAACCTTGTCATGTTAACACCAGACAGATGATCCTAAATATAACAGGCGCAGTAAAGCCAGAAATGAAGCAAGTTATGGCATTAACAGCATGATTGTCCATAATATTAACCCCACTAATCCATCTGACGTCTTGCCCTGGAGAATTCGATATCTTTTTCGTGATGTCATTGAAACCTAATGAAAAATATGACAGATGCTGTAGTGAAGCATGAAGAATTTGAAATAAAAATAAGATGCCGCTAATATATTAGGTGTGAGGTAGTTGGGAGCTCAAATTTAACCTATCGAAGATTCCCTTTTCCCGGAAACAAGTGTAAAACGAACCTGAATACTGCAAGGTTGCACCGAATAATGAATCAATAAATGAACCAAACAATCCTGATATCATCCCAGTGAATATTATGGGCCATTGTTGGCTAAAAATGGAATAAAAATATTACCATGCAATAAGTACCCAAACCATGCAATAACTTTCTTACATCGCTGAAAATAAAAGAATTGTTTATCTCACTGAACTCCAAATGGTATATTTCACATGCAGATGAAGCATTTCAAAACTTGTGGTTTCTAATAAAATGGACATCAGATTTTAACATCACATTCACAAATAATAAAAACAATATCTTAGGGTAGGATACAGCAAAAATTCACCAAATATTATTGGAAAACATCATTACCTTTCGACAGGGCATGTCAAGTACATTGTTAGATAATATGTAATTCCAATTATCAGGCCACCGAAGGCACTTGCTACTGTACCAACTGATGTTATTCCTCCATTTGTACCTTGATAAATATTAGAATCAAATTACCGTAATAAATTGAATGAGCAATAAAACCGGACAAAATTTAGTTGAGAATAAGATATTAGTCAAGACTTGGTGGGTCAAAGCTTTTCTAACCACCTCACTGACTGCCCACTGACCTCCAGGGCTCAACAAAATGAAAGACAACCATGGACAAAGTCTGGCTGCAGGACAACAGAAGATTTTATTCATATGAAGGAACAGGTTCATTTACGACAATGGATTATTCAATTTGTAATTTTATGGAGTGCAGGATTTTTGTCATTGCTTGTTATTGAGATTGCGGTTCGATGAAAATCAAATATTTAGCAGACACCATCTGTTCTTATTGGGTTAATAAACTGGCTTATTTATATTTTTGCACATGCATATTCGGGCAAAGGACCCCATGCCACTAAAAAGGTTGGAACTACTAGCCCTAGGTGATTGAACCACAGCCATATATTGAAACAACACTTTATTAATAACCATTTTCAAGTACAGTATTCAAATATTATATCTATATTGACCTGGAGGAACTTTCTTCCACGTAGTTACTAGAATTGTACTTCCATCACCCATAACAGAACCGACTTCTGATGCCCAGGTATCACCACACGCACAAGAAATGCTGCCGAGCACAGCGACTGAAAGCCATGAACTGAAATTAAAGATGGGAATTTAAACATTAACACATTAATGATTTATTCTACAACTTTTAAATTCTAAAATATATATTTCAAAGGTAGCAAAATGTTATCAAATGATTTTGTGTAGATATTAAAACTAAAAATGTAGTATCCTAACACTCGCATGAAGTTGAGTGCCCATGGTGTTCTATCAATACCCCTAGCAAAATTACAGTAATCTAAATAGGAATGAAGATTGATGACACATACATTGAAATTGAGAATTAAAACGTTTCCTGGTACTATGATTCAGAAATAGTGAGCACAGATTATTTACAACAGCAGAAAGGCTAAATAAAAAGAACAGTTCAAATCATTTTGCTTTTATTTTTGTCTGATCTTTAAAATTTTATGTTTAGGATATAGGATTCTCATATTGCTAAACAAAGCAATCGAATGTTAGGGGGAAAGGATTAAGTTGTCACCTGACCTGACATAGAATCCATGTTCGCTGAATTTTATAGGTGATTCACCAATCCCATAATCCATCATGTAAAGAATTGCCATAGCTGATGGAAATCCACCATTGCAAAGAACCTGAATCCAATTTCGTGATCCTCCTGTGAATACATAAAGAGATAAAAAAGGCTAGTTTAGTGAGAGAAAAAACATATTGTTTTAGGAATTTACCCATACTACATACAGCAAAAAGAATATGACTATCATTGATTCCAAATCACAAGTATATATATTATTATTGTTTCATTAATTATAATTGCTTTGACTTTTTTTAAATAAAAAATTTAACCAAGATAAAAATAATGCAGTAGTCATTTCAAGGGGCTTGTCTGGAAATTCAATTCATTGTTTACCGATTTCAAACTCATAGGGTTGCGTTTTCTGGAAATACCAATTCTGAAAAACACGTTCAATTTGTGATGACGATTAGAGAGTATGAATAGAAAATGCTGTTTTTTGGATGCAGATGTGATATCGAAATATTCTATTTATATGGCCCGATGAGGCTATCAAGTATCAACACCAGGAATACTAATTATACAATATTGTAACTCATTTGCATAACACTGAACCAGTGACTACTGTAATTTTCAACTCATACCAACTTTATAATCTTCCTCCTGCACTCTCTTTTTATCTGCCTTGAATTTTGTCAACTTTGATGAAGTCAAGAAGAACACAATCATTGAAGTCATAAAACAATAGTTTGCAATCGTCAATGTGAAACCAACAAATAAAGCTGTGTTGCAGCAAAACAAAATGAATTTAATATTTAGCAGTGCTGGGAGAGCTTTGAGTCATTGTTTCAACTCAAGTTGGACCTGAGTACCCATTCATCAGAGACTCAAATCATCTCAATGGAATGCTAGTACTCAACTAACTCCCAGTGAGACTTGACTCAGTAATTAACTCCGATTATAATAACCAAATAATTGACTTGGAGTTGAGTGACTTTTAGCCAACTCTGATATATTGAGTAAAAAAATATGATGAAGTTCAAAAAAAATCCAATTTTTAGCTCGCCATTCATCTTGAATATATGCATTCTACACAATACGCGAGTCTAACGCCTAAAAGATTTGGATGAAATAGAACAGCAGAATAACAATATCTACCTGCAATAGCACCAGAAAGTGATAAGCTGTGTTTGTGTAAACCCCGAATTGCGAGTAATATTGGTAAACCTGTGCAAAGCAACCATCTCATTGGTGTGACAACATTTATCCCACCTGAACAATAAAATCATGTGATCATCATGAATTTCAGTCCTTAAAATGATAATTGTAGACTACAACTCACTCATGAAAAATCGAGTCACATGCAATAGTACACTACTGCACTAACAATACCTACCGCAGAACTTAGGTTAGAAAACATTATTAGTGTATTATGAAATTATTACTGAATCAGAAGGTGTGATTCAAATACCAGACTATAGACAAAGTAGGATTTCAGGATTAAATATATTTGTAGTCTATATAGACTAAATTTACCTGATCAGAGAATTGCTAGATACAGAGATACCGTATTGGACTACACTACCAAGATTTTAAATGAGATCTTAATGATTTGTTGTTTGATGGCCAACCAAAAACTCAAGTTCAGGAAAAATATGGAATACTCACCATAATGGGTTCTGATAGATAGTGATAGCAACCAAATTGCTAGAATTGCTGGCAGAAAAATTGTACAGACAATAACAAAAAATATCATCAAAGAATGAGAAATTTTTAACCCTGAAGATGTATCGGACATTGTCCCTAAAAGAACTTTGAAAGACACTTAAATGGCAGAATATGTGCAAAATAGAGAACCTCTCACCACGACGATCCGAACTAAATGATCTGAAAACGAGAGAGAAAAAATTGAAAGAAAAAGTTTCCTCAATGGAAACCTAATACCAACGTGCACTCGTTTTTTTCGCGAGCCATAAGGTCCAAATCGTCCTTCGAAAATCAGCAAGATGTCAAAGGTGACAAAAAATTGAGATTTGTTCAGCCATTTAGACGCATTGTTACTCCTGCACTCACTGACTTAGGCATATTTTTATACATTACTGCATTGCTATCTGAGAATCTTGAATTTAGGCATAAATTGAATAACTCAAAATTCAGTTCGCCTTCGGAGGAGTTTTAGTTTAGTTGCAGTAATCAAAAATTAGCCCTGTAGTTCCTAAAAACCTGAAATAGCGAATACGGTACTGAAATAGGCAACACTAAAATAAGATATCAGCATTTGCTCAAATATTTTGAATCGGAATGATGGTTTTGAAAGAACAGAACAAGTAAACAAGCATTTTAGTCACTTCTTCCTGCTTAAACTCATTATCTCAGTATCTATCAATGTGTCAGATAGATTATATGTTGGATCCTCTTTGTGCTGTTGTGTAAATTGAATCTTGTGACACTGAAATAGTAAGTCTAGTAGGCCTGTAGGCTATAGCTATGTAGGCTCTTTTAAATTTATAGTAGTCCACTAGTGAATCTTGAAAATTACCGTAGGTTTTTCACAAAAGCACCAAATAGACCACTGCACCTGTTGGAATGGTGGTCTATCTGGAAATTCGATATTAATATTGGAAGCATTGAAACTGATACAATGATTTTAAATTCAACGTATCGAAAACGACAAAAGAACCCAATACACGAATCCATGATTGTGCATAGACTGTAATGAAACTTTCAATCTGTTTACGGAGCTTGTTTTTTTAGTAACAATTGTTCTGTCACTGTGGTATTTTTGCAATGAAATTGAACTACGGATCACCATTTTACGTCAACGAGTGCTTTTTATTCCATATTTTTGTAGGAAAAGCACTGCAAACATATTATAATATATTAATTATATGGGTCTACATGTTTACGTGTGATTAGTCAGTTAGTGTTTTCCTGATAATTGATTTTATAATTGCCGGGGCGCAGAATTTACCAGCATTGTTTTGATTTGTTTATATGTATCTTGATTCACTGTATCACATTGTCACCAATGCCAAATCAATGTAGTTTTTATGGTTTTTGACCCTTCTCGTCACCTTATCACATTACATTTACACCTACACACTTTGTTACTTATCGATCTTGATCGGAAGTATGTTGATAGGTATTTGTTTGTTTGTCTGTCTGTCTGTTAGACGCGATATCTCACGAAAGCGAGGTTGAATCTGCTCCAAATTTTGCATGTGCATTCATCATATCTCGGACCAGAAGCCTATTGATTTTGGATGAATTATGAATTACGTCGTATAATTTGAGAGTTATTAATTAATTAGTAATGGGGCACGCAGTGTCACTATAGGGTCAGAGCGAATGAATCGAAACCGAAGTTTCTGTTTTGGGGATCCCTAACTTTCGATCGATAAGTCTTCGACCGATATTCTCGTCTTTGTATCGAATTGAATTGGTCCTTATTAGCTTGAGTATTTTAAAAGTAAACAACTACCTGAAATTTCATTACATTTGCGTATTTTTGTGTGTTTATTGCTGGCCCAAGCCTTGTTTAATAAAGTTTGTGGTGAGCGAGCACATGATACTCATCTTGTTTTAAACGTTTTTAAAGGTTTTGCTTATTCTCCAGAATTCTCCATTTTTCATTTTTTTGTATTGTCAGATTGTGAAGTTTTCGAAATAATCTATCTACCCCAGCCCACCCACACTCAACATGCGGTCAACTGGTTAACCAACTATTTTTCTCTATTTTATGCCTTCTGTTTAGCGCTGTTTTCCTCTGTTTTGCGCTATTTTGCGGTGTTTCGCGCTGTATTCAGTAAGTAGTAAGACCCCTATGCTGATTGTTATGTCATGTATGTCTGATGGAACTGATTGCTATCTGCTAATGAGAATATTTAGTACATAGTTCATGGATTTCACCACATTTCATATTTACCGTAACTTACCGTAACGTAACAAGATATAGAAGAGGATGAGACTGATTCTGAGGAAGATGAAAACGATGATAGAAAAGATGCAACCAAAGTTGGTCCTGAAAAATCACATTCTGATGAAGAAGATCTACAAGAATATGGTCTAGAAAATTATGATGATGAAAAAGGTGATTTCACAACGGGTATTTCTGGTTTGGTCATGTTTGCGGACAATGATGCGGATCCTTATATCACAAAGAAGTCAAAATCTGATTCAAATATCAACTCTGATTCTGAAGACGAATCAGCAGAAAAGTCAGCAGTCCAACTCAAACCTGATGACAATCTGCTTGTTTGTGCCAGATGTGGTCAACATTCTAGTGTTTTGGAAGTTTATGTATATAATCACAAATCAGGAGACTTCTATGTTCATCATGATATACCTTTATTGGAGACACCATTATGTATGCAATGGGTTGGATTTGATCCAGGTGCTGAGAATGTGAATTCAGGCAACCTCCTTGCTGTAGGCAACTTTAATGGAACGATTGATATATGGGATTTAGATGTATTAAATTCACTAGAACCTGTGGCTTCTATTGGGAAAGGTAAAGTTTCAAAACAAAGAAGAAAAATTGACTTTCGACATGCTGATGCAATTCTAGATATAGCATGGACTGATGTTGTACATGACCAGCTAGCTTCTGCATCGGCAGATACAGCTATAGCTCTTTGGGACTTGGAACTAGGAAAAGCAACTCGAGTCTTCAGAGACCATAAAAATAAAGTTCAAACTCTAGCTTGGATGCCAAAATCTGATAAACATTTACTGTCAGGTGCTTTTGATGGAAATATAATTATGACAGATACTCTGGAAATAAGAACAGTTGCACAATGGACTATTGATGGGGAAGTTGAACGCATCACATGGAATAATGAAAATAGTAAATACTTTGTTGCCAGTTGTGATTCTGGTTTTGCTTTTTATTGTGATGTAAGAAAGCCTACCGAATTTATACATAAATGGAAAGCGCATGAAGGTGCAATTCCTGGCCTTTTCTTGAATCAATCTGATTCTAAAAATAATTCCTGCCTACTTCAAACTGCTTCTAGTGATGGTCTTGTAAAACTTTGGGACCTAAATTTTGACAAACCAAAATTAGTGCATGAAAAAGATATGAAAATGGGAATGGTACATTGTTGTGAAGGCAATCCAGATGAAAATTCTGTTGTTGCTTTCGGTGGACAAAAAGGTCAAGTCAGATTGTGGGACCTTGCAAAAATTTCTGAAACTGCAAAGTACTTTGATTTACCAGAGCAAGTTAATAATATAAATAGTGATGTTACATTAATTAGTCCAATTAGTGGAGATGGAGAAGAGGATGATGAAGTTTTGAAATATATACAGGGAGAGGATTACATTAAACCTAACAAAATAAATAAATTTTCTAAACAAAATGGAAATCATCCTAATGGTTCTGGTGATTCAAAAAAGAAAAAACGTAAAAGAAAGAAAAAAACTTCTGCGAACCAGTCAATACAAAATAAAAAATCACTGATATAACAATGAACTACATTGGTCTTGGAAAGATAAAAATAAGCTCAAGAAACGATATTAATATTGACTTGAAATTAGTTTGAAAATTCAAAATATTTTTTATTATGTTATGTCCATATTTTGGCAGTTGTCATTCTTCATTTCTTTTGAAATGTTTACTTTGATCTTCAGAATTTGACCTAATTCATCATGCCTGCGACATCCTGTTGAGATTCATTTCCGTAACACTTCTGATATTCGTCAATATTTTTCTGAGAGATTTGATAAACATTCATAGGTTAATAAATTAATTTACACTGCATTTTAAATGTTTGTTTGTATTATGAGAAATATTTCATCCAAATCTCTTACTCAAAAGTCCATACTCTCTTTACCAACTACTTCAGGCAGAATGTTTAAATTTTCCAAAATCGGAGTAGTGCTCTCTAATAAATGCTGCCAAACTTCTTAATATCACTTTTTAGTGTAAGCTTATTGATCTTTCCGCTAGTTAGTAGTGTCGAACATCAAGATGTCCAATACAGAAGGTGAAAATCTACTTCCGATAGATATTCAATGTACAAAATTAGTTGATTGGTTGATAGATCGAAGACATTGCAATATAAAGTGGCAAACATCGGCTGAGGTATGTATTGTCTGAGGTACTTGCATTACATGAATATTTTAAATATCTGTTCTTGATTCCTGAATTATTAAGTATCCAAGCCGTTTAGTCTAAAAAGGCTTCATGTCTGGCATACGTCCTGTAACTTACTAACTTTACGTAAACTTGTTTCAATTAAATGACTAAAAAAATCAACATCTCAGGTTGTAAAAGAGAAAATTTCCAATGCTCTGCAAGACATGCCAAGCACACCAGAGATGAAGAAGTTGCTGGAAGGATCATGTTTTCATTATTTCAAGTGCAAAAAAATTGTTGATGTATTGAGGGACACTGAAAAAGATAGTAAAAATATATTTGGACTGTATTCCTCTCAACGAATGAAGGTATTTGTTGCATTTAATGTCAAGTACCAAAAGTTATTTCCAAGATTTTAGTTATGTGGAATTAAGCTGTTCTGCTGATCATATTGTTCATTGAGCTGCTTCAAGTCTGTTGGCATTTAGGAACTTGAAATTCACTAATATAATTCTGCATATCAAAGTATCGCTTGGCACTTCCATTGCCACCCATACTCTAGCTCAGAGAAAAGCTCCTCTGCTTCTGAGTGAATCTGTGTAACTTTTCTTCAAGAAATATTCTTATAAAAAACTGGAATATGTTTGAATAAATAAATTAGAGATATTTGCTGAATATAACAATTGTGACTTGAGAGTTTTTTTTTTATATATGTAATGCCCAATATTTATGAATCTTCGAATATTTTGCATGAAATACTCACTATTTCTTAATATTCAACAGGATTGGCAAGAAATTGTGAAGTTGTATGAAAAAGAAAATCTATATCTTGCTGAATTATCAAGCAGATTACTTCGGAATCTTAATTATGAAATTCCATCAATCAAAAGACAAAGAACAAAATGTGAACAAATACAGGAAGTGAGTAAATTCTTTATTATTTCAGGTCAGGTATAACTCTGTGAGTACCATCGGCAGTACCAAGTAGGTAGTTGTGCCCATCTGGCTGCTAATCTTGAATTTTGTTCAGCATGAAAATTATACAAAATATCTCCTATCCTTAATCTTAAACATGCAGATCTAAGATTGGAAGAATAGAACTGATTTAAACAGGACCTCCTGGTATATTATTAGGGATTCTATGGCATATTTATCCTGAATAGGCGAGCGCTGGCAAGCCATAATGATCATAATAATACAAAGTACCACATATATTATTCAGTTTACAGTCTAGACTATAGTCTGAGTATGAGTGCGTCCTCAATTCTTAGAAAAAAGGAAAAGTATCGAGTCGGGGGGCCTTGAATACCTCGATTTGTCTTGCAGACTAACCCACAAAAACAATATTAGCCACACTCCAATATTGTATATATTTACTCATTGATGTGAAACATATACTGTACTCTATCTTTCTGACCACTTCAGGAATGTTCAAAGAAAGAACAGGACTGTATCAGGAATGCAAATGAAGCTCGAAGATTATATAAAGTTGAATGCAAAAAGATTGGAATAACTGGCGATCATGTTAAAAATGAATTGTTGGATCTTGTAAAAAATTTACCAAATGAATTCAATGATATTGCAGAAAAGGTCAAAGAAATTGAATCAATCTCAGAATTCTATGCAACGTTTGTTGAATTTACTCTCGAAAGGTATGATTTATGATTTGGAGAACACAGAATATATATATATATATCGTTTTTTGTATTTTTCAAAGGCAAAATCAAAGATAATAAATTAAGTATGAAGAAAAAAAATGCACTTCCCTTCTTTCAATATTCATTGGATCATCAGCTAGTGATACGTGTAACTCACACTCTGAATTTGTTATAAATTCAATACCATAGTTTATAATGTGTATATAAATAATACTAAATTATAAAGAATATTGGTAGCAGTACTTCATGCATATACAAAATAAAATCCCCCCCCCCCCCCCCCCCCCCTAAAGCAACTTCTCAATTGGGAAACTTGGGCAAAGTTTCCCAATTGAGGGTTTGTATTCAAGCTGAAAAATTGTTTAACTTCTATCACTGTATGTCAACAATATAACTACTGTAACTTACGACTAGATATTGGATGCAATCCCTTACAGTATTCGTCTTCATGTTCAGTGACCAATTTAAAAACTCCATCACACCTTTGCTCAACTTTATATCACAAAATGGTAATGCAACTGTATATCAATGGAGAACTGGAAACGTTCCAAGTAAAATCGTTCACAAAGATGCTGAAATTTGTAAAACTGAACTCGAAGAGGATCAAGGAGGAGAGGTAAGATTTGTTGTCTTACGTTTTGTGATATTTTAGTTGGACATTATCTCATTTTTTAGTGTTTTTCAATTGCTAAGCCTGATGTTTCAATGTGTATTGGGTGCCGTTGTACGAGGTGACTTTAAAAAAACAGAACCCATATTCTCTTGATTTTACAAAAATGAAGAAAGTTTATTTAATAGCACTTGTGTGTTACTTTGTGTATGATCGTACCCAAAAGTTTCAGTAATATAAATCGCCTTGTGGTTTGTACAAATGTTATGTTCCTTATGGAACAGTGTTCTTCGAACGACTTCCATTACAACCCATTTGGCACTGCTAAATTTAATAAGTGAAATTTAATTTTAATAATACAGAAAATATAAAAAATAATAAAACTGGCGTTATTTTTAATGAGACCGATGTGCTCACATATTCTCGCACAAAAGATTGAATCTTGGCTCCTCTTCGGTGATGATGAGTACAAATCTTCTCCAAAGTTGATCGATATTTTGTTTTAGCATAAGTTAGTATCGTAAAAGATTTCACCGCAACCTCCATTGAGCCTGTTCGTGACCCACAGGGTGATGGGGGGTCAGACCCCCTGCTCTAGAATATGACCTGTTTTTGTTGGTCATCCCGTATTATGTAATCTACATTCATGTTTTTGGTGTAGCTTGTGATCTATATTCATCAACAATATAACGGCTAATCATCCATTAACTAAAAAGATACAAGATGTTCTTTCCCCTCAACTTCCAGTTGTTTGTTTTGTATATGAACCAAAGGGAACTTAAACCTTTGAGCAATTTGTTGTAAGCTTGTCAAATTGACATGATTTTCGATGCTTGGTACTTGGTAATGAAAATCTTCAAATGTGTGAATTTCATTTCAACTTTCTGTTTTTTTTTTTTTTTCAGGACTATGATTATCTATTTTATATGCTGTCTGCCTGTCTTTCAAAATGTGTTTTTATATTTTCTATGTATAGATTGACTGGGGGGCAATTGATGATGTTCCAGTGCCAGATGAAATAGATTTTGGCATAGAATTAGATGACACTGGCATAGGTGAAATAACATTAGAAACAGCTGGTGAAGAAGAACCAAAAAATGAAGAAAATGGATTTGAAATCGTTGAGTCTGAAAGCAAAAGTAATTGGGATATTGAAGAAGTATGTATAATAAGTAATTGGTGAATAGGGCTATTCAACATTATCAGGTGGCTACAGTAATACCCGGGTAACGCCGGAAGCTTTAACGCAACGACAAGAGCAAAAATACATTGTTTTTTCACCCATGTGAGCACCTTTTCAAGACACAAACTGTTCGATAAGGATTTTATGCTTGGTGGGTAAAAATCTGAGTCTTGATAAGGGCCACACTAAACGGCTTGGTGGGCTGGGTTCTGGCCCACGAGCTGCATGTTGCACACCCCTACTGTACACTTTAGTCAAGGTATGGCATAAGTTGGGTTTTGTTTATTCGACTCCCATCTTAACTTGGTCCTACAGTTGTGCATTCAACTTCATCAATACCATGGAAGCAGCAATCTTAATATACCTACGGTACATGTTGTGCTAGCCATGCCCATGCAGACAATGACAATTTCTAACAGAATCACCATATTTTGTGCTTCTGAGACGAGAACTGAGCACATTAACAACCCCCACTCAGTCAATATAAAATTTTCAATCCTAAACTGTGCCAGACCTTCAACTCAACTGAACCCAGACTTGCTACCTCTATTGATGACAATTAGCCTACAGAGGAGCTTCTGATAAATATAGTTCTGTTATATTAATTTATATGAAATGGTTACAGATAACTGTCGAAGAGGTACCTAACGGATCTGCAATGTTAGATGAAGGAACAGCCATTGGTGATGATGCAATGACAGTCCTGGAGAACCTAAAAACAAGGACTTTGTTTGTCAATGAGTTAATAGAGGTTTGTTATTACAAATGATTCTGAACATCATAGTTAGCTACAGAGCTCTAAGGAAGTGGTAAGCATGAAAATTGTCTAAAAATGAGAAGCTCAATGAGTATTCGTTATCTAAATTTTTGTTAATAATGTGTAATCAGAAACAGGATTATGAAAAATCTGACTGTAAATAAATATATATAGAATAAATTCCATCATTGGGCGGTGATTTTGAGGTAGCTGGACAAAAGGATTGGGTTTACCAAATTTTTATGCCATCTTATCATTTATCCTAGGATAAATATAAAAATCATTTCCTATTGCACACTATAAAAAACAAGACGAGATTTACTGTTTATTCACATGAAAACCATAAACCTTGAGTTTTTGATTAATTTGAGAAGCTGTTTAAAAATATCCCCAGATTAATAGGAATGAAGTCCATGCTTCTGAAAACAAATAACTGGCTAACTAATACCATACTCGACACCGGTAACCGGCTTGCCTCTCCCCCGGGATAAATATGAAAATCCCATCCTATCCTGGCTAGGACTAGTACTGATACTGAAACAGTTAACTGAATTTTATTATATAGCTCAAAGGTTTTCTCTCTCAACGTGCTAAAGAATTGGCAATGCCTGCAGATGTTCTCTCTATAAATCAATTTCAATCTGCACCTGCATTATTGCAAATGCGATCTTTGAAAGACATGCAAACCATGGAGTCAAAGGTCACAAGCATTTACGACTCCTTAACATCAACAAGGATGACTCATTTGTGCAGGATATTGGGATCACCAAGGTAAATAAAATAATATCTATATCAGAAATCAAATACCTGGCCTGGTCTCGCTTTGGCTGTAGACAGCCAGGTATGACAAAATAACTAATATATTCTGTAAACTTGCCAAATCCTTGTCTTGTCGTATATATTTTTCTAAGGGAATACACAGATTATCTAAAAGAAGAAGTCTTTTTTCTATAACACATTTAAACAAAAACAAATCAGGCTCTCGTGTCTGATCAAAGATTATTTAGGTTCAGGCTACATGGGAGATAATCAAAAATATGCAATATGCTTTTCCTCAACTTTTGACTTGAAAGCTAGTCAGTGCTCACAACACAAATAGGTTCATAAGATCGCCGTCATTAAGATTCCAAATGTTAATTACCTACTATTCAGAAGTACTGTATCTGAGTAGCTGCCTAAATTTCAATTGTCATATCACCTTGATAATTATACAATTTGAAACAAATATATAAGGAAGTTAATGATTGGAGAAACATCCATATATACTTATCCAATTCATATCTTTATTCCACATCAACTTCACATCAAACAATTCTGAGCAATCCTCTGTTGAGATACATTTTTCTTTGAATATACTTTCAAATTCCTAATCTTGATCAAACAGGTATGTTGATCGACTGATCGATACACTTAAAAGGCAGCTTGCTCTTGTTGATAAACATCAAAGTATTAAATTAGAGCAAATTAAAAGAAGATCGGATGCTGTTGTTGAACAAAGATCACTTCAACCTAAACTAAAAGCACTTATAGAAGAAACTAAAGCGTGGCAAAAACTGGTAAGATTTTATTTAACATTGATCGTGTAAGTATTTGTAAGCACAGTTGTCAATTATTATTCAACATTTCGTACATTCAACTAGGATTTTATGATCCTATTGACAATAGCACAACTTACTAACATGTGTGAGGAAACAGGTTTCAAGCTTGTGAAAAATTGTTATATGCTTTGATTTGATGGTAGTACAATTAGTGATGGTGGTGTCAGTTTCCTTCTTTAACTCTAGAGGTTTCTCCTATTTGAACCATGTATGATTCTAAAATTTTCATTGATCATCTGCACCTCCTATGTCGATGACCTTGTCAATACTTTTGAGGAGTTTTTGGGGAACTCGCTTTGAGTAGAAATTTACCAAGACTTCAAAGATTTGACCTACTAAAATATATCATACTCTTGGTGGTTAATGCAACATAATTGTGCATGATTAGAATGGTTATAAACTGAAAGCAAATTGGTTTAATAAAAAGATTGACATGTAAAAACAAAATAAACCGAACATAAATAATGAGAGTTGCTTAATCGGACCATATGATATGCGGTAAGCCGGTAACACGTCCACCCACAGTCCTGAAAAGATGCATGTAACCCTGTCAGGTTTATCACTCTTTGATAGATATTATATCCTAATTAATATTCACCAGTAAACCAGTTCTATATTGAGTACTGCAGTGAATTGCCTCTTGAAAATGCTAGTTTTTTTTAAGTACAAGCAAATTTGGTTAATCATAAAATATTTAAATGCAGATCGAAGATGACATTTCAAAAAGATATAAAACCCGGCCTATACATTTGTTGGGAACTATAAATCAACTGTAGAGAGAGTCTATGGGTTTGGATTCACTGCAAGCTGCTCCAAAGTTTTAGCTATAATGTCAATATGATGCGTGATTTCGATTAAAATGGGTTCTCGTGGCTGAAGAGTGAAAGGTTACATACAAAATATGCAGAAAAGTGGTATCCGTGTAGGAAACTGAGTCTGTTTTAAATGGTATTTGGACCAGTGGAGCTGACATGTTTGCATTCCTTGTAAATCAATATTTTTGGTGCTCCCGAAGTATGTGAAACAAAATGGTGGACACCGGAACGTTGTATGTGTACCAGGTTAAGGTCAGTCCATAATTTCAGGTACAAATACTACGGGAGTCACTTGGCTAGTCCCCGAACTCGTAATAGAACTAAAATAAGGAAAATTGGAATAAAATTATGGCGAACCCCAACCTGGTATACATCCTACGTTCCGGTGTCCGCCATCTTGGTTCACATACTTCGGGAGTACCATATTTTTTGCTGAACATTCCTTTTCTATTCTTGTTCTAATTGGATTTGATAGACGACGTTTGCTTATCAGAATTTCGTTCCAGTTGATTTATGTACAAAGGGATTTGGTTGGGGTTATTTGTGTCCTAAAAGAAACTTTATGTCGTTTTTTGATGGTTTGAATTTTAAAGAATTTGCGCTGTGCAATAAAGAAGATATATTATATGGTGAAATGCCATCTGTATTATGCGCGCGTTGTAGAGTTGTGTACTTTGTATTGAGGAAGATACTTTAGCTTAGGAGGGTATATACTCATCTAGGTGAGAAGAAAGCTGCTAAGAGCGCTTCATCATATGGCGAACCACTCTCTTATAATTGGTGTAAGTCACCTCAACAACGACATGTTGATTGTAGACTAAAAAGTTTCGTGAACTACCGTAGTGGCATAACACGAATTCTATCGATCGGTTATGTTCAAAGAGCTGTCGAGATGTATGGAAAATAAATTGAAGACCGCTGTTCATAAGAGCTTCGATTTCATAAGGTTAATAAGGAGTTCAAAGAGTATGTCACTAGGTTCACTGCTCATGTTATCAAGCATATCTGATATAAAGCAGACAATTTTTTTCCTCGAGTAATTCATGACAAGATGGAAAGTGTGAGTAATAACATTTTTTGGAAGCTTTTTAGTTCATATTATTCAACCAACTTGTTTACAAGTAATGAAGGTTAAAAAAGCGATAAACATTCCGCCGCTAAAAAGGATTTCACACTTTTCCATTCCTCCAATTTCGTTTCGCAGAAAAAAAAAATTTATTTTTGCAAAGAGAAGAAATGCTTCCTGCACTCATACTCAAACATCAATTTTTTCAACACAGTGGCACTGTGGATATTCCGCAGCATCCGAATCATTCAGGACCTGTTTAAATGTTTTATATCGTGGCTTCATTTCCGCCTCTGACCATGTTCGCTAGTGCCGTTACATATGCTCATTGCGTTACGCTACTCATGTCACTCATTTGCAAGGCCTTATGTTGGGCAATTCACACCATTGGTTTCTAACAGGCCAACCTGTCCAGTTTGTCTCCAAAACATCCCTTGAGCGCCATCTGTCACAAAACTAGATCAACTTTCAGATTACTCACCTATACCAGCAAATGTGGTGTGGGCCACAGATAATAATGATGCATGCAGTTTGGACCAGATTGGTGTAATCCAAGGGGTGTATCACATCCACATGGGCTAAAGGATGTTTGTATATTCATATTACTCACCAATTGGGGTTACCGAGAGTTTGTGCTGTCATACCAAACATAATGCCCTCAAATACATAACACAATCACCATCCACTAAATTTCAATAAAATGATTTCAAGGAACTTAACGATTACTTCTTATATTTCAATGTTTCGCAACTTCTCCTATAAGTGATATTGAGAGATCTTCCCATAAACTTTTGTAGATGACTTTACAATTCATAAAGAACAAGACGTCTTCAACCTTTTTTAAAAATGTTTGTTTATATTGTCAAGAACTACAAGTATACCACCCACCACTTAGACTGTTCAAACGAACGCTACGAGCACTCATTTTGTTGTTTTGCGTACACTTCCCATTTTAAGCAAATGTTAACACAGGACTTAAGTGGTAAATATTTCTTTTCCATTTCGATAACTTTAACAACATCTCCTTCCGCCCTCAAGCACCTGAAAATACACAAAATGTCAAATTGTCAGCTATATTGTAATGACATATGACGCAGTCAAATGTAGCATATAATAAATTTTTTGAAACACAAAACTCTTCAGTAATTATTGTTTAGACAAATTCTTTTTCTTATTTTTTATTGCTCTTTTTTACTAAGCAAAATAGAACATAACCGAAAACCTTATTCTACTTTATTCTTATAGGTTCGATTATGCTACATATAATACTCGTTATATCTATGTTACGTCATAATGCACCTAAATCAACTCAAATTACATTTTATCTTCACCTGTTCTAGTCTCCTCAAATAAAGGTCTTGTTGATATTCTGTTTGAAAACATTCTTACCGTTTTATAATTCAAATTGGAATTTCTCAGGAGGATTAGATGTATAGCACTTAACATATACCTTTCTTGGAACATCCATCCAATGAATTGTACCTAAAAGTTTTTATTAGGGTCTATTGTGATAAATTGACATTGTCAAGTATCGGAGTCTGCTTGAGACATATCTCAGGTTGAATATTCACTATGAGATAGAAAATCAGAATAAACAACTAAATGTGCAAACCCATTTGATTTTAAATGCGAACAACGTATATAAATATATGTAAACAGTACACGACGAGAAAAATATGAAACGTAAACTAAAACATAATTTGTGGCTCTACTATCGAAAATGGCCGTACTTCATCAGATTGCTACCTTTTTCCGTCATTTTAGTGAACGTACAAAAATACAGATTACCAGTCCTCCGAAATAAATTACGAATCGAAAATATCCTAACGGTTCTACTAACCAAACAACCTAAAGTGTTTCGTGATCAAGTGGTATTTAGTAGATGAGATCACCCCTTCGATTATAAATCCAGCTGGGCTACTGGTAACGAAAAATTCATAACTATTATCGCTCCTCTCCTCGCTAATACTGCATTAACACATAGTTTAAAGCGCACAGCATCGAAACAAACATCAATCTAAGTTGTTCCTGGTATAAACGATTTTGCTGAGACGTGGACCTGTATTCACTCCCTTCGAAAATTATCAAACGGCACATGAAAAAGGATACATGATCCTGTATATGCATGGTTTCAATTGTCCCAGGTTCGAGTCTGTATTGTCGTCATTTTAATCGTTTTTGTTGTCAAATAGTTAAGTTTTCTCACGGCTACACAAGTTTTCACTAAAGCATGGATACTTTATGGCGTCACAATTCTGATTTATAGCAAACGTGAATGCTAAAATAAACATGACATAAAATAAACTACGCAATTACAGCAGAACCTCTCCGTGGCGCCTGCGCAACAACATTCGCACAAACGTTTTCATTCAAAGAGGATACTTGAGTGGCTAATTACAAACCACTTCCTTTATTGATTGCTTCTTATATTCAAGTTGCAATATTTCAAATCTATATTTTACATATACGATAAAACAAGTGAAAAATGAAAATTTAATAATATTGAAGAATGAGTATTTCTACTTGTTCGATGACGATAGTAGGAAAAATAGGCATCTCCTTGTTATACGCCTTGAAACGGCTTCTCCGGATTTCGTGAGCCTTTTTAAGTCATGACGGCGAGTTATTAGTACTTTTAAATAGTAGGTGGTTAAGTATTTTGAATCATGGAGATAAACTTGCAAACCAGTTTGTAAGAGTTAAACCGTTCAGTAATAAAAATGAAAAAAAATATTTGAATAATAATGTATAGGAAGAATTGTTCTTGGCTTAAGGGCCAGAGGAACATCCAATAAATTTCACTCATGAATATTAAAACAAAAAAACAACGATGAACCTATATTTCACCATATTTTGGATAAAGGAGAAATTGATGTGGGTATGAGTTGCATTTGTATTCACGAGTACGACTATTTTGTGAATTTACCAAGTCAGAATTTGCTGGCTTAAGAAGTTCTCTAATATCAAAAGGACGTATCTTGGTCTTGTCAAAGTCGTCGTGCAAGTCCGTACCACGAAAGGAACAAATGTCTTGTATATTTTCAAATCTTCTCTGGTCTGAAATGCTACCAGGGATGGTGGTTGCTGCGCTTGGAAAGGGAGGGCGTGAGTTGGTATCATCAATTGGCGTAAATTTTAAGCTTGATAATAAATCAGTTTGTAGTTGAATGTTGTTCCTTTTTGCCGGGGATATAAAAACTCTATTGCTGAATGTGCCTTGAACCTGTGGTAACCCTGCAAAATAAAGAACAATCTGTAGCTGTCAAATTTTAACTATTGTAGGCTACCGTATGTAGGTGTTACGGTATAATACAGATATTCGAAATTAAAGTGTTCTGATTGTCTTTTGAGGTTATTTAATTAATTAAAAAAATGATTTAGAACTTCATTCTTTACATAATTTTACAAGGACGAAGAGCTTTGAATCCAATTAATTTTGGAACTCTACCTGGCATTCCAAATAAAGAATTTGTGTGCATCTGTCCAAAAACGGGCTGAAATAATGGTGATTCATGAATTGGGAATCTGTGTTGGTGAAACGACATAAGTCGTTGGATTGGAGATTGTACCATTGATGCCACAGAAGCATGGAGACGATGTCGTGTTGCGACAAACATCATTTCAGCGGCTAGTCGCAAACGTCGCTTTGTTTTGTACCTTCTGAAAAACAAAATGGCGCTGAAAGAATCATGTATATCACGATAGCAATATTCGACATACAATCAGTTGAAATAAAGTTTAGATATTTACATCTGAAGAATAGCTTTTTTACATGAGAGCGCTGCAAATATGCAGTTTTTTTTTTAACTATTCTTCACAAAAAAGCTGATTGCAATATTTTTTCTACCTGTAGGGAGATACAAATAGAATGACGGGTATGCACATTCAAAACAAATATTTATTTACCTGTTTTGAAACCATATTTTTATCTGCGTTTCTGTGAGATCTAACGCATTGGCAAATTCTGATCTTTCAGGTCCTGACAAGTATTTTTGAACAGCAAATCTATTTTCCAACTCCCTTATTTGAGAATGAGTAAATGCCGCTCTCGTTCTTTTCTTTTTGTCACGAAAAAGTTTGTCCGACATGGTATGCGTTTCGATTGGTATTTTGGACTTCCATGGTGGAGAAGGCAATCTAGCAAGACGACAATTTTCTCGATTCTCTTTTTCTTTATTTAAATTGTAACATAAAGAATCCTTCATGCTATTTCTGTGAGCTGCTAAAAATTTGATGAATAAAGTTTGTTTTCGAATTAAAGTAGTGGAATGTAATAATAGTATATATGCAAATACAACTTTCTATCTGTACCTATAGCTGCAAGAATTATTTTTTGTCAAAAAAAATTGAAAATAATATTTTCAATAGCCAGTTATGGTGGTGCTGACTAATTGATTAAAATATTGTAAATCATTACTAAAAATCGCTCGATTTTTTTCGGGCGTATCATGGAACGAACGTAAATATCATTTTTTGCAGTTTCCACAAAACGTATATTTGAGTAGTTTATTTCACACTCATGACTTACTAATGAAATCCTTTGTTATAATAGATCAAAATATTTAAATAAAATAAAATTTTGGCAAAATTTTGAGACAAATTTGTAAATATGTAGTCTACAATAAATCTCACCTGAACGACTTTGTTTTATGAACGCACTATCATTTGAGTTGGGTATATAAAAAGGCTGGAACTCTTTTTTCACTGGTGATGTCAAATATGGAACTCTTCTAAATTTGGTTTCCATTCTAATAATCTGAACATATATATAAATTATCGAGTTAAACGTAATGTGTATGTTCGGAATGCATGACTTATTACAAACCCTTGGTGACGATGGGTGCTATCAAATAAATTTTAATCATGGGGATAACACACTCAAAAAACTTTTCATAGTTTACAAGTATTAATCTCAATCTTTCATATCCACCAGATATCGTATTCTCGTTTGCTCAGTTTTACATATATAGAGAAATCAATGAAAATATCTCATTTTTGTAGTGATTTTTACTCGGAAAATACATTTTCAAACGAAATAATTTGTTTAATTTCACAAGACATTGAATTTTACTTTAACAAAATAGAAACAATGTTTCATCAGTTAAATCAATGTATACAATGCAGCAGGACCAAATCGTGAGCTATTCTTACTTTGCCATGATGGCCTGTTATAACTCTAGCACTTCCATACGGTCACTTTTAAACCAAGTGCCTCTGAAACGGAAATATCTGGGATTATATGAGAACTCGGAACGCAAATTTTCAATAAGGGGAAGTTGATTTAGTCGTAACACCACTCCTGTGTTTTGTATATTTTGTTGTAATCACTCTTCATCTTGTGTTTATAATTGCGAGTATGAAAACAGAATGGAGTGTTGACGGACACACTTGTAAAAACCAAAGAAAACCTACTAATATTTTGAAATTCATCACAAGACCTCTGATGTAATAGGATTGAGCGCTGGACGGTACATTTTTAAATGGCAGAATTGGTTATTTCGCCGGCACTGATCGGGCTGCACATTCGAAAAAAATTTATTCTGGTGAAATTGGTAATTCACGTTTGGTAATTTATATATTCTTATAGAAATTTTCATTTTTTTTAAAATTCCCAGGATCCATTCTTATCAACAGCTCAATCATGTATTGTGATAGCTCTTTTTGAAGTTTTGATCTTGATTTCAATTAGTTGTATTCCATATTTATTAAAAAATAATATATTTACTGACAAGATGTAATTTTTCAGAATTTTCTCACGTCTATTTTAATAGAATATGGAACTCTGATATAATTCGTATATGAGACGGATTTTTATTGAAAATGTCAATTAACGATACTTGAGTATAAAGCGATTTTTTTTCGTATAATTCGAAGATTAGAAGATGAAATATTTTCTACAGAATTATAAATTATTTAGGATTTTTGTTTTTCAACTGAATAAAATGACGTCATCTTAAACCACGTGATGACAATTTTGAATATTGCTTTTCAGCGATGACGATGCAAAATAACATCTGCTGTTTGGGGGTTATCAAAACCCACTTTTGACCCCTCAAAGAATCAAGCAAGATCAGTTTTGCGCCATGCGGATGTCTGCCTATGTTCAATTAATGTTTCCGGTTCTGAATACTTTATATCCCTGTCTGTTGTTTCTGGAAACAATAGACACCATTACATTTATAGGAGGAACATTTAGTGTCACCGATGCTTAACATCTTAAGTCACCTAAAAAGGTTTTCTTTCAAACACAAACCAGTAAGATCTATACACGTGCCGCATTGAAAATGACCATCTTACAGCTTTTGATAGAGCAGGACAAATGAGCGACCTTTTATCTTATATCAACAGTATTTTTAACAACAAAATGAAAACATAATACACCTGATTAAATTATTTGTTTTATATTTCACGATTCGTACAGTCAGATTCCATTTGGAAAATAAAAACATCATGCGGTAATAGCGAAGACTTCGCAAGTTTTTGGTTTAATGTGTTGTTTGATATTTACAGTGTATATTTGGCAACAGCTTAAAGCCTAGTAAATATCATATATATATGAGATATTTTTTTGTAAACCCAATAAAATTTTCTCTACAATTCATTATTGGACACGAAATGAACCTATGGATCGTTTTGTAATTTTGTATTTATATTCTTGTTTTTGTTGTTCTTTCTCAGTTACCTACTGGACCAATTGCTTTGAAATTTTCTGTGGTTTAAGATTGTATTTTATGCTAGAAAACTTTTTTCATTACTTTTATTATTTTCAAAAATTCCTGTGGGCTGTAAGGGATTCGTTTTTTATGTGTGCGATGACGTCATCAAAATTAAAATATGTATAAAATATATATAAAATTCCGCATTCGCGATCTGTTGGTCAGGCGAAGTCGTGAAGGCTGCGGTACCTGTAGTCCACTGTGACAGATTGAACTAATTCGTTCCGTGTTCATATACTGGGTCCATCACTCTCTTGTTTAAAATTATAGCATGGTGGTATTACTTTGTGAAGTTGAATGCGGAGACTTCAATTTTTCTTAAATAAATGCAAGAACGTGGCTTTTGGTCACAAAAATCAGTCTAAAATTGTCAGAGTCTCGGAATGTTTTATAAGTTAGTGTTGTTGGACACAAAATCGTTGTTGTTTGTTGTGTTAATATACTTGTTGTTGTTGTTGTTGTTGTGAACAAATCCATATTCAACTACTGGACCAATTGCTTTGAAATTTTCACTGGTTGAAGGTTGTTGTTGTTGCTATTACTTTCATTTATTTCGAAAATTTCTGTGAGCACTATGGAATTAACGTTTTTCACTTTGAAGTTTTGTGTTATTAATATTATTATTTTAATGGTGCTTATAACTGGCTCAATTTTGTGCACCAGGATATATAGCGTTGGGTGTTCAAATGCTTCAACCCGTTACGAGGACGTATTGAAATTTTGTGTTATGAAGACATAAAAATTAAAAACCTGCACGCCGTGTGGTGGTTCCAAGATCTCATTTCAGCGATCTGATGGTCTGACTACTTCGTTCTGGCCGCAGTGTAGGTATTGCTCTCTTGTTGGACACAAAGTGGGACTATGTATCGTTTTGTTATTATGTTGTTGTAAGTAGTTTTCTTAATATTGTGGAAAGATTGCTATGATATCTGATATATACTTCATCAAATATTTTGCTGTATTATTTTTATTCGTGGAAATACGGTTCCTAATCCGCAGAGCGCGACGGGTGTTTCCGTTTTGATTAAGCGAAATGGTGCAACGCGAAAGTCGGAATGTGTTCGATACCCGCGACGCACTGGGTACCGTAGAGTGAGTTGCTTTAATAGGTAAAGTACTGTAAAAGATTTGATACTTGGCATGAGAAGCTCCCTTGTTATTAGTTAAGAATGTTGCTGTTCAACTAGTTGATCGGCAAACAAGGATGCTGTCATATGAACTTTTGCATGTAGTTGCGTACTCTTTATTTATATATATTCTGTGAGTAATTCATGGCTTGTCAGTTTGTTTTGTGTACAAATAAAAGTTTAAAATATGTCTGAGCTCTTTACTTGCATCGTATTTTAATACTATCCTCATTAATACCATCAGCTATCACAAATTCCATTTCTGCTTCGACGCATATACGTATATGGGACAATTCTGTATTAAAATATTGATAATCTGATGAATATACATTCATTTACATTTCCTTAATGATAATTTTTCAGTGGTGATCATCTACGTTCATGTATATTCATAACCGCGTTCTGGCACGGTAACCCATCTTTAATATATTATACATTGATCTTATCATAACAGATTCTTTTATTTGGGTTTTCATTCATTAAAATAATAAATATCAATTAAAATTAAACTTCAATATTTACAGCAATCAATGAATATGTGATTAGGTCTGAGATACGATTTTGATATGTGAAATCAGTTCCTATAGTTACTTTATTGAGATATATATTTATATATATATATATATGCCCTGATATGTATATTGGCAGACACACAATACTGATCTAATGAATAAAGTTCTGTACATTCGACACTATTCAGAGATGGCGAACATTTTTCACTGAATGGCTCACATATGAAATGTGGTGTCAATTATTTAATCAATGAGTTCCACCAAACAGAATCTTGCTGCTGCATTTTTTCGCAATTTCTCAGTTGCTTTAAACCTATCATAACACGAGAGATTCTAAATTCATCGCAAGCAAAACAGTTATTAATAAAAATTAAAATTAGTTCAAAACGTTTCCATTCGAAGAATCATCCAGATATGTAAGAAATAAATGTGAGTCGTAACAGCAGTATCGCAAATAAGAGGGTAGAAAACGATTGCTTGAACTCCTTTTAATACTCAGAAGTTTATGATATCATTGTCTATTCCAAGATGTCCTCAAAGTCTTCGTCGTCGTCTTCATTGTCAAAACCAAATGGCCAATCTAACAATGAAAAAGATTAATCAGTTACCGAGGATATCTAATTAGTCGTTGTCTGTAAACAAATTCAATAACATTCAAGTATCCATTGTCTGCATATTGATGTTCCCCCAAGTTTTTTTCTGTGACAATACCTATTCAGCAAAATGTCAATGGCGGGGTAACAATTGAAATTTTATCAGCTGCACAGACGCACATATCGTCACGCTAATAACCGAATTGCGTAAGTCATTTTTAGCAGTTTTGAGAAAAACGTAAAAAACTTCCTAATGATATTGTTATGCCATTGAGAGTCAATAATTTGCCACGGTTCAATTTTTTGATAGTAGCCGGATTTAAGTTAATTTGTATGACGCATTTAAGTGACGTCATAATGGCGCACTGTGACTTAGGCAGAAATGTGTTTATGAATTGGGGACATACGCAATTTTGCAACTTTACTATATGCACCAGTCCTGAAAACTAAACATTCCAAAAACGAATGTAATTCTCAGTATCTACAATGTCTAATCCCCAAAATAGCCAGTCAGTTTCAATTACATTATTTTTAATGTTTAAAAATATATATTTCATCAATATAACACGTTCTGCACACCCACCGACATAAGACTAAGATTAAATATAAAGAATAAAACAGCAATGCACCCAAAATAAAAGTCAACCAAGGTAAATTGGACTCGGACAGTGAATATCACAAATGCACGTCTTCCTATACTGTAGTATAAATTCAAATTACCACGCGCTAAGCTAGAATCCGAGATGCAAAAACTCGAAAATACTTCGCCGAGGTTATTTTGCCTTTGTGACGTCATAATAGTCCTGCGGTAACAATGATAATTCATTATGACGAAACAATTGCACAAATGTGCATGTCATACTAAATCTCCATTTTTATGGGTTTCGGAATTCTTAAAATAAAATCTGAGTTAACAGAGAGGTGCGCAGCATTACATAAATACCTATTTTATAAAAAAAAAAACTCAAAATCGCCAAAAATGACTTACGCAATTCGGTTATTAGCGTGACGATATGTTTTTAAATATGCTGGTAAACATTAGCTCGTTTTTGTGATTTTGCTAGCTGTTTGTTAAACTATTATATTTAATGTGTTTTCAAAATTTCGGTATAATCGAAATAACCCAATGGTAATTTGTTCTACGAGTTTTAGTTTAGTTGCAGTAATCCCGAAAGATCTGAGATGGCCAAAAGTTAGCTGCTAATGCTTTTAAATGCCAATTAGGTAAATATTTTCAGTCAAAATGATAGTTATAAAACAAGCAAGCCAGTTCGTGAGTGCCAAGCTCTATAATATCAATATTGAAATATGCATCAAAATTTTTGAAATGGTTGAGTATAGGAATCATTTTTCTGTGGTTGAGGGTCACGCAAATTCATCAGCAGTTACATCGATAATCTCAATACGGATTTCCACTGAAATATGAATAATAGCCAGGTTTGTCCATGGGAATGGGAAAGATCCCGTCGGATGGGTTGGGAGAGCACGCATTTGTATTTCCAATGGGGGCAAGTAGCCTTGTCATAGCAACTTGATTACGTCAGAGCTAACATAGTCTTTATACTTTTCTGAGTTTTGAAGGTTTTTACTCTCCTTTTGTATTTATATCTATTATTTATTCTGTTCCATGTTTCAACATTTACGGCAACCAAATTCACATCCATTAGATTATTGAAAAAAATAAATAAACACAGGTTTTCCCTGCTAAATGCAGGAAAATTGTTTTGGCCATACCATTGTCATCTGCAGGAGTAGAGCAAAGCGCTCATTTATTGCGACCGGATTGTTATTGAGTAAGTTACGAAAACGGATGTTACCTGCTCTTGTTATAAACTTTGTGTACGGCAGATTTGCATGTAACATGAAAATTAAGGAAATGGTTCTGGAATTACCCATACTAACTGAATTATTAGAAACAGTCGATAAGTAAGAACTTGATAATTTGCTGAATGCGCCGAGTGACTCAAGAAATAGAATAAGAGTGCCAGACTGATACTGAATTGCCATAATTAGACGATACTTTTGAATTTTAAAGTTAGCCACGTCAATAAATTTTGTTGTTATGCGTGTCTCTTTGCACATGTAGTCCTATTTCTTAATTTTCATAAATTTAATAATTTTTATTGAATTGTATCTCAACGGGAATAGGATGGGATGAGAAGGGACAGGCATAAATTTCTAAGGGCTGGAACAGAAACATATGTCTCTTGGACAAGACTGTGAATAGCAAAATGATGATAAAGGAGTGCACACTTTTTTTTTCTTAAATCGACATTTGATGGCCGTCCAAAGTTCTACTAAAACAGGTTAGCTATTGATTAGTAAAAAATTAAAAAACAAACTTACGGTTAGTTATTTTCCTCGGCAACCTGCATGTATTTCCTCCAAGTAGTGTGTTCATAGATCCGCCAAAAAATCCTTCCAGCCAAGATCTAAAATGAATCATCATAACTATTTTGTATATTATGTACTTTATATATTCGCGCTTCACTTTTACATATCACTTTACAGTTATGCATTTGCATGGAAATGGCGATAAGATCTACCAATGAAAGAGTGTGTTAGCAATTACAGTTTACACTTAGATGGGACGCAGGAACTAGATGTGAATGATACGAATCAGGTGAAAACTATGATGCGACCATATGCTTATAAGTATTTTGCAACTACCTAAATGCGTTATTCTCTGTCACCAATTCATCTGCTGAGAGGGTGCTTCGAAAATTTTCGAAGAATGGTACTAACTTTCGCTACACACAATAATATGTTTTTAACTGCTTGGTGCATTATATGTAACCAGAAGTAACGTCTAAAACAATACTCTATAGGAAATACAACGTCCAGTACCGTTGGCTTCGTAAATTCATACAATCTAGGCTAATAATTGGCGTTCCTTTTTTATTTTACTTCTAGCATGAAACAAAGTGAAAACAGTGGCTACGATCAATAACAACCTAGTTATTTCACTATATATATTTCATAGGTAACTGACCAGAAAACCTGTATTGTTTAGTTAGTATTAGGCTAAAGTAATAAAATTTTGTTCCTTGTTGAAAAACCGGTAATTGTCTTCTTCGCAAAGCAATTTATAATTAACACAACAAATAACTTTTTTTTTTAATTTCCACTGGTTACAATAATCTTAATTCGCAATAAGACTCACCCCGAAGAGCAGACCAATCCTTGTTTGCAAGGACACAAACCTCCACGCATGATTGTGCTCAACTCCGAGTAAGAAGCTGCACACTTTTCATCCTTCTTTGCAAGGTTCTGGCATTCTCCATTTTGATGTAGAAATTTTCGTGCACAGCACAGACCGGTGTTGCAATCGCTTTGAAACTGTAGTTAAATGTAAAAACACGTTTGAATCACTTTATACAGAAACCCATTCATGAAACTTATTGCATTACTAAACTAACAACAGCCATCGGACAAAAAAATTAAGCAGATATCTGGTAAGTGAATACAAATGAAATTTCATCATAACCTCATTAAATAATTTTGGACATTTCTTACTAGTAATGTATCAAATCGAAGTGTTTTCTATTGTATAAATATTGTTCTATTACCTTGCAAAGTGTCCCAGCTTGTCCTTTCGAGAATCCAGTTTGGCAAGTTCCTCGAACACAGAGTGAGCCAGTTGCATCAGCTCCACAGCATTGTTCATTACTTGTACAAGATTTATATTTGTTGCTGCATTTTCTACAGAAGTCTCCAACCAACTGCTTACGACAATACATTCCTAGGTGATATAAATGAAAGGATTATGAGATGTGTTTTCCATTTGTACCATAATCTGCGCGCAAACACACACGCACTCACATATACTAGAGCAGGGCAGAATTAATGGAGTCCAACAACTTTCTTCAGCAATCATGTTTGGAATTATTGTAGTTCTTTTAATTTTCCGATTACTTATTTCATAATTTATTTTTTCTTATCCGAAATCAATAGATATAGTAGTTGTAGATTTATGAAGATCATTGATGTAACGATCGCTCTTTTTAATTCCAACATATATAGTCTCAATATCACAAATCGGCCTAATTTTCTCGAGCTGGCGTTTTTTGAATAAAAAATACTGCCAACAGAAAAGGATAGCTTCTAATTGCGTAGTAGCGTATCTAATTATTGATATTTCAGGGCGGATAAAATCTTTCTTGCAATCTACTTTTATTCATATTTGATGGAACGGCAATCTGATTTGACAATGATATGCTGTACTTCAACACTGTCATCCAATACATAACGTCGTTAAATTTTCATGACTTATGAATATTTTATATTTGAAATCCCATCGACACTGCTCAGAAGAAATATTTTACCAATTACCAATTGTAAAATAAGGAAATTTTTTATTCAAAAATATGCATCGTTCATGTTGGCCAATATAATTTAACATAAGTCATTGCAGGATATTTTGAGCTACGTGAAAATTAGGTGTTTGTATTGTTTTAACAAAACTGAACTAAAAATCGATCGGTAATTTTCTTAAAGAATTAATGCTTATACTCACTCGATTCTACAATGTACTTCTACATTGTAACGGTAACTACAATAAAACATATTGATAAAAATTTTCAGTTTGTCCTAACATGTACTTTGCTGCATAGTTTATGACTTTTTTATGACTTAGCTATTATGATTGTGCAGTGTTGTTTTATCACAGGACAGCATTCGATACTGAAGTCGCTAAAGATTCTTATATCCTATGTCCTCCTCATGCACCCCGTGCTGTCATTGTTATTACCTTTTGGCCGTATTAGAAGCAAAATCGTGTATAATACGTCACCTAAACGGGAATCTAGTGTTCTTTGTCTGACCTCAATGGCTTGCAATCATTTGCGTTAATCGGAAGCTATCCGAGATGTTGAAGCAGCAGCTTGTCAAATTATTAATTTCTATAAAGATTATAATCTGCCCATCGCTTGAACTGGCGATATTTTGAAATATAAATTCTATTTTCAATTTTGAAAAGCTTTACAGCGTTCTTATTCAATCGAAAGATTCAAAATAATTGTATACCTTTTTTGCATGGCGAAGAAGCAGAACATTGATTCAGGGGCACACCTCCATTTGATGATTGCATTACAGAGACTGAGACAGCACCTAAAGTATTTCGAAGAATAAAAATAAAAATGATGATGGAATTGTTTTAGAACAAAATAGGCCTGGATTGGGTGAATTGGTACATCAGGGTTCAGCTTATATCAAAAGAATGAAATACCTGTCTTCGGATCAGTTGTTTTATCGATTTTGACAGTAGTGGAGACAGTTGTATTTCCAACCTTTTTAGTGATTGTAGTTGTGTTGTGGTAATTGGCCGGCAATTTCTAATTTAGATCAAAAATATAAATAGTATTATATAGGTAACTATATAATGAATATATGCAGTGAAAATATGTTATTGGTAATTGAATAATTGTTGCTTTAAAAACAAAGCAAACAGTTACCAGAAATCACTCACATTAATGTCAATTCCGTTATATAGGATGATACTCTGAACATCACCGTCCATATTTGTAGATAGACTAAACCGATTGCCATTGGCATCAATCTCGTTATCTTTCCAATATTCCTCGTCTAAGACAGGATCCTCTCGTCTACGACTCAGCATTATATCATCATCAGGTAGCATTCTTTCGTAAAGATCTTCGTCAAATGCCTCATCATATTCAGTATAAGCAAATGAAACACTCGTGCACTTCAGTAAAAGAAATACTAATACTGTTGTAATGATTTTCATTATGATTTTATGCATAAACTGTTTATAAAAAATAGGATATTTAATGCGAAAAAAAATACATTCATTGGTCATATTTATAAACAATTGATGCTGTCAATCTATTCTTAACTGACACAAATATTCACTAAATTATCAGCAAATTCTTTGATGCGCTTCACTTTCCGAAACTGAACTCAAAATTTCGTAGATTAAATATATACGACAGGGGGTTATCGTACGCCCATATTTATGATACAATTTCATATAACCTAAATAGAATCTCATTTGACTGTAAAATCTATACACTTAAAACTAATTAGCTCTTTCGCCAATTCTAGTTTCCTACGAATGCTTTCTTAATATAATTGGCCTTGAGTATTTGCTTTACAATTTTTTAAGCTTAGCGTGCAGAAACTTGACTTTAATTTTCAAGAGACTCCCGAACCGAAGATATTTGGAAGTATTAGGCTCATACGGGAAAGTACATGGTATCTCGAATTTTCTTCAAAATTAATTTTGCTGGTCAAAGTTTTAGTTGGACTTACTCGCAAAGCGCAAACAAAATCAATAAAATTTTATTATCTTCAAGATTGTGCGAGTAACTGTTCTACAAAGGTGATACCAAATATTGAAAAATAAATGTTACGCTCGAATTCGATCCTAAGCCCAAATCTTAAAACTCCATTGCAGACCACTATACAAAAGCTGACGATTAGGCTCAATAAACAGCACATCCGATTGAACAGAAAAATGCATGATACTAGTTATAGTGCATGACTTGAATCTTCCATATGGTGTATATTATGCTATTCTCGATATTTATCAACCATGTTGAAACACGATGAACGTTTATATCCCATATGGACGTGATGTGCTTGAAATAACGGAAATGCTTTTCGTTGACTCATTGTTGTTCTGGTTTGTTCACAATGTTAAAGGTTTGCTCAGATTTCACAGCTTTTTTCTATTATGAAGTACAACATTAAACTTTCGATATATGCCATTTATACTTCTACTCTAAAGCATCCTTAGCTTCTTCCCAAATGTAGCTTTGTTCGCTGTCTGTGTTTTTCGTTCGTGAATTTCGAAATTTCATATACATGCGTCTACTGATAGTAACTATTCGTGCAATTGAATCCACAAATTTGCATAATCCGTTGTGAAAATACTTGATACTGCCAATCCGACTAATTGCATTTTCCCCTGCCGTAATAAGATTCCGATTATTAGGCAAAGTTCAAGAAACCGTGTATTTTGCAAAGATTTTGAAAATTGATATTAAACTCGCACTAGACTGTAATCAACTTAGCGCAAACCCATTACGTTTAATAAGATTAAGCTTTGCAAGCTATTTAGTTTATTTATTTTCGAGAGGCCGCCGATGCCAAATGCTTATTGAAGTTATTCATTGTTCTGCATTAGGACAATGCATTCGCCATTAAATCGTTGCTATTGAATATACAAAATATTACCGTCATGCTATTTGCTTGCACTCATGGCTCATTTCTTCGATCTATGTTGTCGGTAGCTATTAGTTATTTTCAATTACTTTCTAATATTTGATAAATATGTCGCAAAAACTACTGTAATAAAATTTTAGCTCAAGTAGCATACACCTTTTCGAGCTTTGACTAAAAATATACTAATGCCACTCATACATTAATACCCAAAGCACTACGTTCACATGTCTTAGTATCAAACTGATTTACTCATTGGTGTATAAAATACCCTTTCTCGCATGGCCGTACAGAATTAATGAATATTACCATCCTACAGAAATATTTTACGCTTGTTTCTAGCGTAATCCTGTTACGATAAACTGGGCAAGTCGACAATTCAATTTCCAACATAACACGCAATCCAGACGGCATGTCTTTATTTATTCAGAATTATCGATCGATCTGGAGTTGACGATTCCTTCAAAAATATTGACGTTTCTTCATGTTAAGTAACCTCAGATTGCTGTGGGGTTACGGGCATCGATCGTTCATAAATGATTATATTTTACCTGCACTAATAACTTAAAAATAACTCTTTTTAGAAGATAACTAGTTTGTCATTTCATGTCATTCCAGAACAAGTTCGCGAGGCTGGATGTTTTGATGGCAACACAGCCAGCGTCACATCTCGATTCTCTCAAGTCCATTTGTTTGATAGTATTTCAGCTCAAAATGAACTCAATTAAATATTTGACTCTTCTGGACATGCCTCTTATTATATGTACTTAGGTATTAGATTTCTCTAGCGACAGGTACTGCTTGATGTTTCTACTAATTTTGCTACATGATCCGAAGTCCCATCTAAAATAATGGTCGGGCGCAGACATTACACGGAATAGGGACAGCATTTCAATTGTATCAGTATGACATGTAAACGATATTTTTGTCAGGATTATTATGACTTGGAGATACATCTTCACGCTCTTTTTACACTTTTTCCATCTGTGCATGTGTTAGAGTCATTTTTGATATCTATGGTTCGTATAGTTTTAGATTTAGGGGAATTTTCTTCGAAGTGAGGTCATAGGTCATCTACAAATATTCATATTGCAGAATGTTGCATTGTGACAAAATAAAGTTCGATTTGATCAAAAAATATGTGGAATCACATCCTTCGATTGGGGCACGGTTTATCAGCTGTGGTCCCTTAAACAGCCTCTGATAAATAATAATTCTATGAAATTAAAGAAGCCAGAATAGTTTTTTTTACCTTGTTGACGTGAACGACTTTGGATCAAGGTTAATGGACGCTCGTAGACTTGTTTTTTACAAGCGGGTTTTCCACTTTTTTGTGAGTGTTTGTGACCTTTGATTTGGCAAAAATTTACAAAGAATAGTCAACGTGCTTTTCAAAAGAATATTGGCTGTTTCCACTTCCCAGGTGAATATGTCTTTGAGCATACTCTCAATTCACAACTCATAATTTTATCTGAGCTATTGACCTTTTGTTATGCCGGAAACTTCCTGAAATCCTTCAATATTCAGCTTACAGTCAGTGTTATTTATAGCAACAACTTTGATTAGTTTTCAAATAATTTTACCGTATTTCCTATTTGATTAAATACATTTCGAGACCAAAATTTACTCGCGTTTTTATAGAAGTGGAATAGTTGACATCTAGATTATTGTTATTTCTATGTAATTATTTTTGATTAAATTTTGGTGGTTTCGCAAGTATAGATCACTTCTTGGAATGACTCAATTTATTCAGCTGACAATGCTTTAGATGGAATTTCTGAATGTAATAATGTAATAAAAGTTCTGAATATTTAAAATAACCTGTTTTTAGGTAAATAGTACAATTTCCCTCCAATAAGCTTAATTTTGGCTGAGTAGTTTGGTGTAAAATCTGTACTGCTAATTCATTGAGATATATATTTCACTCTCTAATTTTTGACAAAATAACAGGCATAATTTAGATAGAGCGATATTTAAAGCATATATGAAGAAACAATCTTCAAACACCGCAAGTATAAATCCAATCATGAAACTCTTGGGGTAAAAACAAACAATTATGGCCGACTAACACGACACACTCGCTTAACCATAGCTAACTTACACCAAACGTCAGAGAATAAGCCGATGTATGTATGATTGAAATATCACGTTGAATGTAGTGTCAATCTAATACGTCTGGTAAATTCCAATCCAGAGATATCGGACATCTGAACACGGAAATCTCGATGTCAATATGTCATGCACATATTGATGTAACAAGCGCGAGTTTTGACAGATTTGAAGACTGAAATATTTGGAGTCTCAAAATTGACGCCAATTTTAGGCTTATAATTTAGATTTATATTAGAAATATTTCACGCTAAATATTGGCCGGCCATACACAGATCGTGTATTCTATCACCGGTCCATACTTAACACAAGTTTAAATTATCGAAATCAACTTCGCCCTCAATACAGGATGTTCTGTAACATATTGCAGTCGTGTAGTTTAAAAATCGACGAAGTACGTTGATCTTGTGCAGTCAAGCAGAAGCGGTGGTGCAAGTATATCAAATATTTAATCACGCCGGCAACGCTTCCTTAGTGTATATTACCCAATTTCAAAGAAGCGCGTACATGAAGTATTACGGAAGTGCTGATGGCTGAAGGGTCTCCTGGGTATTTGACCTGAATAACCTAAGAATGACAGACATTATCAGTCGTGCTATCAAGTGGCTGTAAATATTAATTTATGAAAGCTGGGGCTTGCTTTGAAAAAATGCTAAGGGGAAGATAGATTCATGCAGAATGAAACGAGAAATTATAGGATTACTTCACATCGACGGCGTAGTTTGCAAGGAGCGGTAAAATCCTATTATATCTTCCAGTGAAGTAAATATATATATAGATATTAGTTTGACTATCTTATGCAGCCGTATGTCTGGATAATTTTATAAAACGTATATCTATGTAAAATGATGCAAGTGTGGTAATCTCGTATGAGAAAATATAGAGCTTTAAGGTCGATTTTATATTGTCGGTAATATAAATATATTCATACATATATCTTTTACATCTTTTCTTAAGGTGTTCTTCTCTGAACAAGCCAATAAACAAGCAGCCACGGCATCACAAGGATGAGCTATTCAGTTCTGACCCTTTTGACCCTCAGTCGAACCCTAGACAAACATATTTAGTATAGTACTCTAATGAATGCACTAACCACTGGACTAGACCAGGGTTTCCCCACCGCTAAGAGAATTTAATTGTTTTTAGGTGAGTCATTTTCCCTTTTACTTGCGTGTAGTTTCCTCATATTCTTTTTTTGTTTAGTATTGTTGCAATACATATTTACGCCTACCTTATAATTTATTAAAACTGTACAAAACCAGAGACAGAGTTGAGTGTCTAGCCAGCTCATCCATTAAAGATTAAACATAAAATAGAAACAAAAAATTTATATAATCCGTGAGTAATGAAAAGTATCACAATACGCAAATAAAAGTTATTTTATAAAAAGTTGGGAGCTATTTTACTAGGCCAACGAGAAATTTAAATGGTCACAATCCCACATCTAGAATATTACATTTTATAGTAATTGTGTCAGACCAGAAATCATATCTCTTCGTAGCATGTGTATAGTTTGTAATTCCTCTGACGGCTTTCAAATTTGGCGCCTTTGTCGAGCAAACACAGCTGCGTGTGCACATTCCACATACAATGTATATTTTATTACGTGATACCCGAGATAATAGCAAGAAGAAGAATGTAGCTGTTAGTATATAATCAATGCTATAAGATAGCTGTACGAATTAGTGTATGATGTTAACTGCAGTGACTTCTAAGTTTGGTTAAGATTCAATTTAATAAAAGAGGACAAAGGCGATTTAAATATGATTATTATGTATAGTAGTACATAGCTCTAAAAAGCGTTTTTTTTTTCTTAAGTCGACATCGGCACATGTGTTTCAAGGTATTCGCAGCGCAACGTTTATACTTTGGTCTAAGAAAGTATATCAGCGCTGGCTGCGGACACCAATAGACCTTATAGTCTCTGATCTCCCATGCGGAAAATAATGTTCTGCATTAACTAAGAATTTTTCGCATTGCAAAAGACTGACGGGTGGGCTTGTTTTGCATGGTTCAAATTCAACATTATATTGTGTTTGTTTTTGTGGGATGCAGTCCTCGGTCTCTTGTATGTATCACGTGGCACGATAGTTCTACTTGCAAAATTCCAGGGTTGGCTTCGGTGATCATCTGATATTAAAACACGTATTAAATTGGAGGCGTCAGCAGGCTTCTTCCACGGAAATTAACCGTATTTAATGGAGAAATAATAACTCACAGTCCGATCTCGATTTGAATATATATGAAAAAATGAGTGTATACCAGTGCAGTCACGCAAAGTTTTTTCTTATTGAACAAACAACTGAGTTGAAAAGTTCCTGTATTCCTTTTTCAGATTTTTTTAATGTTTGTAATATAAATGCAAAAGAATATTACTTTCGTATACTAGAACTTGCATGGCGACGAGTTGTGGATATGAGTTCCAAAAAAAGCATTTTGGATTTGCTGATGTCAAACCGGATGACTTCTACACTTCACAGGTTCGCAGTTCTTTTTTGCGTATATATCGTATATATATATATGTTTGTTTTCGTTATGTGCAATGTGCTATAATTTAACACAAAATCTTTCATAGATTTCTCGAAACATTTGGAGTTGAATAATTAAATTTGTGTTGAAATTCGATATGAAACAACATCTTGGAATTTTTGAAGCTATAAGATTTCATCTCTTCTAAAGTCACATTGTTTGACAATACATTCATTTGTAGACAATTCCTGATTGCCTATAAACAAACTTTATGTTTGTTGCACAAAATATGATGGAGCCAACTGTCTAATTTAAACTAATGGATAATACATACTTAACTAAAAAATTTCTAAGAATCGATTTCATATCAATATATAAGTGAGCAATGCTCGAATGTATCGACATGAAAGTCACCAGTCTTCAACCGCGGCTGCCTATGCGAATTTTATACACAAATCTGTTTGTTATCTGGTCATTCCAATCGAAATTGCAAATTCCACGAGAAGCCATAACACTAAGGCTTTAGCGGAGTATCGGACATGTCGAGAAGATAGCTACCTTGGCATGAAGTAATGCCACATGGTGGCGCAACATTCTGAAATAGCAAATTAAAGTAATAGCCCTCTAGCGACTCCATACTCAGGTTCTCAAAATTCTGAGATCGATTGTTTCATTAGTCTCGTAGAAAACCCCACAACACTTTTGAAAACGAGACACATATTCACACTTCGTGTTCAATAATTTTTGGAAAATGTAATAAAAAAATTGTTAGTTTTTTTTAATATTGTCATTTTATAATTTGAGCAAATTTAATATATATATATATATTGTTTAACTGCAGTGGTTCAAATCAAGAAGAATTTTTGCATGTTATCGTGGTGCTATGTTTCTATATTCCCTCGTATGGGTGATTGTGAATATATTCCAATATGAAGGGCTCTATACGTTTGCTTACCTTACCAATTGGGCGGAATGGACACTATGTTTGTACTTTGGAGTTTCATTTGGAACGGTTATGTACGACGTGAGAAAAGATAATAATTACACAAATACACAAGAATCTTCTGATATACCGAATTATTCTGCTCTGAGTAATCGTGAGCAAGGTACTTTAGTACTTACTTATAGTTATTAACACTATTTTTGTTGTTAAACTAATTTATATTTATGAATACCTGTAGTGTCTGAACGTCTCTCTAAAAAATGCATTTTGCTACATAGGTTTGCGTATATAATTATCAAGCGTGATTGAAAAGTATTTATTGATGAAAAAACGCTTACCAACACTTACAGTTTGTCCTCGTTAGAATAGAAATAAGAAAGTTTTTCCTAATCATTCGTCATATGATGGAATTGTTTGACTACAACGGAATTTTGCCCAAAAATATAATATATTTTGTCACTTTCAGATGAACTTCGATGGTTTCATCGTCTCTGTTGGGTTCTGGCGACATTATCTACAGACCTTGAGTACTTGATTACTATAATGTTTTGGACTTTTCTGGCCGGAGAAGAAGACGCAATGCCATTACTAATTATAATTCATCAACATGGGATAACGACACTTATGATCACGATTGATTTGATGGTCTCACGCATCCAATTCCGTCTTCTTCACGTTGTCTATGTGGCGTTTTACGGAACTATATATACTTTATTGACGCTAATTTTGTACGTCACTGGGCTGCAGACAAAGATTTACAATGGTGTTATAGATTGGCAGGATGCCCCTGTTATATCGACGATTGTAGGCCTGAGCGTGCTTTGTGTTGGGTTTCCACTAGTACATTTCCTAGCGTTTGGCATTTATCATTTGAGATTCTTTTTAGCCAGGAAACTTGCAGGAAGAAAACGGGATTCAGAACTTGACTCCAGAGCATGTCAACGCAATAACGAGATTGAAAATGGTAATAATGATGAAGATTTTAATAAGAAACTGAATTGTGATTCTCTGGGTCAAGAAGAGAGCTTGTTATAATATGATAAAGCAACTATACCTTATGTTTAACATATAGATATGTGTATATATGCGAGTATGTATGTATACGAGGGAAAATTAAATTCGAATATTCTGTTTGATGCAATTACGACAAAATAAATGTCGGTTGCCCCGTACATTTAATTATTGTGTATTATTTAATTATGAGCAAATGATTCAACATATGAGGAAACAGTCGCATTTGTTTCAACTTTCCTGCATGAACAAAATAGAAAATTCCATCATAACAATGTGCGATATCAATTTATCAGTGTTGCGTATTTTTTATTGTCTGTATTATTGAACTACTGTCGTCGACTATCCCAAGACGCAATTAATATATTGAAACATATATATATATATATATTATCTTTGCTATTGTAGTTCCTGTCGGTGGAACACAACATCTTAGAAAAAGCGGTAGATAAAATCGACAAGATCATATTATTCAAAGCACGAGCTGGAAAACACGTATAATATATGTACTACTTAGTATTCTAGATATTTAAATATAATGAATCAGAGGTTTTCGATCTATCAAGACATAAAATAAGGCGAAGGATAACAAGGCTCAAATATATGGACACGAAAGCCGAATCAAGTATTTCACTCACGATTACTTTAAAAATCATATCCTTAACGCAGTTGAAACTGTGGACCTTCGTAACTCATTTACTACCGGTACCTACACTGCCTAAGCTTTATCAGAACATGTAACAATGATGCTTCGTGCACACGTCTTACCAAAAAATTGACAGTACTTTCCATTTACAGTAACTAGTACCTACCTAGTCTACAGTGCATCATCGGTATCGAAAAACGTTTGACTTTCGCAAAATCAAAAAGGAAGACAGTCGTCCCGATAGGCGAATTAAAAACCGTGCAGTTGGTCCAGTAGTTAAAAAATCGATTTCTTCAATATAGAATACAATATAGATTTCTAACAATATAGAAGAAAAATAACAACTAAAACAATAACAACATAAGAACAAAACGATCCATATGTACATTTTCCTTACGTTTGATAAAATCCATACAAGTTTAATTTTAGGAAATCGATTTTCTATCACCGGAAGGTTCGACATTATAGTTTAGACTGTGGAAGCTTAATCTGAAATTTTGGTAATCTGCCAATCAGGGAGTTCTTTCCGCTAATTCCTCTCCATCTCTGTATGGGGAGGAGCTAGAGTTAAGTTCTTTCTCAAATGTCCTTGTTGTAATAGATTACTTCGACATACATGTGGTGTGTCGGGGTCATGTACTTTGTTTTATTCTTACATCTTGTAAAGTTCGCATCTTTATTTTATCATTGTTATAACCTGGCATCGATATGCTGTTTTTAAATCATTATAAAATATAACATACAATAGAACATATTCGCAACAGAAAAATTATTTTTATACCCAGGTTTTATAATCCGAAGACCAAGTTGAGTTTTGGGATAGTTTGAAGCCTATTTGGAGTGTCTCCGTGATGGTATGTTGATTTCGCTTTTCTAATCGTCGAAGTTTTCGCTCGAGCTTCATCTGTAAAATGTACTGGCTAATATTCCGTATCATTTAGTGCTAATACATTTGAACTAAAAATTTACAAGCGAAACTGAATGTTACTCAAAGCGAGGTGGTTACATGAGCGGAAAACGTGTTTGGGCAGCTAGCTGAATTTGTGTCACCCTCAACTGGTGGTTAAAAACCCATTGTGACGGATGTAAACGCGGAAGTCGATGCAAGTGGACAAATCCTTATCGAATGGTCTATCAAAAGCATTCATTGCATGAAGTATATTTTGGTATCTACAGATAACTGGACTATTTGCTTGCAATTTATTTAACTCATGCTTTAGGTTTGGATAGAATATTGGTAAATATCCTTTGAAAATTCTCTTTAAGCTACATTTTGTAATGAGGTCTACTTCTATTTACGATAAAGTAAGTCGGACATACGATATCGCATAACTTATATCATATCTGAATAGACAATAGACAGTAAAACTTTACGAGATCACGAATGTTACTTCCTAAACACCCATGTAAATTTTACTATTATTCGGCTATTGAGGCCGGCAGCATTCTTTGAATCGTGTTTTAAACTGTGGCATCCGAGCATTATGTGACTGTGACCACATGCTTTAAAAGCTACCTCAATGAGTGACTATATCTTCGGGTCAACACGAGATGCTACCAAATCTGACGCGCATAACAAATGCAGATGACCAGCTTTTGTGAATTATTCAGGCGTAAAGACGAAACAGTGCGAGAGAGACAAAGACCAATTATGGCCAGTACAGAATATGCCTAAAGGAAAATGGAATGTTACTAATTCGAGATTGACCAAAAGCAAATTACCAGTTGGTAAACGCGTACATAGCATAAAGAAAACAGACAGTATCTGGAGAATTTTACGTTTATATTTATTGCTATAGCAGAGATATCGTTAGAAGATTATTGGACAGTGTAGTAATCGTTGTTTAAATCACTACCGAGAGTAATACTAGGTAGGTTGCCTTGAAATAGTGCGAGCAGAAAGATACTTCAATGTTGTATATTTCACCAGTATGTCCAAAATATGAAATGAACTGTAATTTTGTCACATTCAGATTTATATATATCGTTCTTTATGTGGTGTTTCCTATCCGAGGCTATAGACAAATAATACTTCTCGAGTGGTATCTTCTTCAATTGAATATATATATGCAAATTCTAAATCGTATTTCGTCACCATATATCGATAATTAGTTTTATTTCCAGCGATCAATGCGTTATGCTGTATTTAACTGGTAGATGTCCATACCTTGCATGGCTTGAGCAATTCGCGTGACTCATCTTGCCGGAACTACATAACTGTCACATACGCGCACACGAAAGAGTCACGATACTCTATTAACTTATCGAGCTAATGCACGAATAGATAAAGAGTTTTTATATAGACGTGCATTTCACCAATCCTTATTAACGAGGTTTTACTGTAGTGAAACACTAATGATTTCGATAGGGTATTTGCTTTATGTAGATTTGGTCAGTTTTTCTGGGTAGAATAGTTGATATATTTAAATGCCCTTTTTTAAGTTTGCAGATCAAGTCAGTTAGAGACAAATTTCACGCTTAACTGATTCAGATTTTAAACCGAAATGGCCACAAGCTGTGGTTACGAATTTCAACTCAAACATTTTGCGTTTGCAGATGTTTCTGCGTCGGATTTCTATGTTTCACAAGTAAGTATACAGTATAACGAATTGCCAAATTTTTCCTTTGTGCTATTGCATTGCTTTTAATTGTTATCGTAAGCTACTTCTATTCTACATTATTTAAATTAATTCATATGTTCAACAGTTCAAGTATCCTGGTTATGCATACTGTTATTTGAACGCTTTTGCAGTTCATGTTAAAGAATTTCAAGAACAATGGAAAATTATTTTATTTTACGAGCTTTATCTAAAAGCTTTTATTTTTCAACATTATACATTATCAAAGATAGTAATATTTTTTTTTACAGTGGTTCAACTCTAAAATTCTGTTCGTTCTGTATCGTGCCTTCATGTTTCTCTACTGCCTGATTTGGTCGATCAATACAACAATTATTCTTGTAGAAGCATACCCAATCTACGTTGCGTATTTGTCTAACTGGGCGGAATGGACACTAGTTGTACATTTTCTTCTTGCTCTTCTAGTGGCAATCTATGGTTTGTTCTCACAATCAAGAGACTCGACGTCAACTGAAATTGGATGCTGCCCAGGAAACCGATGCAACAATGGTAAGTTTGGCGTGGTCAACTTGATAAAAACAAAAATGTATTTATATGGATAGTATACCACGAAACGGAAAATCCGAAGCCATGCATGATTAGGTAGACTATGGCCATTTGAACTGTCTTTTACTTCCACCTTACAGACTCAAATACACGCGTGTAAATGATGTATCATTATAATACTATAGACGAGACATCTGGTATACACAGCTAAGCGGCTGAAACACGTTGACTATTGTCTTATACTCATTTGGATGGCCCGAATCAAGTCGGTTATGATTATAGATGTAGACGTAGAGCAATTGTTGGATCAATGTATTTGAAACAACCACAGCCACAGTAGCCTCCATACCTAGTATGTACAAGCGGACTATTGTCGATTATTTACTTTTACAGGTGATGTTCGTTGGTTTCATCATTTAACTTGGGTTGTACTTACGGCAACAGCTGGTGTCAACTTCATTGTAACCATTATCTACTGGGCATTTTTATCTGGCATACGTGTAGCCTCTGTGCCCGCAAACGTACACCAACACATAATGAATTCCGTGTTAATGATTTTAGATATTTTCATTTCACGAATTCCAATTCGCTTATTTCATTTTATTTATGTGTCCCTTTATGGACTAACGTATGTGCTTTTTACCGCAATTCTACACGGAGCAGATGTGAAATCGGCTTTCTATACAAATCTTTTGGACTGGGAAAGTGCACCTGGTATCAGTGCCGGTGTATGTGTTGGGCTGATCGTTGTAGGATCACCCATTATACATCTAGTTAGTTTTGGATTTTACCATCTACGGGCTTTCATTGCGAGAAGTTGTGGTTGTTCTTCCACAAGTTCAGAGAATAGCGGGGAGGACAATCCTGGATTTGAGATGTCACACCCCAAAGAGGACGTTTAAATGGAAAAACTACGAGTATGGAAAAAAGAATACACTAATTTTTTGTCTTGTCGCAATGTCAGATTTTTGACTCGTGTTCAAACCTCTCATTTTGAATATTGCCATTTTGTTCAAAAATTATTAAATTAAAAGTACATTTAAGAATACTCTTCGCGAAAGTATATTTCACTGGTTGTTAAAATTAATTGGTATAATTCTAAAACTGTCTACGTGGTGAAGGCTTCCTCTGATAAGAGCAATGTTTTTCCAACTGTTGATATATGAATATCTATATGGTCTAAACTTTGTAATTGTTATCAAGTAGGTGTAAATGAGAAGTATACGATTGTGTGGAGTAATAAAACACCAGCTTCCAGTGTCAGTGTCTAGGGTTCAGACTATTCGGCAGGAACAGGATCGAATTTAGACGATGAGAGGCCCTACTAGGCTAGGCTATTTGCGAGGCCCCTCTTTTCAGTGACGTCATAAAATTATTATGACTTCATAATAGATTTTCCGCTAAATGTATAATAATGTCATGAAAAGACTTATATTGCACAAAATACGAAATTTCGGGTACAAGTGAGATACGTACACTAATTTCCTAGTCCTAGGTAGATTGGATAGTTATTTGGATTCAAAACAATTAAAGAACGCAATGGCACCAGAAACCAGACCCGTTTCTTGTCGCGAGAGATGAATGGCATGGCCCAATTATTGATAAATGGAATTATCATACAATTTTTTTAGGGAATTGGGTCAACGATAAAAATATCTGAAATAGTAGAAGAAATGAATATTACCCGACTAAAAAAAATTGAGAAATGATTGATTCTGGAAAAAGCCTTTAAACCTTAGAAAAATGATTATTAATTCAAAAGTCGAGCTCCCTAACGCCCGAGGCCTCTAGGCTTCATGCCCTGGGTAGAGAGAGATACTGTACGTAAGAACAGTTTCATAAATGTTTACTGATGGTGACTTCAATGACTTTACGTTGTAGCAATATAAAAATAATTAAATAAATACACAATTATCGATATATCACGTAAGCACTGCAATTTCGTATATTAATTGTGGTGACACTTACCATTTAAACGTTTCAGTAAGAGACGTGAAAGTCGTAAGAGCAGAATACTAATTTCTGTTGAATACTATCGTTTAATTAAATACACCTCGACAATGAAAATTTGCAAAAACATTTTTTCGAATCACTGTTAAGACACTAATCAGAAAGCCTTATTTGTGAAAAATAAAATGTCATTACCCAATTGCACTCTTTCGAATTTGATCTTAAACAAATATCGCACTATTTAATTACTCATAAGAGGATATCAGAAAAATTTTGAATGCTTAAATTGCACTTATTCGACCATGGCCTAAACAAAATACCACACTGAAGCCAACCCTCGGGCAGAATAGAATAGTAATCTGGTACTAAAGTTGCATCGAAATCGATTGACAGCGTCTTAAATACTGTCTGACAGAAATTATTCCAGTTTGCCGCAAAAGATAGATGTAGATAACGCGCATTGGGGTATTTCTGAAGGGTTGTGAGTTGGGTTAGACAGATAAATAATATCAATGTTCATTTAGCATTCTGAATTTATTACCAAAGATATTGTGCAGTACATAAAAACACGAAACAAAATGTTGCACACTTTATTATTGTACGCGGTAATATCAGGGGAACAAGCATGTAAGAAATTATCAGTAACTTAAATGCTTACTTGTGAAACCTCATATGCGAAATTACGATGTTTTTCTTATAACTAATGCAATCATCAAACAGGCTATTAGTTTGCCCTCTGAATGAAAGGGCGAAATGTTCAATAAAAGTACTTACTGTTTTTAAACAATGTAAAATCGGTATTAGTAAGCATATAAAAAATGATATTTTGATTCGATAAAATTTATACATCTTCCACAAAAATTGACGCGGAAAGATGTGGTTGTTAAAAATGTTTCTTCTTGAAGATGGTAATGTGTAACAATAGCAAATACAGTTTTGGTCTGAGTACGAACAGCAGAACCTTTTTTTTATTCTTACTTGTCTAATTGGCATTTGAATGGCTTGCTTCAAAACGGGATATTGGGCTGTATATGAACGGCAGTATATTGCAGTACCAAGGTATTATTCAGTTGGCGGTGCTGACAGTCCAAGGTGTAACTGGGCGAGCAATCATACATTGGCTCGTGTCATTGTCTTCTGTTGTTGTTACAAACTTGAAATCTGTTTAAAATAGTCTACTTGGCTAAAAGGAATATATTCAATTTCATAATATTAAAAGATAAAAATAATGCATTAGTTGAGTTATTAAAAGATTGACTTGAAACGTGATAAGTCACCACGAATCGGAATGACGCAACAATTTAATATCAGAAACAGACAAAATAAAAGTTATTTTAGAGCGACGCGAACGGCATGCCTTTCACTTTAAATCGATTAATTTCTGCCCAAAACGTGGTTGCAGTAGATGAGATTTAGAAAGGATTAGGTGTTTACAATGAATAGAATACGATTTCTATGAGACGTGCGTAACAACTTTGGACTTTCAGACGTGTAGATTGCAATTATATACAGGTAATTAACGATATATATTCAGGTGTTGTATTCGAAATTATGCAGTGAATCCAACGCCACCATTGTTGGGAAATTATAAATATTTCTAGCCTAGATTATGTCATACGATTTCTTCATATGAGGTAGTATTAACTATGTGATACCAGAAGAAACACCTTTTGGTAATACTTTCAGAAATTATATGCTATACGTTGTTCAATTACCTACTTTGTTATACAAAGTAATTACAAATTTTTTATTTATTCACACATCGCTTGCCTGTATTGATAGGCGTATAGTGTTCTGGCATATGCAGTTTCTGTGCCATAAAAATTATTATCAAAGCAGAAATGCACAAACGTTTGTCACGCCCTTCTTTTCTGACCTGGAAAATTTGTGCCAAAAATTGTTATTGATTTATGGCATGACGTAATTTTAGTCAAGTGACACGTTCCAAAGGACAGTCGATTATTTTTCACACCGTATGGAAGTAATGGAGCCTTGTGCTTCTTTGTTTGAGTTCATACCTTATTTTTCTAATAGATTTAGTAGAAGCACACGAAATTTAATTAATGACTCATATGGTGAAGCTTCATTAGTCTTAAATTAAAATGGCTGTTACTTCTTGTGCATATGAATTTCAACGTAAACATATTGGATTTGCCGATGCAAAACCCACTGACTTCTACTCAGCACAGGTAACAAATTTTTTTTTAGAATACTTGAATATTTATTTGAAAATTTTTTAGTTCAACGGATGTGTGTTTTTTAAAAGTTGATTCGAAGATATAATTGGGTATCAAAGTACCGTTACGCACCCTTATTTTTTTTCCACATAAGTTCAGTAACTATGAGCCACTCGAGACTATCACGATAGAGTTCTTTAATAGGGATGTCTATGGTTACAAGTCCTCAGAAACGTTAAATGAATAGCTGTAAAGTTAGGTACTATGAGCGATCTGGTATAAAAACGGAGCACAGGCTCCTGGACGACAATTTCAGATGAGAATAAAATTGGTGTGGTGAATCTGAGAATATAACATTGAATGAACGCGCATTCATAGTCTCACCACGCAAGGTTATCAACTTCACCACCATTCTGTTTGAATTTTGACTGAAAGATGTTTCAGCTAATAGCCTAATTCCAAACTTCGTCTACGTCTTGAAGGTTCAGTTAACGTGACTTTGGAACGGATCTACACTTATGTAGTGGTTTTCAAGCTTTCTTAATATACCCATTAGAAAATTCCAGTGCTCAAATAATAAAACATTATTATAACATTCAAAATCATTAGTTAACTGAAAAAGAAATATATACATATTAACATATTTTTATACTTTCAGTGGTTTCGTTTCAAGTCTGTCTACGTCGCGTATCGAGCATGTATTTTCGTTTACTGTTTACTATGGTCGATCATGAATGCTATGCATCTTATAAAATACGACACTAAGTATTATGCATATCTATCAAATTGGGGAGAATGGACTCTCGTAGCTCACTTCTTTCTTCATCTTGTCGTTTCAATATATGGATTAACGAGAGATGCTTATTTTGGAAGATCTGAACCAGATTGTTGTATGGGGAACAAATGCAATAAAGGTGATTATATTTTATATAGTGCAAAAGGAAATGTATAGTTGAATTTTTATGGCACTAAATATCACGATTGGCATATGAAAAGTTTGCTCTTGCATATCTTGCAGCATTATTATTATTATTTCCAAGAAAATTCAAAGTTATTATCGAAATTTTAGGTTCGAGTTATTATAAAATATACTGAATATATTTGAAAAATTTCATTTGACTTATGTATAACTGATATTTTGATGTAATTTAAGTTCTACTTTTTTGTTATTTCTGGATGTATTTATTTCAGACGAACTACGATGGTTTCACCATTTAACATGGGTGACGGGTTCAGCCTCAACAGGAGCACAGTATATCATCACAATTCTGTATTGGAGTTTCCTTACAGATAACAAAGTGACTAGTAACGCTGTCAATATTCACCAGCACGTTATGAATTCAGTTCTGGTCACTATAGACCTGTTTATTTCTCGTGTTCCGGTTCGGTTTTTGCATTTCGTTTACGTCTCTCTATACGGCATCACGTACGTATTGATTACGTTGATACTGCACGGAGCAAATGATAAATCGGAATTTTACGCTGGTATTTTAGACTGGAAATCAGAACCAGGAGTTTCAACTGGTGTTGTATTTGCAGTTATTTTAGTAGGCGCACCTGCTGTACACGCGGTGTCTTTTGGTTTCTACCACTTGAGGGCATTCATAGCTATAAAGTCGTCGTGTATGCAGCCTACTGTTGGGGAAAACGGCAATGAAGGTGGAGATGGAGAAAATAACGTTGGACTTGAAGTAATGGTTTCTGCAAATGGAAGTGCCAGGGTGTAAAATCACAAAACGAATATGATATTCTTCAAATTTCTCTTTTGTTTATGCATATTTGCATTTTTGGTTACAACTTTACATGACAAGCCGCGTGTGTTGGAATTGAAAGACATGTTACAGTTCATTTCCAGTGTAGTTCTTATTGCTACGTCAGTTTGTACACAATATTAATCACAGGGAAGTAAAGTAAAAAAGCACAATGACCGAGGATCTGTGTTCAACAGTATTAAACTTTACATAAATCACAGAAACTATGATTTTGCGACGCCAGTCCTACTAGTTATGTGTTTTGGAGCAATCGTATATATTATATTTGTACTGCATTATTTAAAATAAATATAAATTCCAATTTTGCTTTATTTTTTTTTTATGTTTTAACGAAGATAAACCGAGTCAAAGTGACAATTACAATGTGACATGCCGCGCATACATTTAATAAATTCGAGTACCAGAAATCGCCTAATTGCTGCATATGTAAGCTCTAAACTAAGTTATTTATAAGGTCCTCTTTAAAATGACGTTCGTTATAAGACTCCATTGAATTATTTGTGACGTCATATATACATTTTATGTTTATGTAAATACGAAATAAACAATTTTTTATATTGCGTGCAATGCGAAATTTAGGTTAAATGAAGCTACGTACGCTTATCACTAGGGCTGGGCATTTTTGAATACCTTGTGATTTCAGAATCGAATCGAATAATTTTTTCGAATCGAATCGAATCTCGAATACTTGAAAATATATAATTTTAAGCGACTTTATTATAGTAATTGATCCTCTCAACAAATGAATTACTAAAGACAGAGAATAAATCACCCAGATAGATTACTGAGCGTTCACACAGAATAACAAACACGTTTTATCAATAACTCACTACAGAAAATAGTCATATGTTAGAATTTCGTTGAATAAATATGACTCTAATGAAAAAAAAAATGGGGAATTCATCTCGACCATTAGCGCAAAGATGAAAACAAGATGGCGGCGATTCGAAATTTAGCTCTGAACCGATTCGAATAATTTACTATTCGATTCGATTCGAATATTCGATTTGAAATGCCCAGCCCTACTTATCACTCGATTAATTGAATAGCACGTTGAAAAAACACAGCACTTTTAAAAAACTCAAGGCTATAATAAAACGCCTTGGCATGATGAGACCCCGACGTCATAATACCCGTTTCTAGTCGCGGTAAAAAGTTTTATCAGTGTAAATCAGAATTCACTTATTTGAATGTATTTAATTTTTTAGTTTTTCAAACGAAAATAATATGGGACAAGGGGTTCAGCCTATCTTGCCGAATGGTAAATTTGGCTCCGCTTTCAGCCAAATCCAAAGGGACCAGGGCAATTGTAAGGTTGAGAACCCCTACAATGAATACATTGTGGTGGTGTGTAAATCCTTACTCATTTCAAAAATATGCAGTAGTTAAAAATTTTCTATTCAGTTAAATGCAACCTCTACTGATAGTTAAAAAAAATTTGATTTAAATTTAATCAAAACTGCATCCAAGTTACATATGAATAGTTACAGTTGGAGATATGTAAAGCTATCATTGCCCATACTTGGTTAATTTCAAGAAAAACACGGCAGAACAATTCTCTACTTGGCTGTTTGGCAAATATATTAATAATTCAAGTTACGATACGATGCTATTCAAACTAAGTTGGACTGAACTAATTAAGGCATTTCATGTTTTGAACATTCATGTAATATCTGAGTATATATAAGTGGAAATCAATCGAAAAATAGTAATGAAGAGAAGTTGAATGGAGATACTATGATAGAAGGATTATGTAGATGCCCGTGTACGGATTGCAGCGCTGGAAAGTGTAGCACTGAAGAGGCATTGATTGTCCGTATATGTGGACAATACAAATTAATACATTCAGGCTACTCACTACTGACTTTCTATACTCGATTTCAAACACATAGCATAGCTGAAAGGACAATATTAGGATTGTATAAGTAGTTTCAAAAATAGTAGCATTTTGCCTCAAAATGGCTACATTTAATTGTACATAGTTTTGTTTGGATTGAAAAACGTAAAAAATTTCATGGAAAATGGCTCTAATTGTCAAAATATTATCAAATTCAAAGTAGGCCTACAAAAGTTATAATTTATATATATATAAACACACTTTTAAACCAACAGATGCAAAAAACTACGTTTTATTTATTGTTAAATCAACAGTAATCTGGTGATACTACTGTTAAAAATAGTATACGGCTATTATTTATTTTCAGTGGGGAACAATTAACACGTTTTTTTGCTTTACCATGCATTTGTGTTTCAACTGGTATGGTTGCCAGCTGGATGTATAAATGGAACAGCCGTTTATTATTTTAAATTATCAAACTGTAACTGTCCCCCGTCTGGACGCTTTCAGCACTCATTGTCCCCCGGATTATCATTCCACTGGTATTTATAGTGTTATTTTGATTGGTAGATTCCAAATCCCAATATTTTCAAACAATTTATTCATGCACAAAAAACACCCGATGAAATAATCTTATCAAGCAATGAAACGAAAATATCGATCAGAGACGAAGACTTATCGATCGAAAGTTAGGGATCCCCAAAACAGCGCTCTTACTCCATAGTGACACCTTGTGTCCCATCACTAATTAATTGATAACTTGCTAATTATACGACATAATTCGCCCAAAATCAATAGGCTTCTGGTCCGAGATAAGATGAATACACCTGCAAAATCTGGAGCAGATTCAATCTCGCTTTCGTGAGATATCGCGTGCATCTAACAGACAAACAGACATACAGACAGACAAATACCTATCAACATACTTACCGATTAAAATCGATAAGTAACAAAGAAGCACGGGTTTTTGGAAATGGAGGAAATGAAATAAAATCAGTTTCGCGCCCAGCATTGAAGCACCCCTCAAACTGCTCTTTGGACCCCTTGTTGAGCCCCCGTGTCCGGTTAGGAACCGCTGCTTTACCGTATGATCAATCTTTCTGCATTCAGTGGTATACTAAAATATCGGTTCAAAATGGCAAATGTATCTTTGCCCCTTGAAAATACAAACAGACGACAGACAAAATCTAACCCGACAGAATACACGTGCTGATTCTGAACGCCGGGAAGTTCCTGATTGTGAAGGTGCTATAACTTGATTCGAGTATTGACATCATTGATGCATCATGCATTGTTTCAATCTGAATGTTGATTCCATGTTATGGAATACTTTTTTATGTGATTATAGGGGACATAAAATGGCTGCACGAAGCTGATTGGGTGTTTTACTCCATAGCATTAGATGCAGTTCGACTTGTTACCACTGTATATTGTATTGAATGGATTGCTATATTTCCGTACGAGAATCTGCACGCTATGGACGCCATACGCGTGGATACACTAATCAACTTTACGGTAATGTTCGTTGATTTCTTCGTTGTCAACATCCCGACTTCTTCCTTTAATATGAAATACGTTTGCTTCAATATTATATTCTGTTCTTTCTTTCCTTTTGTGATAAATGCTGCTAGTTTACATTTGGCTGTATAATGCTTCACAAAATTTATAAAGATTACGGAGTTTGTTACCGGCATATTGAGTATGATAAATGTACCAGGAATAGATACTCCACTCCGCCTGGTTGGAATTATATCATCTAGGAAGGTGTGTGAAAAATGATTGCTATTTAATCTAGCCTTGTGTAAAAATGGAAATACCAAGTGAGTCTCGTGGTCGAATTCCGTTTTTGCAATGATACGTTCGTTTAACATTAAATACCTTGATAACTGCGATGCTTACCTGGCATACCAAGCAAACTGGTTTTGAAATGCGCGAAAAAGAAAAATATTTTTCCTTACTAGCACTTGGAATGTTCGGCCCTCGTCGCAAACTTCCCTTCATTCTCCAGACATTTTCAAATTTTAAAAATCATATTAAACTTAATTTATAATTACAACCAACGATGACGTTCATCAAGTAAACGACTTACTGACATTACTTGCTATAAAACAAACGACGTACAGCGGCACTTGTTACAACATAAATTTATGTGGATACAATGCATTTAGAATCAATTTTTGTTTTATGAATTAAAAGTCATTCGAGGGCCGCAAAAAATTTGTCCGCGGGCCGCATATGGCCCACTGGCCGCAGTTTGCCGACCCCTGGTCTACAGGTACAGAGCCTCGTGATGTTATGGATTAGGCTGACTGAAAGTTTCTGTTTCTTCTAACTTTGTAGAACCGTCTCGCTCAGCACAAGTTGTATATGTCATATTTCTTGACGTAAGTAACTCATTTTATGTGCTTGATACTTTTCGGGTTTACAGCCTACCAAATTTTCCATACCACATGTGAAGTGTTAGTTGGACTGAACGTGATGCTACCAATTTTTACTTAAGTTTATAAAGAACAAAATGTTCTTGGGCTTCAATTAAGTTATTGGTTATTTCTGCAGATTTAATGGACCTGTAATTGAATCAAACGTTGATATTCTGTTCTACACCCAATAGTTCTCAACAGATAAATATTTGAATATGTGTTTGTTGTTTTATTCACCTAAAGAACATGGGGATTTGAAATAAAAATTATCAATGTGAATAATATACACAACCATTTTTCCGCTTCTTGAGGCAATGTGATAAACCAATCTCAAATTGTTTCAAGTAGTGCTAAGCATATAAAGAAATCTGTTTTTCATATAACAGACATTTATAATGGAGCTTATTATTGACTCAACCCTTTTAGTATACGGTCTCATGAAACAACTTATATTGATTGAAATGCATGCCTGAAAACCAAGAGCAGTCACAATCTATCTCATAGCAGACGATTAAAAATAAAATTTGAAAAATTGTTGCAAATTTGCTAATTTACTATAATGAAAATTGGTGTCATTGAATTAGGCCAGGCAGTTGAATATCTCGCATTTGACTGGACTGACAGAGAAAGGGCCAATATGCTTTAGACTTACTTTACCCAAAATGTGGAACATAAAAAATTCAACAAGAAAAACAATCAGTTCAATTGAAAATGCAAGGCAAATATTTGGTCATCCACTCATGGCGTGGAACTAACTATAACCAAAATAATATGGTAATCAATAACATCAATTTTATCAGAAATCCGTCTGATTTTCCAATCTTATAAAATATATTTGTTTATCCTGCATTGTTCTTTCGAACAGGTTGTCCCACCCTACGCAACTGGTTTGACGAGGATTTTATCAGAGATTTTCCCGGAAGTTGCATTTCTCGTAACCCTGCTATAGCTGATTGGAATCCAGCATTAAAATCGATGGCTACTTCGTTTTGAATCTGCTCCGTAATGTAATCGTTGTATCTGTATGGTAATGAAGAATGGAAGAATATTAACAGTTGTGTCGTCAATCATTATCTGAAAAACCTATTTCGATTAAACACCTGAAAAATCGTATTAACAACAAATGTATCTTGTGGAAATTTTGGGTTGCTATAAATAGATAAAAAAAACTAACTGTGAAGGATTAAAAGGTTGTTGTTCATTCTGCTAATATTCCGTAAGCCAAGTATATACTCAGTTCTAACCAAAATATTTTCATTAAATAAGTTAATTGTACTCACTTTCCTTGCTGATCAGGTCCACCGACCAAGGCTCCATACAATGTATGTGGACTGTCAGCTGATATACGTAAACGAGAAGCATCACACTTAGCGGGTGGATCAAGACATGAACTGAAAATTAAGGTATTATATTTGTTAGTTATTCATCACTAATAAGCAGGAATATAACTCTCAGTAGTAGGTTCCTGACAGTACAGAAGAATACCTCCGAGTACAGTAATACTACGAGTTATACAACTAGCAAGAATTTAAAAAACGAAGCGTTGTGAAACAATTAATGAACCACCGTACTGCGTAATACACTGACTTCTTAAAAATGTAATTTTATGGTACTTAAGGTAATTATGCCTATTATACGTCAATCCCCAACATGCACCTTAGAATAATTTGCAATATCACGTCTCGACTAATATTATATTTAAATCTAATATATCCCCAAGCTATAGACTCCTTAAATACAAGCCGGGTTCTTGTTGTCATTGGGGAATGCAAGAAATATCTTACAAACAATAAAGTCATTTACCTTGCCATATGATGAGGACGTTTCGGGTAATTCTTACCGAATCCGACAACGTAACTACGTTCACCGTCACCCAGAAGCAAATGAAGTTGTTCCTCTGCAAATGATGCTGCTATTGATCCGAACGGAAAGCGTTTATATATCATTGCTGTCTGCAGTGCCAAAAACGCAGAGTTTGCTATAAAATATTAAAAAAAAATACTTTTGAATAAAACAAAGTAGTCTTATATGAAGTTTGTTTGCCGATTTTCTGGTCACACATAATCGAATATAGTTCTATTAGTGCCTAAATCCGATGCCGACTTGACTTTGTCATGACGCATTCTGTAGTTGTTTTCCGAATAGGAATTGGGACATTTATCCATTCTCATAAGATAAACTAATACCTCTCAAGAGTTTGAAAATAGTAATGAGAATGTATTTTAACAAAATTACCCGTGTGCATGTTTGTTCCCTTTTCATGTAACCAAAGCTGTTTGCTCGGTGTTCGCGTTCCATTCTTCGCCAGTTTGATTATCAATTTTCTAGACTCTATCAAATAATCCTTCTTTTTCGTGAATTTGGCTAACAATATCTGAAAATTCGATAATTTCCAATTAATTCAGTAAATAAATGGAATTAACGATTTTCTGAATGTTATGATTTTTCAATAGTTGAAAATTTACATAAACGTCCTTCGCTATTAAAAAAGATCGTTAAACACATTCATTCGGCAAAAGTATGAATTTGCATGTATGAAAGTATGAAAATACAGAAACTAAATTAATATAAATATGCATTGCATTATGCATTAATCTAACTGGCTTATCTTCAGCCAGCAAACTTGGAGCTGAGTATACTTCCACAAGACTTTCCCAATTTGGTTATTTTAATAGGACTCCAATATGCAAAATATTATCGACAAAACATACCGGCAATGCGTTTGTTTTATCTTCCCAGTAGAACAGGTTTGCAGGACTTGTGGTGATTTTCTTGTACATAGCTTCTGCTCTTTCAAAATATGCCTTATTTCCTGTAGCTTTACCCATCCAAAGCATCGCCCACACCTGAAATGAGCAGGAAATTTTAAGTTAATAAAAATATATTCGCAAAAATTAAATGCCGCTGAAGAATTTGAGTTTATTTTTACTTTGTATCATAATAATAACAAATTTTCTGATTTTCAGCCAATAAATATAGCCTGCATTGGGTTTATTGGCCGCGTGAAAAATAGAATAGATTACTTGAGGAAACCGAGTCAAATTTATTATTTAGCGATCTCGATCGGTAAGTATGTTGATAGGTATTTGTCTTTCTGTTTGTCTGTTAGACATTTTCGTATGCTACGCGATATCTCACGAAAGCGATGTTAAATCTGCTCTAAATTTTGCATGTGCATCCATCATATCTCGGACCAGAAGCCTCTTGATTTTGGATGAATTATGTGGTATAATTAGCAAGATATTATTTAATAAGTGATGGGACACGCGGTGTCGCTATTGAGTCAGAGCGATTGAACATGCGGAAGTTCGATAAGTCGGCGGTCTCCGATCGCTACCTAGTTATTAACTGAGATACAATTTGAGTAACCACAGCATTTCTCTCTGTTATGTTTAGCTATGATCGATCTACCAAATAGGTTGAATTGTAATGTCCTATTTAGTAATATAAATAATATATATTAAATAATTAATTTACCAAATCATCCAAAGTGTCAGATGTCGTATGATATCTGTTCGCAGTTGAGGGAATGACTTGACTATATTTGCCTGGATATTTCTGTGCAAAACTGTACAATTGCCTGGCGTGGAGCAAACATTCTTGAGAAAACTTGGAATCTGTTGAACAAAAATTCCAGAGTTAAATTCTGACAAGTCGTTTTGTGCGAGACAGAATAAGATAACATCATGCCATTAACGATATCTCCTTCCAGCTCATATTGCCATTAAATCAACTAAATTCCGAAAGAACTTCCTGAATTACTTATGTGATTATATTTAACAACAACCAACTCTCGGCTTGTCTTATATGATTTGTCCATTTCTTTAATTCAGTGGAATTAATTAAGTGAAATTTTCTAACAGTTTGTTTCCCGATTTTACGCAAGACTGGGGTAAAACAACAAAAGTTTAAGATAGGATTTATCCAGCTTTATTATGAACGTAAAAGGCATGGAGAAAATGAAATTTAAATATTAACACTCCATGGCAAAGTTAAGCGAGTTCATTACCCTAAATCCATCAACAATCTATGTCTTAGCAGTGATTAATTTAATTAAGTAAAACAAATAATTGATTAAAATTATTAACTATTTCAACAGGTGACATACCTGTTGACTTGAACATGAATCCTGCTGCAGCTAGAGCGGCCGCTGTTTCAGCAGCAACATCTTGGCCTGGATTTTTAGTATTTATCTTGTATATTTTTCTTCCTTCTACGTCCAGCTCTTCTGGCCTTGTCCATTTCGTTCCACTTGAATCATAGTCTCCTATCTATAGTTCAAGAAACAAATATAAATGATAGTTATTGTTGCTTGACAATGTAAGCTGCATGCTGTAATGTGTAGTCACATCTTTTTCTACATGTTAGCACATCTCTTTCATATTTATATAATCATATCATTATTCTTTCGTTGTATGGTCATTACTACTTGGTATTTTATTACTTACTTTTTCCATATTTCTAAGAAATAAAGGTTGTTAAGTCATATACCAGCTATACTGATTGTCCATATGTTGGACTTTTATTTACCGCAAATGTTTGAAACAACAATTTGTTCTGAAGTATTCTCATCTACCAGCAACATTATATATAAATTATGTACCAGAGTTTTTACACCCAAGGTGAGGTAACTGAGTACTGGTGGCCCAATTCGGGTTCGAACGCAGTATAGATCAAGAGATGAAAATATATTATTACATTTTTAATTTAAACTGACCTGAACCACTAACTCATTCGCGCTTGTGTGACAGCGAATCAAATAGTTTGCGTTACTTTTAATGATTTTCACAAGATCGTCGTATTCACCAGCGGCAGTGTATGCTGATTTATAATCAATTCCTCCCCAAGCAAGCATAGTTGTTGTAAATGCAATAGCCAATGTAGACTTTTCGTAACCAGCACCTAAAGTTGATCAGAATAGTTTTTTTGTGAGCAGTGGGCCAAATTATCGAAACATAGTGATTATGATGATACAACAATGTTTTTATGTTCAGCGTAGAATAAGCAAATTGCAGTCACATCCATGGTGTCGTTGACAACTCCTCAGAACACGAAATATACAGATTTAAAATGCGGGATCATCATGCGTGCTCTTGCTCTCCGGATGATCACAGAAGCTATATATATCTGATTTATATATTTGGACTCGCTCAACCTACTTATCTTATGAATGAGAAGAGGTCTATATTCAAAATTACGCAGCTGCCAAAATTATTATACATATACGTTATTGTAATTGGATTAGGCTAGATATAGTTCATTTATGTATTACTAAACATTATCGATTGTAAAAGAAGTTAATCTCAAACTTACCACTGTAAAGTCCTCCGAACAAGGCGTCCCCAGTGTTACATCCATCCTTCAGTGCAGAGTCGCCTCTCCAAGGTATTGGGAATATTTTAGGAAGTTTGCCAGATTTCTGAGCCATGTAGAAAAGTCCAGATTTATGCAGAACTTCGTTGTAATCATAGATTGATTCTGTGTAAATGAAAGGTAAAATATAGATAATGTAGATGAGGTTTTTGACAGTGTTTATAATGAAGCGAAACAAATGATGATAATATGATGATGTAAATGATGTTCTATGTCTTGTAATACGAAGCGACCAATAAGCAGGAAATTGACTTCAAATTATTGCTATCATTCTACCAAAATTCCTAATTCATTCAAAGCATCGCCAAATTCAAGTTTCAAGTATTGATATTTTTCCGCATATTTGATATATATATACAAAATTTTGCGTTTTTGTTCACGATTGAGAAACTAAACCAACAAATCTTGTAAATTTATGATAAAATTAAAGACTTGTTATGGTTACTTTTGCTTGAGCTTTTAGACCATTTTGGTCTTGTTAATCCTCCTTCTGGAAGGACACCATTAGCAGATTTTGCCAAGCATCTATTTGCGGGCCAGATATTCCCGGGACGAGGCTTGAATGCTGATCTTGGCCGAGCGGTTCGTCGGGGTGCTGCTCCAGGGCGTCTTGCTGTTCCTGGTCGTCGTGCTCCAGCTCCTGCCGTTCCGGGCCGTCTGGCTCCAGCTCCAGCCGTTCCGGGCCGTCTGGCTCCAGCTCCTGCCGCACCGGGCCGCCTGACTCCAGCTCCTGCCGCTCCTGGTCTTCTTGGAGCTGGAGTTTGCTCAGTGGCTGTCGCTCTTGAAACTGCTGGAGGTCTTGTTGGAGCGCTTGGAACCCTGGAATTAAAACAATATTTTTCAAATGTACATATATATGCAAGTTATAAATAAGTTTCTGAATGATTCTTCATAATTGTGTGGAAATTTCACAGATGATGTAATGAAAAAAATAAAATAAAAATACATCGATACTCACTCTTTTGCTTTAGTGCCGTTTCCAAGTTTTTCTAGTACTTTTTGTCCTTGAAACATGTTTCCAACAACTTTGCCAGCGAGTATGTCGTCAGTACATTTTCCCATGAGCAACGCTCTGCCACGGGGCACATTTATGTCTTCATTGCCAACCTTTCCAATAAAGGCGACTGTCAAATCCTGCAAAATTTGCGAAAATTCAAATAGTTGACATAATATATGTGATACAAATTTTATATTGTGTATGTTGTATTTTGATTTGTATATGTTATAATATTAACCAAGTTATCAATATAAAAAATTTATACACCAATATCGCACTTACCTGATTATAATGAAGTACTGCCATATACGGCTTAGGCAAAAACGCAACGGTTTTTCTGTCGTCTGTGGCGATGAAGAAATTAACAACGTGGGTTTCAATATCAAGTATTGGTGACTCGAATTGTATTTTCACTATCCATCCATTCATCATTGGTTTCGTTAGACGAGAGAAATTTACCATTGCATTGAAGCCTCCTGGCCAAAAGCTAAAAACTGTAATATTTGATTCGTAGTATGGGCAACCATATACTGTTTTGTTAATAGTCAGTTGAGGCTTATAATTCAATCCATCATCCATCCCTTGCCATGCATCTCCGTCTTTCGCCACAGCAAATTTATCATCTATCTGATCTAATTCTTTTCCCGGTACATTTGGAACTTTTTTCAATATTGCAACACTCTCGGGTGAAAACGTACCCACGGGTCTTGGCAATATGGGTCGGTTACTCAATGGTACAAGAGGACGGAAAATTGGGAGTGAAGGGCGGGCTCGTATCGGTGGCCTTGCGGGGGCAAGTGGGCGGAATCCAGAGTTGGCTCCAAGTCGACCTCGTGCTGCTAATCGAGGAGGTGGACGAGTTGTGGGTCGGCGTGGGTAAGCTGGTCGTCGCGTTATTGGTTGTAATGCGCGGTAAGTTGGCATGGTGGGCCTAGTTTTGGGGGTCGTGGTTGTTGGTTTCGTGGTGGTTGTTTTCCTAGTAGTTGTGATTTCAGTTGTGGTTGGCGCAATAGTAGTAGTTGGTTCTTCTGTTGTACTTACTGCCGCTGATTTTGTTGTTGTAGGAGTTTTTATTGCTTTTCCGCCTACAGGCTTAGGTCCGGTTCGTCCTTTGGCAACAGGTTTTAATCCCACTTTACCTTTTCCGGGCAAAGGTTTTTTAATAGGCTTTTTAGTTGGTACAGGTCGTCGTTTTATTGGCGGCTTTTTAACAGGTTGTTTTTTACCAAAGCCAGGCTTCTTTCTGGTGAGTAATGGTTTCTTGCGAGCCAAACCAGGCTTTTTACCTTGGATTCCAGGCTTTTTCTTACCAACAAACGGTTTCTTTTGGGCACCCGCTGGCTTCTTGACAGATAGACCCGGTTTTTTCTTGGCCATACCTGGCTTCTTTCTGGTACCCACGGGCTTCTTTGCAATTTCTCCCGGTTTCTTAATACCAGCAATAGGTTTCTTTCTAGATAAAGCTGGCCTTTTTCCCCGAACAGGTTTTTTTAGGGGTCCCCTTCTTGTAACTACCGGTTTTTTTGTAGGTGCTTTACTAGGCGTGACTGTTTTTTTAGTGACTGCTGGTTTCTCCGTGACAGAAACAGATCTCTGTGTCGATGATGTCGTTGATTTTGGCGAAGTAGGTGGTTCTGTGGTTTGTAAAATTGTTTCTGTCGTTGGTTCCTTTGTCGCAGTTGTTGTTGACTTGTGAATTGGAGTAGTTGGTTTTGTCGGAACTTCAGGTTTTTTGACAGTTTCACTAGGCTTTTGTCGGGCTAGAACTGGCTTCGTAGTGCCGGTAGGCTTTTTAGGAGCCACACCTGGTCGTCTTCTAGTTCCCAATGGTTTCCTTCTGCGTAAATTGGGTCTCTTTCCTGTGAGAGGCTTTTTCAGTGGCCCTCGTTTTGGAGCGGTTGGCTTTTTTGCAGGAGCTTGTCTCGGAATGGTTGGTTTTTTGGTTTCAGTTGGTATCTTTGTCGCCACAATAGGAATAGTGGTTGCAACGGTTGTTTTTTTCAATTCTTTTGTGGTTGTGCTAGGCTGAATTGTTGATACGGTTGCTTTTGTTGTAGTGGGAGACAATTTTGGCGACGTAGGTGGTTCTGTGGTCTGTATAATTATTTCTTTTGTTGGTTCCTTTGTCGCAGTGGCTGTTGTTACTGGCTTTTCAATCACAGAAGTTGGTTTTATCAGAACGTTAGGTGTTTTGGCAGTTTCACCAGGCTTTTGTTTTACTGGGGTTGGCCTATTTATAGTTCCGATGGGCTTCTTGGGAGCTACGCCTGGTCGCCTTCTAGCTCCTAATGGTTTCCTTCTGCGTAAATTAGGTCTTTTCCCTGTAACAGGCTTTTTCAGAGGCCCTCTCGTTGGAGCGGTTGGCTTTTTTGCAGGTGCTTTAGACGGAGTGGCTGGCTTTTTGGGAGCCACGCCTGGTTTTCGTCTGGATCCAGTAGGTTTCCTTCGTAATGTAGGTTTCTTGCCAGCGCCGGGTTTTCTCAATGGTTTCCTTGGTAATAATGGTTTTTTTGTTGGCTTTTCTGTTGGTTTTCTAGGTTTTTCAACCGGAGAAATGGGTTTCTTCGATGGAATTTTTGAGGGTTTGCTCGGTGTAATTGGTTTCTTAGGTGATGGTTTTTTAGACACGACAAATGGCTTTATAATTGACACTGGAGTCGGCTTCTTGGTTGGAGAAACCGGCGTCTCGGGTTTCTTCGATGGACTTTTTGGGGGTTTGCTTGGTGTAATTGGTTTCTTAGGTGATGGTTTTTTAGACGCGACAAATGGCTTTTTAGTTGACACTGGAGTCGGCTTCATGGTTGGAGAAACCGGCGTCTCGGGTTTCTTCGATGGAATTTTTGGGGGTTTGCTCGGTGTAATTGGTTTCTTAGGTGATGGTTTTTTAGACACGACAAATGGCTTTTTAGTTGACCCTGGAGTCGGCTTCTTGGTTGGAGAAACCGGCGTCTCGGGTTTCTTCGATGGAATTTTTGAGGGTTTGCTTGGTGTAATTGGTTTCTTAGGTGATGGTTTTTTTGACGCGACAAATGGCTTTTTAGTTGACACTGGAGTCGGCTTCATGGTTGGAGAAACCGGCGTCTCGGGTTTCTTCGATGGAATTTTTGGGGATTTGCTTGGTGTAATTGGTTTCTTAGGTGATGGTTTTTTAGACACGACAAATGGCTTTTTAGTTGACACTGGAGTCGGCTTCTTGGTTGGAGAAACCGGCTTCTTGGGTTTCTTCGATGGAATTTTCGGGGGTTTGCTTGGTGTAATTGGTTTCTTAGGTAATGGTTTTTTAGACACGACAAATGGCTTTTCAGATGACACTGGAGTCGGCTTCATGGTTGAAGAAACCGGCGTCTCGGGTTTCTTCGATGGAATTTTTGGGGGTTTGCTTGGTATAATTGGTTTCTTAGGTGATGGTTTTTTAGACACGAAAAATGGCTTTTTAGTTGACACTGGAGTCGGCTTCATGGTTGGAGAAACCGGCGTCTCGGGTTTCTTCGATGGAATTTTTGGGGGTTTGCTTGGTGTAATTGGTTTCTTAGGTGATGGTTTTTTAGACACGACGAATGGCTTTTTAGTTGACACTGAAGTCGGCTTCTTGGTTGGAGAAACCGGCTTCTTGGATAGCGTAACTTTTGGCGACGTAACAGGCAATCCAGTCGTTAGTAGTGTAGTCGGCGTAACAGTTTCTTTAGTTGATGAAATTGATTTTGCTGTCGTAGTCATTGTTTTTGTAGTTACAGGCCTTTCAGTTGACGTCGACGATGATGCTTCAGGTAAAATGCTTGGTTTTATCGTCGAGTCCAGTTCTTTTGTTGACAAAATTGGTGGACTGGTTGATAATGTTGGTTTCACAGTTGTCTCCTCAGTCGAGGTGAGCTGATGTGTGGTTGTTGTAGTTTTCTGAGTTTCTTCAGTAGATTTCGTCGTGTACGCAGTGGACGGTTCGGTTGCAGCTGCTGGTTCCGCTGTGGTGGTGCTTGGGTAAGTTTTGGAAATTGATGTTCCTTCAGATTGACCCGTTGTTGACGTATCTGAAATTAAAATAATTTCTGTGCTAGGTATAACCGGTCCTTTGGAAATCAAATCCGTCTCATTTGGAGCAGCAGTTGAATCAAATGTTTTTTCCACTGTGACGGTGCTTGTGACAGTTACATTTTCTCGTGTAGAAATTGAAACGGGATTGGTAGTTCCCTCAGTTTGACCCGATGTTGACGCATCTGAAACTAAAATTATTTCTGTAGCGGGTGTAACCGGTCCTTTAGAAATCAAATCCGTCTCATTTGGAGCAGCAGTTGGATCGAATGTTTGTTCCACTGTGACAGTAATTGGGTCAGTTATATTTACTAGTGTAGAAATTGAAACGGGATTGGTGGTTCCTTCAGTTTGATCCGTTGTTGACGTATCTATATCTAAAATTATTTCTGTGGCGGGTGTAACCGGTCCTTCAGAAATTGAATCTGTCCCATTTGGAGCAGCAGTTGGATCAAATGTTTGCTCTACTGTGGTGGAGTCTGGATCAGTTCCATTTAGTATTGTATAAATCGAAATGGGTTTAGTAGGTCCTTCGGTTTGACTCGTTGTTGATATGTCTGAAACTATTATAGTTTCTGTCGTGGGTGTAACTGTCTCATTTGGAGCAGCAGTTGGATCAAATGTTTGTTCTACTGTGGTGGAGTCTGGATCAGTTCCATTTAGTATTGTATAAATCGAAATGGGTTTAGTAGGTCCTTCGGTTTGACTCGTTGTTGATATGTCTGAAACTATTATAGTTTCTGTCGTGGGTGTAACTGGTACTTCAGAAATAGAGTCCGTCTTATTTGACGCGGCAGTGGGATCTGGTTGATACGAAATAGTTGTTATGATTGTCTCTGTTGCGGATATATTTAGTTCCTTTATAAGTTCATTTGTAATGGTTTCAACTTGTTGAGTTGATTCCGTCGTAGATATATTCAGTTCCAGAGATGTTGGAACCGACAATTCAATCTCTTCTATCGGTTTTGTTGTGCTTGTATTTACAGAAACCAATGTCTTTGTACTAGGTGTCACCATTATTGAAGTTTCAAATTCTTCAGAAATAGGAACTGATTTTGTTGATTCTACCATCGATTTAGAAGTGACCATATCACGTTCTTCAACCATTGTCGACGTTTCATCAATATTCATTACTGGTTTTGTTGTTGAGATATTTCCAGAAATTAAAACCATTTCTGCCGTTTGAGTTGCTATCTCTATTCCTGACGTGACTGGATTTTCGATAGTAGACAATGTGCCACTGATCTCCAAAGTGGAGTCTGTTGAGGATATGTTCAATTTGATCGAAACTGGTTCTGTACTTTCGATAAAGGATTCCGTTGTGGTAGCGTTTGGATCAATAAAAACTGTCTCATTAGGTTTTGCGCTTGGCTCTACTGTATATACCTCTGATACTCCCGAAACTGGATCTGTACTTGCGTCGACAATAGGTTCCGATGAAGTTGTGTTTGGATCAATAAAAACTGTCTCATTAGCTTTTGCGCTCGATTCTGTTATGTATTCCACCGATTCTCTAGTAACTGAAACTATTGTCGCCGTTTCTTTTGTAAGTTCGACAGGCTCTTTAAACGCAGAAGTCGGTGCTTCGGTTTCATCTATTAGAATTGTTGTAGTTGTATTTTGTCTTTCAGAGAAATATGTTGGCTTGTCAGTTATCATACTTGCTCCTGTCGCTGATGCATTTACCGTTTCAGGCATAGTTACAGGATCCTCGATGTCTTCAGTCGTTTTAGCTGGAGTCGTGCTTTCAAGTATAAAGACTGGAGTTGCTGTGTCTCTGGTTTGTTCTGTTGTGAATGCATCTGTTATTTCAGAAGTTGCGTTAAGGTTTCTGGATTCTACGGATGGTTCCGTCACAAATGAATCTGGTGCTTCAGAAATTAAACTACGATTTTCTGTTTCCACATACCGATTCGTTGTTAAAGTAATTGGTACTTCGGAACTAGAAACTATCACAGTTGATTTTGTCGTAGGTATATTTGGTGTTTGTGGAATTGAATCAACTTTTGCTGTTGTTATCGTTGATTGTTCTATAACACCAGTCGTTAAAACTGGTTTATCTGTTTCCTCAGACACTGCGACGGGTTTTGTAGTCGTTGTTGTAGGTTCTTTAGAAGTCAAAATCGATTCTCCTTTTTCTGTGGGTGATGTATCAGGTTCTTCAGACAAAACTAGCGGTATCTCAATTTCTGTTGGTGTTAGAGGTGATGATGAGATTGTCGATGATACTGTTGGTATAGCCGATTCATCGGTTGGCATAATTGGTACTTTTCGCGTACTTGGTGTTGATCTTCTTGGAGGTGGAGTTTGTTCTGTTGTCGAAGGAGAGAGTATTGTAGTTGTTGAACTAACAAAAGTTGTAGTTGTACTGTCTTCTTCGTTTGAGAACATGCTCAAATCGGTGTCATGGGAATCTGAAAATTACATATTTCACATTGATATATACTAGATTATTCTTGCTACATGTGGGCCTACTAAATGCATCAATCAAATACATTTTTTGCTGCATATCGACTCAATCCTCTATCTTTGTTTCCTATCATTATAATAATCTGAAATAGCCTGATATAATTATTTCACATTTCGTTGCGAATTCACCACTATTAAAATATTTTATGATAAAATTCCGTGTCTCCAAAATGTCGTGTCCCACTTGTACCACTTGTATCACGTGTACCACGCGTCCCACTTGTACCACGTGTCCCACTTGTACCACGTTTCCCACTTGACACATGGGACAAGTGGTACAGTGGGACACGTGGGACAAGTAGGACACGCAGTACAAGTGGGACACGACATTTTGGAGACACCCTGATAAAATGATGTCAAACGTGCAACGAATATTACCTGATAAAGTTTCTTGTTCTGAATTGAGATTATCCACGAGTACCTTCTGTGCATCAGCACCTTTCAAATTTGGATATCTTCTGCTGATAGATGTCGTCCCTCCCCCTTCAGCAGATTTCAATCTTATAATTTTCCGCGGTGTCGTTTTCATTTTACTTCCAGAGTTCTTTTTTCCTCGCTTTGTTTTTCTCCTATTTGCGATTCGTTTCTTTCCAGTCTTTGCTTTGGCTACTGGCTTCTTTTTGGATGTAGCCTTGTTGGCTATTGTATCAGTGAACGGATTTTTAATATTGGAAATCGCAGATTGTGGTGTTGATGCCAATATTATTTCATCAGTAGAAGTCGTTGAAGTAGTTGTTGGTTCAGGAACACACGATACTGATTTGAACGGATACCACAGTCCTGTTGTGGTTTGGCAAACTTTAAACTTCGGTCCGCCGTTGAGTAAAAATCCTTTTTTACATGAGGTAACACATCGCATTTTATCAGGAGAACATGAGACGGCTCCATTATCCGGCTTACTCATCTTTTTACATCCAGATCGCAATATCGTTTCGCCTTCATAAGTACCTGAAACGTAGTTATACGTAAATTAACAGCTATTACATTACATGTTATCGAATATTGAACAAGAGACATGAGATTATAGTTTAGTGAAAATACATTCATTAACATCACATTGTATAAACTTGTATACTGTAAAACTCGGCAAAACCAATCAACCTACCTTCCAGAACACTTTTAAAAAGTTTCAGATTCCTTTTTGAAGAGCCGACAGGGTTATAGCGGTTGACGAATCGTCGGGGGCGACCCCGTATTCTAGGTGCTGTACTTGGAGACAAGAAAAATACATATTTCTTGCCAAACTTGGGTTTTAGACACGAAGACGCAGAACCGAAGTCGCCAACTCTGTTTTTGAAAATAGGAAAAATATAATTAAACCTATGGTTGAGAATTTTTATTGCATTTGAACAAATATTAAATTTTGCGTGATGAAAATTTTGTATGCCATTTCTGTCGATCCATTGAGAAATTCCGTAAAATATTTTAGACCAACAGAAATATCATGAATAAATCATGTCTTAAAGTATATACAAGTGTAAACAAAAAAGATTGGTTTCAAATATAAATATCATACATTAACCTATCAAATATTTTTCTATACTATATAGATTTATAAAACTCACACGAAAGAATTGCCCAATTTGAGCTTCCCTGCTTTTGTAGAAAAAATCGTAGTGACTCGAAACGTAGCACTAAATTTTGGTTTCTTCTTAACAACATTTCTTGCCAAAACCCCTTCTACAACAATGTCAGATCTAAAAATGTTTAAAGAAAAATGTGTTAACACAACGTCAACAATGCAAATTGTAACGACAAATATATAAAACGCAAATAATCACGAAAAAAAGAAGACAACGTAAAACTCATTTTTAACAATAGTCACTAGGCGTTTGTCGATCAATTGGAGCATTGTAAATGCATGCTAGTTGGCGATAAACTCACTACACTTTATGTGCAAACGTTTGAGCTAGAATAAATCAAATCTAAGTCGATTGGATGATATTGGGAAAAATTTACATTATGGAGCGGTCAAAAGTAAGTTGATCATTCCTGTCGATACTTTCGATATAACATTTATCGACTTTGGTGAGCACGAATCGTATTACCTATTGTATAATGTTCAGTTTATACAAAAATAGCATTAAATGAGATAAGCTGAAACTCAACACAAGATCAGATGAAGAAAAATGGTCAACGACTGGAAGACTGACTTCTCTAATTCCAGTTTAACGTTGGTTTTGGTCTATAGATTAACACGAAACTAGCGGTTTCCAAATACTTGATGCACCAACCAAAATCAATCCATGATTTTATTAAATACTTTACTAATTTATGATTGTGAATAAAACGGCCCATTCAAAAACCGTTTCAAACAATGTAGAAATCGTTTATTCGGCTGAATGTGGAAGAAATTAGTCGAAGATGTAAATTGTTTTCAAGTAAAAGCCGTAAACGCGCCATCTATCGGTAAACAATTTTAAGTTTTCCCAAAGACTCGTTTGATTGAATGCATAATTGACTTTGCTATTTCAGTTTGGCTGTGAATTATATGATATAAAACCTATCAAGTGTTGGTTTAAATAAATTATAATATATCAGCTTTGTCGGAAATCTAAGCTATAGACTTTGCTCTACGATATAGTTCACAATCCTAGTTTATGGCCTGGAGCAATGCAATGAAACGCATCGCATTTACGTACAGTAAAGTGAGATATAAACACACTTGACTTCAAAACTGGTTATATCACTTTAAGCAAGCATAAATGACTACGATATATTTGTAAGTAAAGTCGAATGAAACCCCTGGAGTGCTAGCAGAGGAATATAGGAATTGCAACAACGTCGTTGTTTCCTTTATCGGGGAAATACTGTTAAGACAAACACGAATTGTAATGAATATAAATATAGAAAGACTAATTAAATTTCGACTTTAATTATGTCATAATATTCATAATTATATACCATTTAAAATTGCATTGTTAACCTTAGCACCGAAAGTGTCCCCATTTAACCTTAGGTTGATTTAGATGAAAGAAAACAAGATTGATAAAAATAGAAAATTGAACTCGAACTTTGAATATTGAAAAGGAAATGATTGATTACACAACATTTTATTCACTTGATTAAGGCATTCTATCCCATTTTAAAACTATAAATAAAATTAACTAAAATTTGAATGTATTCAAAATTTATACATTGAAAAAAATGGTTTAGAAATGACACACTTTTGCAAAATGCACAATCAATTATTTTTTTAATACAATATTTATTCACGTCTTTTGCTCAGAACAAAGCCCTCATACAAGCAGCACTAATATAGAACGAATTGTGAGAAACTACTATTGGTTGGTTGCTTCTGATTGGTCGCTGCTTCTACAGAGTCTTGTTCGGAGAGGAAGAGTGAAACGACTCACAAAAAAAGGGCTCAACAAAATCGATCGATCATTTTTACAAAAATCGTAATTTATTTTAAATTGTGAAAATTTGAGGTTATGTAACTATCATAATCAAGCTATTGAGACTAGCATAAATTGTATAACTTAATTGAAAATATTAAATTATTTGTCACATATATTTTCGAAAATATCCTGTATAAATAAATATCAACTTCAAAAACAGGATGCGGATAATTCGACAGTGACATTTAACTTGATTCACGTTATTTTTATTTTAAAGCTATCATTAAAATAATTTCATATCACCAGTATTTTTATAATAATTTCAAAAATTGGCAAGGCTTACCGGTACATCGAAACACGCCATGACCATGACCTTAATCAATAGCCAAAGCTAGTGTGTTATCTATTGTTCTATTACTATCATGGACGTGACATTTGAAATTACTTTCTACCCACGCTCAATTAAAATATCATCATGCTTCTGCTTGTCTGTGGTTTAAGATACTGAAATAGATACGATATATTTTCACATGTTATTTAAGATGTCTAGACGTGACACAACATTGCAAGTGATTTAGTATTATTCGCTAATTCTCCCCGGTGAACCACGCAATGTGGAACGATAATATTTGACGATAACTCGATTACATAATCAAACCCACTAGTTTTAATTCGAAATGTATACAGTTTATAAGGAATATGTGAAAATTCGATTTTAGCCCAAACAATATGGTTTTCCCCCGATTGATTCTCCAGGATGGAATCATATAATGTTTTTTTTCAAATTTTTTATTTAGACCATGAATATGGGCACGAACAATTCTATTATATCCAAGAATCCATAATAGTATGAATGACTGGTTTCAATTCTCTGTCACAATATTACATTTTTTACATTTCTGCCGATTTTGGGTCTACTCTAGAAAAAATAAGGTTTAAAAATGTTGATGATTATTTTAGGGGTGATTTATTTATCATTTACTAATATTTTATAATAAATTGTGTAAGAAATAGCAAGCATTTTGCCAGACTCACCAGAATTGAAAACTTTTATGTATTGATATATATATATAATTATAGTAAAATTACCTAAATTGCCCTAATTATTGTTTCAATATTTGGAAATGATACAAATGATTTAAAATACCATATCCGATTTGGAAGCACTTCAATGGACGGTAGCGGAAGGCCATATTAGGGGTAATGAAACCGACAATTATTGGAGAGAATTAATATGCTGGGTTACAAATGGCATCCGATGACTAATAAGTTCGAGTAATTAAAAACCTGAGAAAACCGTTCAGAATAACCGCATTTAATTTTAAGATAGTATATTTATATGGACATGCTAATATTTAGTTTGTGTCGTTTAAGTTGTCAAGACTAAATAATATTGTACATAGCATTACCATAAGGTTAATCATAGTGTTTTCATATAAATAACTTCAATATTACTAAAAGCCCGGAGGTGATTTTTGACGCTCAGTGCATAACAAAAGTAAATGACTTGACTTGAACTGAGAGTCTCAACAATCACTGAAAAGGGTAAAACGTGCGTATATGCTCTGTTGGGGGGAAATATGAGGATCAAGAGAGAGAGTTTTTGCCCCCTAAATTATCCACCTCCCTAGCTTCTTCTTCTGTCTGGAATATGTTTTTGCTCTATTCATTAAAAAATGGCACATAGTTATAACCGTACTTTCAATAGAAAATGCGGTTATACGAAAAATAACTCAATGAGCATTTTTAGCAATTGTAAAAGTACAAGTCAAAAATATTGCATCATGACTTGTTCATAATTATCAATGATTTATTCAATGGATGATTTATTGAAAGTTTAACCGATAAATTGTGTATCTATGTGCTGAACCGTGAATATTTTGGCCCTTTCAATCAAATTAGTAGCACCCTGTTTATGATCATTTATTTTTTGATTGTCGGGACACCTTATGTTCGTGCGATGATTTAACTAGTGATTAGCCAACTCCCGATTCCCACACAGGATGTAACGAATTCAATAGCAAAGACTGCTAATCTTATTATCTTAGTACATTTTTAACTTGAGTATATCATTTTACATGAAAGCTGTATTATTTCGGTTATTTCAAGTTTGTGCATTGTTTAAAAATTGTCAAAGGCCAAAGCCGCCTATAGAAAGATTTAAAAAAAAAGGAGAAACTTTTTAAGGTATCTTTAATTTCAAAATACTTAGCGTTTGGAAGCATTTGCCCTACCATTTAAAAAGATAAGTGGTTTCGGTCTACAAACAACATAAATTTAGTGAATGCATCCACTTTGTACCTAGTAAGTAGAATCTATTGAAAATTTTAGGTAACATGTTTTAGATGGCTTCCTTGTCAACATCTGTTGTTTGGACGTCGCATATCTCAGGTTGATTTGTTTATATTTAATACAAACTGATGAAGAATATTGTAATGTGATATACGTTCGTATTATGTTTGAATTTTCGATTTGCTTTACATTTCTAGAAGTGTGCCAATGATCGTTGCCACACGTCTGGCTACGAGTCACTGTATAAGTCTTCACTTTCAAAATTGGCTTGAATTATAATAAAACTCCTATTAATTTAACAAATTTTGATTACAAAACGGATCATCGAAACCGGTACTACGTCTTTCATTTCGTTCGACAATTTGAATATCTTCCAATTATAGATAATAACTTTAATTCGTCTTTTTGTTTGTTTTCTTCAGTGAATGGCTAATTAGAAGCTGATCAGCGTTGCAATAAAACAAAACATGGTAAATAATCGTGACAACAAAATTTCCGCCGGTTGCCAAACGGAAGTGCTCATTTCTTTATAATAAAATATTAGTTGAAAATTGACATAACTAATGACCAACATTTATTACTTGTCCAACTCATCTAGCATGGCGTAAATCATTTATACTTGGCTGTTAGCACACAAAATTATCGCAATCATTATAACATTGTTTTATTTTACAAACATGTGCATGTAACAAATTACATTCAAAAGGTTGTTGTGCTAAAATCAATAATGTATAGGTGTAAGATGTTTTTTACAAGATGGCGTAAAAACCACATTAAATAACCTTTACTATATCCTAGCATTGTATTCGTTTACAGCGTCTACTAAACCTTTAAAATTAGACTTGGAACTGTCACCGCCCGACGCATGGTGAATAACACGAGAAAGTATAGCATAATTCTCTTGTTACATTGCAGACCACGATGAGGATTAGTGGATAATTATATATACAGAGCAACAACCAAGAAAATAAAATCCTGCAGTTGACGACTGTCCTTTGTTGTTCCCACGGTTTTGGCGTCTAATGAGTTTATAATTGAGATTTTTCAAACAACGAGCCTCGAATGAATATGTCTACACCCGCCAAACCAGTAGTTCTTATTAAACACGGTAGTGGATCTATTATAATGTATGAGACAAATATAATGACGTACCTCAGCGCAAAATCATCAAAGTTGACATCTTTTTCAGGAGTTACGCATGCATCAGTCTTCCTGCTCAATGTGACAAATGTCAGTGTCACTAGAGCCACCCATCGAATCCACATACTCCTGATGTGGTCCTTGTCCCGATGTGATGTACTGGGTATTCCCCAAAAATGTTAAGATGCGATTTTCTTCTTCAATAGTTAGTGCGATTTATTTTGACGAAATAGTTAGCCTACATTGGGTAAATGGCTTGTGATTTTATCCTAATTACAGGCTAATCACTGCCTTTACTACTTGTACAGGTGTGGCGGCTACTTTATATCTAAAAGAGGTGGAAAAAATACAAAAAGTCAAATGGAATGACTGAGCTTCATAAAGGTCATTGAATTCAGAAGGTTGCAAGACAATGACATTTAAATACACAACATGAGTTCTCAAATACATTAATTAAACGAAAAACTGTTCTCAATTTTTGCCCTGTCGACGGGGAAACGCAAAAAAATTGAACTCATTCATTAAGGTATTACACGGATCGGGCGGCTGTCAACTCGCACTGTGTTATTAGATAACATAAATGCATTGCTACTTCATGATTGCAGCAGGTACATACATCATATACATATTGACGTGCATTTTATTCAAATAGATAATTTCTTCGAGAGAAAAAAATAAATAAAAAATATTTATGCCAAAAATTAGCAAAATCGGTAATCAATAAATAAGTCAGGTCATATTTTGCAAATAGTGAGGCCAAATTTCTATCCGTCAACTGTGACACTGTCTGGCGTTAAATTCGGTATTTTTATGTAGTATTGATAACGCATACATTGAAAATACCACGTACGGTTAATACTTTACGTTGAAAACAATTTACTTGAAATAATTCCAACGTAAAACTTTCTAACTCAAAATAAAGAGATAAAAACGCATTAAACTTTTGATATATTTCTGGAACATTAAAATTATTTATGAAGCAAAAATACGCTACGATTTTAAAATTATATTTCTAATATATTTGTGAAATCCCCATACCGTATTACAAATAAAAATTTCCACAAATTGTAAAATAACCTGACGGTATTCCAATATTTATTTAATGTACCATATTATGAATAACTTTGCTTCATTTGAATTTGACGGAAGTTTATTATTTTGTTGTACAAATTAAGATAGATTTTTCTTTTTATCAATTCTAAACTATAATGGAAAAACAATCTTCCTACTAAATCTATAGTCAAATACTCAGTATTGGAATTAAAAACTCAACTCAAAACAGTTTCCGAAAGAGTTTTAGCGGTATACTATTGAATTTTAAGCCGTACTATATCATGCGATCAAATAACGCATGTATTACAAAACTGCGCTTAATAATGTCTACAAAATTTTATAAATTACAGGATATTTGTAGTTTTTTTCTTTTTTTACAGAATCCAAAAACGTTTTACAATACACCAATCTACTTTTTTACCTAACTTCAAACGCTCTCTCAAACAATCAAACCGAATATTGTTCCGAAGGTTCCTGTTCGTTCACTTTTTTATAAAAATATAACAACATGTTTCGTCATATAAACACGAGGTTCAAAGTAAGTTCTAACGATAGAAAACCGGCTTTATAAGTTTAGCTACGTTGGTCGATTACCGCAACAGTCATTTTCATTATTTGCCCCAAGCAATGCGTAAAGCAATGTTCAAATAACGCTGCATAAATATATGTACTTTAATATTAAAATTGACCTTGTAGTTCACTAAGCCTATTTGTTAATATAAATTGATATTAGGTTAAACGTACTAATTTAGATGGCGACTATTTGTCATCATCATACAGATTTGAATTCGTGATCAATTATGTACAGGCAAAATTGTATTCAATTTTATATTAGATTGAAAAACAAACTTGGTGGAAAGATTATGTTGTACTGGTAATTTCTCCTAATAAATGCAGTGTGTAACTATATGCGAATTATATATAGTCCAATAAATTCTCAATATATAACTAAACTATTCAATATATAACTCTGAAAGATGCATCGATGCTCGTTTCATATGAAATTTCACAAAACGAAAACTATATAAATATCAAATTTTATACCAATATAACGATATTACTAATAAAAATAAAATACAACAATTTGATACATACACAATTGGCATTGTTAGGTAAAATTTGCCAAGCCTGCCTGGAATATTTTATTTATACCTTTCTCAGTCTAAACGACCTGTTGTAAACTCGATCCAATCTCTTAAACAGCATACCCTGGAATATTCTGATAGATATCACTGATCTTTATTCCAAATTCAACATTTTTAAAATGATTAATAGTTTTCCCTTAATATAAAAAGCATTAAATAAAACACATAATCTAAATTTTTCTCTTTTATTCATTTTTTTCAGAGTCGAATCGAAGATAAAAACACGAAGTCTATAAAAGCCCACGATTGTCTTAACCTTGCTGATTTTAAGACAAGGTTCAGGCCAAAATGTTTTAAAACTAGAAAAATAACTAAAGTATCATATTACTACAGTCTATGTAAGTTTATAACAGAATTATCTCATGCATACTTCTATATCGCAGAATGAAACCATGCCGTAAACTCATATGGCTTCCAAATTGTCTAAACCCAATGGTGATAAGAATCCGAGAATAACTGATTTATACCTTTCGCTTCGTTTTCGAAATCGTTTTACAGTCAAAGATTTCAGCCTGCTGATTAATCCTTAGGACGCTTTCCTGGTCTACACACAATATCACACATCTCGTCGAGCCAATATTGAATGAAACGGCGAATTCTACGCTATATTTGGGGTCCTTGCGTCATGTCGTAGTTTTTAGATTCAGATAACTGTGACGTTTCATTGCATTCCAGTGGCTTCGTAACTTCCATATTTGAATTAGACGACGCGATATCGCTTTGAGCTATTTGTTTTTAATGGTATACGATTTTGGCACAAGTTCATTTCTGCCTTGCCAACATAATATTTCATTTAAAAATATCGGATAAAAGCAGTGTTACATCAGTGTTTTTATCAGGGAAATAACAGAAAGTAATTGAATCAAAATTGATATGCAATACCGCTATACCACAATTAATAAACATTTCTGGAAATCACCATCTATTTAATTGCATTTGAACGTGTAGCATCGATGCTTTGAACAGGCTGTTGTCTGCCAAGAGATTATTGTTTTATAGGCAAGTTTTGACTCCTGTACAAAAATCCCAATAGTAGGCGAATTGAATATACCCTACAATTGGATTTAGGGTAACTGTTTCCACTAAGTAAAACTACATTACTCGGTACACAAAGATTCAGAATAAATGTATCAGAACATTAATGCGTCAGTGAATAAAAAAGTAGAAAGGATACAGATATACAAATTAATATGAGAACATCATAGGTTTCTGTCCTAATTTAAACAATATCAATTTTTTGAATAGCCAGACAGAACGTTGACAATATTTTTCTCGAATTTTAACTTTAAGTGTCATTTTGTTTTCAGAATTTCATTCCCTTTTTAGCACCGCTAAAATCACCATTTTGGATAAATGTAAGTTAGAGTATGGAAATCTCAAGCCTGCCCTGTCAACATCTATGTTTGTTGTTTAAAACTTACCTATTAGATCATTCCTATCACCAAGTCGTTTTATCTACTAAGCCGCAGAAAAAACAGAGAACATTACATGATAATGTTCTCTGTTTTTTCTGCGCCCAATTCTTTTATCCTGCAACTTACTAGGTGTAAGAAAAAAACTCAGCTGTGGCTATATGAGGCGAAAAAAATAAAGAACAGTATCTTCAACGATTGCTGTAACTTTTATAACACTTCCCTAACATTTGGAATATTAGGATGTATGTCTATAATACCATAATAAATATATAAGTAATCTGTCGGAATACACAACATATACTACAGTTTTATATAACGCGAATAAATCCATGACAGGAGCATGACAAATCCAATTAGTAAGGTGGGAAATGTTTTGAAATGAGAAAAATGGAATTCTAAAAGCTATATTTGAAGTCTGTTGATCCTTTAGTATCAAATATATAAAAAATATTATGAGTAATGATTTATATATCAGATTAGCATAGTATTCACCTGAATGAATTTGCCTAAACGAACTATGAAACTCTATTATTTCTATGTAACAATCACACATACTATGCGAAAAGTAAAGGAGTAAATCAGTGAAAGCCCTCCTATAGAAAATCGGTCATTACCATTTTTTAAAATAGCCCGAACTTGAAATTTACCAATACATACGTCTTCTCATCTACACTTGTATTACAGCTAAGAACAAAATTTCACGTCATATAAACGATGTAAATGCGACAGTTTGCTTTGACAGTTGTGTTATCAAAGTAGTAATTATCATCCTTTGTAGGTATAATTACAATGTTTTAGTACCGCGCGCAACAAGCATGTGTGTATGAAACCTTTGGAATATATGACTGGAGAACCGTGTTTTCGCAGTACGAGAGCGCTAAATCGAGGGAATAACCGATCATTAACACTATGTAACAAACAAACAAAATAACGTAATCCAAAGCGTGTTGACAATATACTTTCTGATGGGAGAACTCGCAATAACTTCACGTTACCTTACTCAGAAAGGCACGATGCCGTACGCCAGGGGTGTGCAACCTGCGCTCACAAGGAAAAATTATGCGGCCCGCGGAATGCCACTATTGAATGATGTTCGGCCCGCCCGAAAGCCGAGTTAATAATTTAGTTTAATCTGGTACGTGCAAGTATTTCTATTCCCTTTGCGCTGTAAAGCCTATGCCAGATGCATATGACGTTACAATGCCCTTGCCCGCTAGAACTACTAGAAAGCCTATGTTGAATAAACGTGCGGCCCGCGGTTTCGCCCAGTTATTTGTATCTGGCACTCACGTATTAAAGGTTGCACACCCCTGCCGTATGCAATCGAAAAAAATGAGAATGTTACGCCATAACGTACTATTCAATTCACCTAAATTACAGAAGTCACAATCGTACTGGATCTTAGAGTAATACACATGAGCTAAAATTTCTGACCATTTCTGAAAATCTCCTTCACTTTTTATATATATACGATAGTCTAAAACTAGGCATAATGAATACTATTTAAACCTTTCATCGTTATGCGTGAGGCAAACTCGCAAATACGTTGTCCTTTTGCAAATGTTATCTACGAAATGGTTTTTTCATGGCAAATTAAAGTTTGAGAGCCTGTAAGTTACCTTATGCTATAAAATATCAATAATGGTGATAGATTGTCTCTTGATTAGCAAATACTTATAAATCTGTTCTTATTATTCTGTAAACAAGTAGTTTTTTTTCTTAGAATCGATAACTGACGCCGTAGACAAATACCTGCAGGATATACGTAATTATCTGAGGTAGTAAATCGACGCAATTGGCATGACAAGTGCGCTCGACGCTATGTTTTTTATGATAAACAACATCTACCGTGTTAAGAATAGCTTTATAAACTGTCTTTGGCGTTATTATAAAGTCATGTATTATTCGACACGAAGTGTAACTTTTTTATTATGTATTTTTCTACTTCGCTTTTACCATTACCCATTGGGCCGATTGCTTTAAATTTTTCAGGGGTCAAGGATTGTTGTAGTCGCTAGAAGACTATTACTTGTATTCATTTCAAAATTCCCTGTTTGACATTTCAATTCACGTTGAGACTGCAAGCATGAATCATATTCGTCACTGGAACGGAGGGAAGGGAATTCCGGGTATCAATACTCTAATACGCAGATACTGAAGAGTTACCATATCTGTTCCACAGTCCCAGCTTCGTTCATGATATGAGGATCCTGGGGGAATCGTGTGTAAAAAAAAATTGGCTTTCGTGTCCATATATTTAGGCATCGCTCACTTGTTTTATAGCCATTTGTAAATCCTTTCGAGAAGGTACCATTCAAATGGCGATCGGCAACACATAATCATGCCTACACCTATCGGATTATGGCTCAATACACGAATACACTGAGTATTAGAAACGAAGTGTGCAACTGCAATGAATCGGTTTGCCAAATTGTAGTTGTCTATGTTATTTTACACTGTTGTGTCATAGAATATCTTTTTTCTTTAATTTCTCGACCAATATATTTCGAATTTTCATAGTAATATATGAAATGGTAATTTATGGGAAAAGTTAATTTCACATTCCTTTCATCATGATCGCATTACTCCGCATTTTGTTGAGCTAAAGAAATTGCGTAGATCCCCACGTGGATTTTCAGCTGATTTATTTCGTGGTCTAAGTTTGCGGTCTATGAACACCGTATGCTGGTTTGGCAAGAAATTTCCAATAACGGATTCTGTGTCCATGGACTATTGGTATTATGTTGTTGTTAGAAATTTTCTGTGGGCTCGTTTTCTGTTGTTATCTGGTAGTCAGGCGAAGTCGTGAAGATTGTGGTTCCCGGTAGTATACTGTGAGAGATTGCATACACGTACTACTTTGTTTTGATCTTCGTGTTCGTAAATAGGAGCATGCTCTCTTGTTGGACACGAAATGTACAAATGGGTCGTTTTGTTATTATGTTGTTGTTAAAAAAATTTTTCCTATTCTTGTTGTTACGAAAAAAGCGCTCATTACTGTATTTTGCAGACCACGGGGCGCACTTTAAATCGTTTTTTCCTAAGAAATCGACCGTGCACCATGGATCAGGTAGTGCTTCATGCTGTATGTCCTATACTCAAATCCAGTACCGGTTGCGCCTTACATATACAGTACCGACTGTGCCTTAAAGTTTTATGCCACTTATGTGTGGATAAAACCCCAATATGAGCAATTTATTGACGTTGCGCCATATGGTCAATAAGATTCGACAACTAATGGACCAACTGCTTTGAAATTTCTAGTGGTGAAAGGTTGTAATTTTGGCTACAGGGATATTTCAACAATTTCTGTGGCCTCTATGAGATTCTTTTTATGCGACCACGCCTTCAAAATGAGAAATGGCGCTCCTTGTGACACTTCCGCTCAAGTTGATATCTGGTAGTCAGCTACGGTACGGTACCGATAGTCTACTGTGACAGATTGCATGCCAGTACTGCTTCGTTTTCGCCTTTGTATCCATATATTTGAGCATCGCTCTCTTGTTTATAATATCTTCATAGAAGCTCGAACTTTGATCGGATATTGACATAATTTCGTTAACTTTTTCAAAATATCTTCGCAACGAAGTTAACGATAACGGCACTCAAAGGCTGACTGTCACTGAATCTGTAAGCTGCCATCTTTACTGGCTTTCTGATTCGTGAAAATTCCTCAAATATGCTGATGTCAATACACTATCAGCTTCTTAAACCCGTGATAAATAGGCAAAAACAAAAAACATATATTCTGAACTGTATTGAAAACAATGTCAAATAAACAACTACATTTTTGGTGCTGATGATATAGTCGAAGAACGGCCAAATAAAAAGAAAAACAACGAGACATATATTCGAGGTATAAGTGGTTATGTGAGAATTGAAGTACAGTATATATGGTATTGGACGGAGATGAGAGTAACATAGTATGGTCCTGTATATTTTATTAGATTAATAAAGCAATATATATGATGAATACGGAGCAACGTGCACAAAACGTATAAAAACATTACAAGTACCAGAAAACGGGAAATCTATTGATGTTCAATAACAATGAATACATACTATAGTACGTGCAAAATTTATTTAAAAACTGTCAGTGGCAAAAAGTTTCTAGTCTTAGTTCTCAATATTACAATACTATGACGATTGAATATCGGAAATGAAGAAACACAATTCAAAAATTACATTGTGTTTTGTATAAATGGTTTTTTGAAAAGTAACTGCAGAACGAATCTGTTGTTTCAAATTACCCATATTCATATTTATTTACCACTAGTGCTTCCAAACGAGATTTCATTTCAGCCATGGTACAGTTGGAAGATCTTCTTCATCAGTGACGTCATCATCTTCTCTAATATTCTTTTCATTAGATTGTTGGGATGATGATTTCGTGAAACTTTTCTGTCTTTTCGCCAGTTTTGACAGCTGACTGATCTTTTGCTGTTAAAGAAACGATCGGTGTTGCACAAGAAGAAAGTGAAATGATGAAATTCCCAAACAAGAGGTGTGGCATCGCAAATATGAGACGAGTGTCACACAATGAAAGAATGATTTCAATGAAAGAATTTCATGATTCAGTGAAATTGAAATATATACCCAAATATTACAACAACAAATAGCATCATTAGCTATATGAGGTTCTTGTAACTTGTAGCTTATAATAAAACAGTAGACATGTACTCTGGGGTATTGGGTGTTATATCACTATCACTGCTACTAATGCTCACTTCATCACTGATAATAATATATTTTAAACGAAAGGATAACTGATCATGACTCGTAGAATTTTGTATACGGCGTTGTCACAACACAGAATAGACTATACTAGAGAGCAAGGTTCGTACCGAGTGTACTTACACAATTTCATATACCCTGGTGTGGGGCTGTGATGAGGACTTGAATGCGATAATACAATAAATATATATGAAAGATAAAAAATTAACGCATTTTGCTCCAAACAAGGCGTGTAAAAGCCCCACTCATATGAAAAAAAATACTATTTTTGGAATGAATTTCTCGGAAGTTGTATGAAACGAATCGCTGCAAATGTATAAAGGATCCAGATTGAGTTTAGTAATAACATTATTTAATCTGTGTAATATATTAAATATAATACAGTGAGAGATCAATTAGCATTATTCACCTTGGCTTTGCTGCAAGCTTTCCTGGGTAGCATCGTCCATTCGGCAATATTTGCTTCAGGTTTTTGCTCCGATTCGGAATCAATATTATCAAAATTGATTTGCTTGATTGTGTTACTTTTAGTCGGTGTTTTGGTCTTTGTTATTGGTGCTTCAGCATCTTCGCTATCCCTGACTTGATAACTTTCATCGTTTTCCGTTTTGCATTTGAAAAATGTTTTTCGTAAAGGCGATTTCACTTTTTTCGGTTCCAAAATTTGATTGTTCTTCACCCATCTTTTTCCTGATTTATGATATTTCATAGGCGATATGGGTACAACGCAATCGGTGGAGAGATTTTTAATCAGGTTAGCGATATTATGAGTCTTGCAACCTTCTTCTCTTAAAACAAGAGGATGGGGTTTGTCGTGAAAGTTTACCTCGTCCGCATTATTCGTAATTTCTGATACCGGATACGGGCTTGAGTTGTCATCTGAAATATATTCATCCTTTATGTCAAATTTATTAGAAATTTGATTCTTTTTAGATCTTCTCCGAGGAGGTGTTAATATGGTCGACTCGAGAAGGTCATTCTTTGACGTTTTCCCTGTGGACGTTTCAAATAAAAGGCGATCTACTTCATTAAGGTCACCTTGTAGATTCCCAATATCAACACTTTTATTACCATCGGTTTCATCACAATTTGATCCTTCGTTCACTTTATGGTTCGAATGCAATTTACTGTCACTATTATAATTTTTGCAGCTCTTGGTGGTTTGATTTCTCGCTTGATTTTCTGTATTATCAATCAAAGGATTGGGAGAAAATGCGCCATGAAAATCACCAGAACCATTTTGTAAGTTAACATTTTTGGTACTTCCATCAATTGCAGTGTCGAAGTGTTCACATTGCAATCCCTCGCCCATATGCCTTACGGATGAGTTGTTAGTCCGCGAAATATGGCCGTCCTCGTTTGAAATTGCGTTCATAGGTTTGCCTTTTAGAGGTGAATTCATGTATTTTGACATCAGATTCATGTGTAAAGACGTCAAAATGTCATTTTCGTCACATTTTAATAAGATGGATGGAGAACTTTCTGAAACACAATCTATTTCACTCGATTCTTCTGTTTGACTTGTACTTGCCACAAATGGAAAGTCGTCAACATGACGAGATGATGTGTCCTTATCACCAGAAATAAATGAACGACGCGCCCTCGAAACTTGCTTTGCCAGGAACGAACGTTTGAAATCTGGAAGAATGTTATTATCAGAATAATTTTCACTTGTTATGGCGTATGCTAACAGTGTTGCCTTTGCATTTGAAGTTTTCTGGTTCAAACCCCAACCCCACCATCTCCCCCAGGTTGTAATATATTGGATAAACAATATGAAATCAAAAAAATTCTGGTCTTAGAAAGTAGCTTTCGACATATCAGTGCTTGCTTGTGCTGGGCCCCATTTAGAGCGAAGGCGTTGAAATATTGTATAATAAAAAAATCACCCATTTGTACTTTTTGTCTTTAACTAAGGAAATAGGTTTTATTATATTTCTAGATTTAACTCATGTGAAATTCATCATTCGCTTTTGACCATTTTCCCGGAAACCGTACTTCGAAATCAAATTTATATATTGAAAAACGAAGGTTCGTGAACGTACGAAAATTGATTTAAAATAATTTATTGTTTTGTTACTTAACCCAATTGGACGATGAGTCTAAAATAAAATATCATGTATGATAAGAATATGTGTCAAAATTGATACCTCTTCGTTTACGTAGTTTCTTTACTTTGTTGTCGATAATTTCTTCAGAACTTTCGTCTTGCCGGGAACTATCGTTTTCAATAGAAGATGAAATTGTTAACATTGCTCTTCGCTTGTGGATTTTATTTCTCGAAGCTCTGGTCACAAACAAAAATATTGTCATCGTAGTTTATTGTTAAGATCATATGAATTGAAATGATTAAACTTATTTTGTTATAAATTATCCACGAAGAAATTTCGTACCCAACTAATTATCTGTGTTAAAGTGTTAGACCTTTGATCAATTATCGAAAGAAAACGATATTCCAACTTGTGATAACTATAGTCTTAAAAGCACATGAAATGTGCGAACTAATAGGCATATGTTATATTCTGGCCGTTGTTAGACAAAAGCCCACAGGGATATTTGAAAGAGATACTGTATCTTTGACATCGGCTATGTCAACTTTCGGTGAAATGATATTGGACAATTTCGATTAGTTGACTGGAGTAATTTTATTGCAAGCTGCTACTATTTTTCCGGGAACAGTGAATAATTCGAACCTGGTATTGGTACTGGGGGCGACATATTCGCGCAGTTTTCCTCCTTTCGCTAATTTCTTCCATATTGTTTTCGCTTTAGAAACTTTTCGAAGAGAATCAATGGTGGATCCAACGTTTGACTCGGTGATCATTTCTCGTTTACGCGAACGTCTTAGAAATCCGACACCATGTCCTGCAATAATAACCTTATGATACCACTTCGTAGACGGAGCATATACAATGTTACGAAGAAATGCATTGTTCATCCAGAAAAAAAAATTCTTTTATATAATCAACAAAACTATGTAATCCTAAGGATATAAACCAAGTAAATGTGAGATAACATAAAAGTTCCAAAATCGAGTCAAAATTAAAAAAGAAGCATATTGAATGTTTCAAATAAATTAAATTCAGTAAAATAATACATGTAAAAGTGCGACGAAAATCGATGAAAGATCAAAACAAATGAAATCAACTATTACCTTTTGCAAAAGAAAACATGGAACTGGGAAATTTCTTTCGCCTTGATAACCAATACTTGAGACTGATTGCTGGCGGTGAATTCTCCGTGAAGTCGAATTCTTGAAAATCCTGAAAATAGTATAGATAAACATAGAAAGTATTGATGGGATAAAAAAATAAAAAGTTACTTCAAGTTATTGTGTTAGAAAAGTTCGATGTAATTTAGGAGTTTGGGTATTTCTTGCATTTCATGTCTTTCCGCATTAGGGGCAGTACTTTTCGTCTAGCGCAGAAGTCATCAACTTTTATCTTTCGTCGCCAACTTTCGTTGCGCAAATGTTTAGTGGATTGTGGATCATTAACTTTCAGAAGAAAAACAAAGAGAATCCTTCAGCAAAATAGACATCTCCAAATTTTGGTACTCCCGAAGTATGTGAACCAAGATGGCGGACACCGGAACATAGCATGTGTACCAGGTTAGGGTTGGTCCATAATTTCAGGTACAAATACTACGGGAGTCACTTGGCTAGTAGTCCCGAACTCGAAATAGAACAAAAATAAGAAAAATTGGAATAAAATTATGGCCTAGTACACATACTACGTTCCGGTGTCCGCCATCTTGGTCCACATACTTCGGGAATACCCGAATTTTTAATTAAAATGAGAATTTACTACTCAGTTCCTAAAAACAGCATCATCATTCATTGCTACAACAATCAAATGATACTAATTTATCAACATCTTTAGCAATTTTTAGTAGGTTTGTGGCTCATCTTATAATGTTTATGGGGCCCAGCAGTGGGTAATGGCCTGCTGGTTAAAAAACGGTGGTCTAGCGTTATCTTCCAAGTGAAAACCAGAACGAAATACATTTTCCAATTACTTTAGTAACAAAAATCAAATTTCCTTACGTGATCCCCTGCTGACTTCCAGTTGTGATGTTCAATAGTCAAGTCGTCAGATTGTACACAACCAGATTGTCTTCCTTCATCGTCGTTAAAATTCAAATGTTGATATTCCAACTCATTTCGAACTATTTCTTCTGCTTTTTGTTCCACTGCACAGTTTTCAGAAAGCGAAGCCGGTTCAACAAGTTTCTCTTTATTTAATATATTTCCTGAGTCTTGCAAAGGAGATGAAAAATTTTGATTGTGATATGACCCGACATGTCTGGCGTTGTTGAATGATATGGGTTTGTTTTCTGGTAACAAGTGTGGTCGCGGAATTTCTTTGAATACTTGATCCGCGTTACTCACATTTTTCAAATTGTCGGTTTTTGAAGCTGGTGCGGAGATACGTTGAGAAGTAGCAACAATTTGCTCCTTGGCATAATGTTTTAAGTTTGTTGAAAAACGCCGAATTGATAAATCCAGAGGCATAGATTCTACATCGTTTACGACTGTTGAAAAATTTTGGTGGGATTCGCAATAGTTTAGCTTTCCTGGATTTAGTCGGGGCGAGGTGAGGTCTAGTGCTTCACCTCCATCCGATACTATTACCGCAGCGTTTTCACAGCAAAATTGTTTATTGAGATCCGAGGCTTTGGTAACCTCACATGAAGACCCGACAGTCGCTAAAGAATCAACTTTTTCACAAGATACATCGTGGTCGAAACGAGGGAGGGACATGGAAGATATTGAACGAGGAATGACCCAAGTGAATGCATCATTAGAATCAGAAGCTGTAAGATCCACAAACGCACCACTCGTTGTACGCTCATTCTGGTCAATACATTCGTTCTGTATGTCAGGCGTACTTGATATTTTGTTGTCCTCACTTCTGCTAGCTTCTTGGGTGTCTGCAATGTCCTGCGAAATACTTTCGCATTGATTATCCTATATTGAAAAGAACACCATGAAGGGGATCATTGAAGCATAGTTGAAAATTATTACAAATTAAAAACTGGTATTCGGAAAATCATGAAATGAAACAGAATAAAAATAGTACATGCTTCATTTAGAAATATCAAGTTCATGATTATGTAGTTTCCTAATTCCATACTTGGATTTACAAATAAAAATAACGACCAATCAACTCACGTTTAGGGCGTAGTATTCCTCACAATCTTGAACCCTGTTTTCAAATGTTTGGCAAAGTTTAGGTGGCAATAATTTTTTCTGAGACTTCTTGTGGGATGCTTCATCTTCACTGGAACATTCAGAATTCGATGACGGACTAAATTCCGAATCAGTCGTTTTAAGCTGATTTATAATTTTCTTTCGAGCCTGCTTTGATGCAGAACGTCGAACATACTTTTCTACGACTTTTTTGCAACGTTTTCGTGGCGATCGACTTCAGGCATAAAAAAATAATGATAAAATTTTGAAGATGGGAACTAATTCTATAATGTATTAGAGTATGCGAGAAAGCCAGATGATTGAGCGATAGGGTTGAATATATCAAAAATCACAATGTCCAAATAGCAAATGAATTAGTCATTATTTCGAAATCTCGAGCTTTTAATATAGGTTTATTATCATGCCATATATAACTTGATGATACCAGTTTCAAAAGTCAAGAGACATAGTAATAATTAGCTTTAATATATTTCCGGATAGGAACCAAAACATTTGATATGTTTCTTATTATTTGCGACACGTGTTATTAACGATGGTGGAGTAGCTGGACTAATTTAAGTCTTCAATTTCGTTAAAGGGTCAAAAGAGAAAATGGTAATTACCGGTATGTATTGTGGCAAAGTTCTGTCTAGGAAACATTTTATGATGCCGTGTTATCCACTTGCATATATATTATTCTTATATATATTTTATTGGGAAATTCAAAATAAATACCAACCGGAAATAATACTCTTCTTTCTCCGATTTCTTGACTACAGTTTCCGCGCTACCCTGAATAAATAACATCTGTCTACATTTGTAAAAATAAAAATGGATGAAAACTCGAATCATTGATACAACTTCCATTAACTGTAGACGGAACCAATGAGCTCCAAATATAACCAAACTATTTTCGCTCAATCCTATACAAAAATACTGTACATGAAGATTTTCCCATTTCAGTTATTTTCCACAAGCGAACTTTCGTGAGAACTTGGACTAAAAATAGATAGACTACTTTCTACTTGAATCAGTAAAAGCGTTTCAAATATATATATAGGCTAATAGTAAAAAAGGTAAATACATTAGCTGATGGCTTTCTTCGTCGCTTTCCATTCCCAACATTCTCAGATTCTTTGTTTGATTCAGATCCAAACTTTACAGTAACTAAGTCATCTTGTAGTTTGTCTAAGACCTTCGAGGGTTGGGGGTGTGACAATGTATTATTATCATAATCGACGTCGTGGACGACAACGATATTATCATCTTTTGCAACATCAGAAGAAATCGGAGATAGAGATTCTATAATATATAGAAATATTTCATTATTCGAAGCCTCCAGTACAATTAGGGGTTGTATTAAAAAATTAAATGAATTTTTGGAGCCATTTTTAGTATATAAATCTAAGTATTTGTTCAAACCTTGATTGGGTTATTTTGCAAAGCAATTTACAAGTTTTTCCTATATGAATATTCTCTGTTAATAGTTATTTCTAACATCGCCAATTTGAGTTTGCTGAATTATAACTTGCAATACGAACATGAATACCTTGGCATTCATTTTGTTGCATGGCATCGTTTGCATCTTGTGTGACGTTTTGAATAGAATTGACAATTTGTTTATTCATTGAAATATCTTTATTGTCACTCACCTGAAATATAATTTTGATACACAATTTAAATATAATTTAAATAATATGTAATCAGAACTCAGTTTATTCACCACAACGTGTGTATCCGACGTAGGGAAATTGGTTGTTTCATTTTCACAAAGTTCTTGCTTAAGAGAAGACAACTGCTTGCTGAACTCCGACCTCAATCTGGAGAAGTTTTTGATGTATGTTAAACATATCAGACTGACACATATTATTGTAATGTTTGTCGTAATAATTGCACATAATAAAAGCTTACACCATGGACGTGTTATTAACTTAGTAAAAATAAAAATTAGTAAAGAAAGTGAAAGATAACTTTCCGCAAATAAAGCATACAAATCACATTTATTTTAAATAGTAATATGGACAAAAAGTTACAAAAGTTCGGATTAATCTCCAGAAAGATTCTGGAAGCAAATCGATTGCTATAAAGTCGTTTAAACATTGGGAAATCCAATTTTAAACATTGAATTCAAATTTTAATAACTTATAAAACAGTTTGAAAATGAGCAAAACAAAAAACTGTTCAGATTTTCTGTACGCGAAAACTTTAAAACCACATAAAAAAAGAACTCACTGACTGTCAATAGGAATAATACCTGCTCAAGACGCTTTCTCCATTTTCTGCACATAACTCCATTGTACGATTGTGTAATTCTGATAATTCAATATCCGAGATGGAAGTCTTTTTGTCAATACCTTTCGACTAAGTAAAAATTGAATGCAAAATTTAGGTGAAAGATTCCTTAATAGCAGCGATAGAGCGACAGTGAGAATCTCAGTAAGTTTACATTGCCAGAAAAGAAATATATATAAACATATTTATACGATATATGTAAATGTCATTCGGTGCAATTAAAATTTATATTTAACGAAACATATATTCAAAGAGAAAAATACATAGAATTCAAATCAACCCAAGCTGAGTGGCGATAATATTACCTTTGTGACTAGCCCAAGTGAATCTGCAGAATTGCTATCATTGATGTGATAATCTGAAGAATTCAACTCGGCTTCAGTGTTTCTGATATCTGAAGAAGGTGCGTGATTTTGTGTTGCTGTTCTCCTTTCTAGTGATTTATGTACAGTTACATTGTCCATGTTGTTTGGCGTTGTGGATTTCCGATCTCCATTGGCTTGCAAAACTCTCAAACTCTTGACTTGCTCCAGGAGTTGTGTATGTTCAAGTTCTTTTGCCATTCGACCTCTGTTACGCGCTTTCTTATTTTGTTGAGGTTCATGCGTGGCAGTAACATCACCATCGCGTGATGAACTACTTTGAAGTCTGTCTTTGACAATGATTTTTACTAACTGCACAATAAGCTTTCTTTGTTTATTTATAATTGCCTCCATCGAAGCGTCTGATTTCTTTGGTCCCATAGTCAAACAAGAGGACACAGCTGTGGAAGTATTCTTTGTAGGACGAGAGTATGTCTTCTTAGATTCAAATGCATCGTGCTCACTGCAAAAAATCAAATGATTTTGTTCATCGTCCTAAAGCCCAATAGTTCTAGTACGAAATTTAGGTTGCGACATGAATGATATATCTAGTATAATGAAACTGATAGAAAAAATCTGTTAATTACGGTACGTTATATTATGATTTTTGAGAAATAAATGTAAAACTCACTTTAATATTTCGTCGTAACGATTTCGAAAACTGCACGAACACCCAGAGGTCTTTTTCAAACAGCACGCTGAACTATTTCCATGAGACGATTTTATTGATTTCTTTGAGGATCGGCCATGTTCTCCAGAGTCGCCGTTTTGAGGCAAAACGAAGAAGTTTTGCTGATGATCCATCGCGGGGATGTATACTCTTGGACGATACTGCACAATTGATTGAGGTAAAGAACTGGTCTCTGAAACCGAACTTAACGTTGACATACAATACGTGGCAGGCATCGATTGGTTCGGCCTATTAAACACAGGGGAAATGTGACATTGTGATAAGGACGATAATGTGACATTGCACGTTGTCGATTCATTGGTTTGTTGTACATTCCATGAGCACGGTGTTGATGTGCCCAAAGATTCACACTTCCGGCTTTGATTTGCAGATATATCAGAGGATGTGATTCTTGAAGGATTACTAACTAAGTTAGTTCGGTGAGCTGGTTTTGACGCCGGAAGGCACTGTGCGTTCATTGTCAAATTCAGGAATGGGCTTCAAAGTCCAATTGTACTTCACAATGCTTATCGTAAACATATGTACTAAATAGAAAACTGTAATTAAGAAAAGCAGTGTTATGTTTTGTTTATTCCACAAGAAATATGCGCTCAGATTATGATGGAATGGAGCCCCAATTTTCGAAATTTTTTGACATGATGATGTTGACAAATACGTACTGGGTGTTGCTAATCACCTTATGAAGTTTACTAATAATATATACGTTTGTACTTCTACTTTGTGAAAAACTTTACATCTTCATAATTACGACACAAAAGTCGCACTATATTATCTAGTAAGTGCTGATTTTTCTAGAATTTTCAAAAAGAAAACCTTCACAAAATTCAAAACACCCCTACATTAAAAAAAAACGGAAGTTCTTGGAGTTTAACCACATGGACATATTTTGCGTCAGTCCGCTTCTATCAAAGGAAACTGAAGTGACTTCACTGCGGCGATCACAGTATATACCTTCGGTCAACGAGTGGACGATCAACCGAAGTCGTCGAAAAGGAAATAGATTGTCAAAAAATATTTTGATTTTTACTGTTTACAAGTAGATGATAACAGGAGTTCGTTTGGGAGTCAGCAGCTTGGGCTTGGAATTTAGTGATAGTATCAAACAGCAGGGGCGGGCCACTGAGAGACCCATATGGGCCCTGCACAGCACGTTGTAGGGGGAAGCAGATCCAAGCAATGAAGTCCGCGTTATTACACATGTTTTCCGTGATGTGTTATTAGTGAAATAGAAGCTGACAATACGTGTATAGTCTTGTGTGAATCCTTGTGTTGATGGTGACTGGTGAGTCAGCAATGGCTGACTGTCCTTTCCATCCACCATCCGAATCTTAGATATGATAAGTGATTGCATTCTTTCACGCGACAGTTGGAATAAATATTGCGACTTGTACAAATTAGCATTATTGCAACTGTTATTGAATTTGTTTTGGTTACGAGCAGAAATATTTAGGATTAATTATTTATTATAATTGAATAATTTGTATATTTATTTATTGGTATTTAGTTATAAATATTAGTACGTTAGTACTGATAGACCACTGATATCATAAGTGCCATAAAACATATAACAACAACAAGCCATGAGTTCACTGTCAATGTGACAACAGTACGCTGATGAGATGTCACGTGTTGACATGATTTTAGGTATACTGCAATGACACTACTACTAAATTCTTTTGATATGCACGCCGCCGCAGCAAATTTACCGACAATGATACTAGTTTTTTTATTAATTTGTCTGAGCCTGTGGAATGCGACATGTACATTTATAGCTTGGCTATATTACAACTTAGGAATTTCTAGTTTCAAACGTCAATTTAATAAAGAGTATCGTTTTGAAATGGATATAACATGTTATTTTACAGAGGGTGGTTGTTAATCAACCAAATGTGAATGGGAGTGGGAAAGGTGACCAGCTATTGCTTCGGATCACTTGAAAGATTCTATCAGGTTCAGCCATCAGGAATAGTAAATACTCAAACAAATGACCAATATTTAACTAGATATTGCAAAGAAAACATTCGTGCACACAAGGCGGGAAAAAACTGATATGCAAAATTAACTTGTAAACGCTATCTTGTCGAGTTTTTATAAAGTAACATCAAAACAAAATGCATGTGTCTAAAAGAATAATAAGCATTTGTTTTAACGCGTGTACTGCAGCTTTATTATTAGGGGATCTAATACTATATACTGTAGTCTGGTCTGCTCTGTGCACACGTTGCCATTATCTTTTACATTACGATGCACATCTATCGTTTAGCGTGAGTGTGGTTATCCGACACACCCCTAAGAGCCCCTACTTATTTTCGGGTTTGTTTTTCATTTGCTTTATTAAATTGTGTGTTATATTTTTACGTACAGTGAAGTCCAAATAAAAATTTACATATGTCCATACATTATTTCGTTTTGAAGGCACTCCAATATAAAGTTTTTTTTCTCACCGAAAATATAAAAAGATAAGATAGTTCACTAGAACTATACAAATATAGCAAAATTTATAAAAACATGCTCTTTAAAAAATTAATTCACTTTTCTGAAGACAAAATTCGGATAGAAAAAATAAACGCCATTGTTTTTATATCATTAGGAGATTTACCCGAGCCTTCACTGTTATCGTTTCATACACAGAGGAGGTAATTATAATAATTCAATATTCATTCCATATCGATGAGAACACGTGGGGATATTGTGCTCAATTACAAAAAGCAATGGATAGATGGTCAATAATAGCCATTCAAAGGCATCCGTGACAGAAGTATGTCCAATCTAGATTTTTTTCCATCACTAAATAAGACAAAATGACATGTAACCGATTTCTCTTATGATAAAATGTATTTCACGCAGTATCGAGCAAAAGTAGCCCGCTGTCCAATCCATGGCGAAATATCGCCTATCATCCCATACTGGAAGGGCGCCGTTTTCAGTCGTAGATGTAACGTTTTTCATTAGCAAATCAAGTCACATCAATTTAATCAAAAAATTATTGTTGAAGTCCATATATTTTCTTAAAATCGCTAACAGTAAACTATTTGATAGAGTAACGATGACATTTGAATATATTGCTAGACTAAACGACCTAATACTTGTGGTACGTAAACGAATGAGACAAAATAAAATCCATCAAACGCCTAAAATTAAAAACGCGACTAAAAGGGCTAATTTTATCTGCCCCTTTCAACATAAAGTAATATCTGTCAAATTATCAGCATGTAACGTTATAACCCATAATAAATAAAATGTTATAAGTCACTGTTCGCCGGAGCATGTTCTTTAAACTATTTTAGATAGGTTATATGATTTGCTCAATCGTTGTTAATTTAAATTGCAGTGATAGTTTAGTACCTGTTGCCATTTGACAAACTGCATTATACATTATTAGCCACTTTAAGAGATAATGGACTATGTAGACTAGTCACTAAAAGCTAGGCTTTGTAGTCGGTATCGTGTTTTCCAAACCCCAGCGTCGGCTTTGAAACCCCACTGAGTGGCAATCGAAGTTATAGAGTTTTTAGCTCCATATTTGAAATTTTCACCCGGAGCAAAGAATGACATAACAAAGTCGTGATAAAATCTTTGCTATCCTCGAATCGGAGTCAAAATTTTTTTAACAACTTAACGTTAATCAGGTTTGTTTTTTCGAATGGGTCGAGTCAAATGAAACTTTTCTGGGACTCCATAGCTTCCCTACAAAATTGAAAACACTAGTGCTTACCAAAGTGGATATGGTTTCAATCCGAGTTACCTCAACCTTGTGAAATCTTCCTGGCGTTCCGCCTGTTGATTCCGTTAAGACTCGGATTTTGAAAACAAAATCAGTTCATATTCACGTAATCCTAATGGCCAACTGACAAAGATTACCTAAATTTATTTTTATAAGACACTACCCCGTTTATTTCTATGCTCGTTAGTCGAAAACTTGTCAATCCAGCAGGGTATGCAATGTCCAAGCGCCGAAGACGACGACGAAAGACACCAGACCTCGTGTCATTCATGGTTACTACTGGAATGGGCATTTGAATCAACAACTATTGTGATGTAATAATTCTCGGAAGATCAGAGATATCAGGAATCATCACCTGTTTCATAACAATGTATATCTTTCTTGTCGAAAAAAGGAACTGTTGCTATCACTGCATCATCCATATGTTCAGATTGCATATAGAATATTTGAAGACATATTCGCAATGGATAAAAATGGTGTGCGATTAACTCTTCTCCCATTCGTAAATGCTCTGGTAAACGCGTCGAAAACGTCCGTCGGTAACACTGAGGCTATATGCATCTCAATGGTCGGTAAGCATCGTCGTTGACAAGGCTTCTACAACATTCATAGTATGGTGATGTCACAATCAAATAATATCTGTCCTGGAATGGATGCTTCCCTGAGCATCGATTTTCGTGTTTGTTTCCGTATCGTTGGCTAATAAGCAAGATGTCAAGAGTGACGTAAGAAAGGAACTTACAGTGACTGGTCAATACACTTTTCTCAAGCAGACCAAGGATCAACAACTGCAGACATAAAATTCAAAGTATATTTAGTGATATTGTGACCCGCTCCCAACATTTCTCCAACTTCCACATTATTCGAATCGCATCCTTCCATTGCCGACTTCATGCAGATGCTCCTTTTTATTCTCCGGTTCGTGGAGGTATTTCTGAAATTTGTAGAATGTTCCCTAGTACCACAACGGTCCTTTGTAGGCCAACCCGAACCTTTGTCCAGATCAGCAGCCGGCTTCGAAAAGAAAGGTGTCCAGCGGTCCCCTCGCAAATATCTACCCACCACAGAATTCGAACCCACGCAGGGTAATCAGAGGTGCGGTCACGCTTGGCACGGTGCGCCACATCGCCGAGCTTATTGGAAATAAATTTTCTGAATCTTAATTATACCGAATTGACTATAACAAACTCTAGTTATAGACACTTTGTTTTACACTTACTGACATTACTCAACGCCACTGCCTGCAGTGGTAAAATTTTATCAGTCGCGTTTACAAAAAAAGAAGATATTGTAGAGGTGCATTAACGTTAAATAAATGCATGCGGAGCAAATGTCTGGCTAACTAACCCCATACAACCGGATGAAAGGCCGTGGTTCGCCTTATGAAGAAGATATTGTAGAGGTGCATTAACGTTAATTAAATGCATGCGGAGCAAATGTCTGGCTAACTAACCTCATACTCGACATAAACTGGTAACCGGATGAAAGGCCGTGGTTCGCCTTATGTTTAGGCTGTCTTTTCGTCTTTACCCCTCCCCTGGTATAAATACGTAAATCTGATCTTAAATGACAGACATAAGGGTCGCATCAAAATACTGCACCAAACCTATTCCTTCTTATCTCAATGCTGTGGCTCTTCTTATCGCAAGGGTGGGACTCAGCCCTCATCACCTAGAATTACTTCACAATTCTTATTCGTTATTGTCTGTAATCCTGCACAAAGCGGATCGACCCACCCCCATCTGGCGGAAGTCGTCAATCTTCCATAGGCTAAATTGTCATGAAACTCCATTCCAAATTCCTTGAAGTTACCGTAATATCAATGAAAATTCATTTAGTTTTGCCTGGGCCTAAAATATGCATTTACCTACAAGAATCAAGTTGGCTTGTAATGTTGTTTTTCACACAAAGAATTTAAATTTCCCCAAATTCATGCACAACAAAGCATCAACTCTAAGTTTATAAGGTGGTCACAGGTGTCTATGGCACTTTTAGCAAAACTATGGTCAGTATCTATTTTGTTTAAACCATGCAAGTTTCCGTATAAGCAACTATTCAAATTTCAATTTGCAAAGGCTGGAGACATGAATTGCATATCTTTCTGCAAGCGTAAATATGCAGTTTTCGAAAACAGACGCAAAATATTATAATTAAAGGTCATGTTCAAATAAAAAATCAGCAGGAATATAGGTGTTTAAAGCAAATAATAATCTATCATTCTGCTCCTTATTTTCACATTGTATTTCCATTGAAGTTGAGGTTTCAGACTGATAAGTAAGGACAATTCGCACAAGAAAAAGAGGTCCTCGTTCTTTACAAATCCAAATATTTTTTTTATTAAATGTAATAAAACATAAGTTATTCAAGAGAACATCATCAAGAATCTTCACACTGTGACATTTTGTATACACTCTATGCTTAAATTTGCAAACATGTATACAATTCAAAAAATTTATGGCACTTTCCACCAATTTAGATTCAGTGGAGGTAAAAATAGAATTAATCTCTTTGGAATCATTCAGGGTATGATGAAAAGGCAATTCACCAATTTTGCTCATAACCACTCTATCAGTGTCACAATTCCTAATCACATATGACAGTTTGACAAGAAATGCAGTACCTCTCATAACCCTGGATAATAATTTTGAACAAATTTTAAATCTTCCTGTGACCCATACAATTTCATTTGGCAAGACGCATGTTTTAGATTGAAAAGCCGAACAAGGATTTGGACTTTCAAAATAAGATGGTTCGTATATTATAGCAACATTTAAAGTGCCAATTTGAAACTGTGATGATTCAAAGCCTCCACAAATATGCATCGCTAACTGGGAAATGTTCTGAGCTGTTGTGTTTTTTATCATCGCACAAACATGCACATTATCATTCAGAAATCTCTGAAACAATTGAAGAACGCTCAACCCATTACATCCCATGTTTGAACAAATTTCAGTGACTTCTTTGACAATATTAGCAGGTGTAAGGTCTACAAGTGCAGGTACAACCTCTTTAAAATCATCCAAGCATTTATCAGTATTGTTTGATAACCTTACAATTAATTTCAATAACTGAGAAAAAGATGTGGATTTGTAAAGTAGAGTATCTTTCCGTTCTTGCAATAGAGCCACTTGTCCCATAATATTATGTTGCAATGCCGTACAGACTCTGCTTTTTATACAGGAATCAAAACTTTCAGATGCCGTTTCTGTCTCCATGGGACCAGAAAAAATATCTGCACTCGAACTTAGGGCATCATCACTTTCTTCATACATAACAATAGAGTTTGTACCAGATGAAGTTGGAGAAGATGTGCATTGAAGGTCCGAATATGATTTCAACAGCACAAAATCATCTGATTCCTGTCCGAATTCAAATTTTTCTTTTATTAAAAGTATTTGGCTTTGTCCTGACTGCAAGAAGTCCCCAATAATCACATATGAAATATTTGAAGCTGTTTTAACAATTTTGAACTTTTTAAAATTAATAATAAAAGCGGTCTTTGAATCTCGATCATGCAAAACTAAAAGAATGTCTTCCCACTGACAGCATGATATTCCACACTGTCCAATATTTGGGATGTCACAAACATCTTTTACTTTGCCATTTAGGCAGTGTATCACTTGACCTATTTTCGTTATCAAAATAAATCTTCTGTTTTGATCAAGAACAAACTCTTTTATTCCTAACTGATGAACTGAAAATGCACACCCATTATAACATGATGGAATCATTTCTGATGATTGTAAATGAACACTAATATTGGTTGGAACAGACGAGTAGCATCTTTGACAAACAACATTGTTTATCAATACAGTAATGAGAAAAAATTTGAAGTCAGTCTTATTAGAAGCTTGTTGTGGAAGTGATGTTTTTAATATAACAAAGTACTCCATTCTAGAATCTTGAAAATCATACGATTGAAGGGAAGCAGACAACCAGACGCGATCATCAGCATCATAAGAACAGTTATTTGTAACATGTGTTGATGATTGGCAAATCTGTAAATTGCAATCTGTGAAACTTATCAAGTCCATTTTTCGATTCTTCAAATTACAAATTAATAATGAAGGTCCATTTATTATCCAAACTTTAATAAATCCCACATTTATCTGAGGACATATTTTCCACATAAACTTGTTGGTTATAACGGATTTCAGATTTTTTATTATGTACAAGCAAGCATTACTACTAGCCCTTTCCATGTAAATCTTCCTGTCAGAATCAGCAGTAAACCTAAGCAAAAAGAGGCATAACTGACACACACCGTCAGTGCATGAAAACGATTTGCTTGCATTTATTAATTTCCATTTTCCTTTCAGTTCTTTAATTACAGTATTTATGAGAATAAGTCTTTTGTTATTTTCATTTTTTATGAAGAATTTTAGTTCCACCTGAGTACCGGTATCCGCGCACGAAATAGAGGTGACATTAACATAGGCCAATCTCCCATGTATTTCAACAAATGCCTCAGATTTGCCATCAGGTTCATCCATTAAAATTAACTCTCTAAAAAAATATAAGAAAGAAAAAAGTGCTTAGTAAACCGTCGGACAGCCAGACCATACTGATATTGGTCGAGGTTAACCATGAAAACAATGCATTCACAAAATCTTGATTCTGTGACTAGCAAGATAAACTTATCATCTTGAATTAAAATATTTGTAATTTGAAATAATAATGCATCCACCATCCACGCCACATACAGACATACCGTACTATTGTAGCATTTATCCCGCACCGTCTGGCTGTGCAGGCCAGGGTTGCCAGACCCCAGCGATCAAAAAAAGCCAAATCAAGACATAAAAAAAGCAAGAAAAAGCCAACAATTTTACTAAGTACAAAAGCCCCATGATTTGTCAGATTTTAAGCCCTTGGCAACGTACTGATGATGATGTAGAGCCATCAGTTCATTCAGTGAGGCACACAAATAGAAAGTAAAGTTCCTATAGAACTGTAGAAAGTAAAATAAATATAAAGCGGGCAGCATTATTTTACCATTCAATACATACAACACACAGACACAGGGTGCCGCTTCAGTCTGTCAGTATTTAATATACTTACAATATGTTTCTACTTAAAAACTTGTGCTACACCTTATAAAATTCTCCTTATATCGTACTTTACTATTGAAACTTTTTTCACTTTTAAAATTTATAAACCATCAGTTTTATTAAAAAATTATCTAACCCCCTGCCGCTCACAGGTGGACCATTGATATCTAATTCAGTAATTTTAGCGTAATTAATCACATCGTTACTGCAATTGCAGAATTAAACTAAAGCTGAAAGCTTACATAGACCATATCAGGCATAATGAAAATTGAGTTATACAACTATTTTTTGGAAACAAAACGTAAACTGACAAATAACACGCAAAACTATAAAAACGAGAATTCCAAAAAAAACCTTACAATAGTGAGTCACTTGATACACACCTTTATCATATTTCACCAAAACCTGTAGGGTCACATTTTGGCCAGAACAGCCATAGACCACTTATAACACTGTCGCCCTTGAGTGGTGCATACCATATATGTACACACCCTTTAAACTTGACCATTCCCGCGTTTTATAGTATGTGGTATCATCACTCAATGGTATTGTACATTCATCCAAATTCTTAATTTTTTTTTTTTAAAAAAATTTTTATTACTATATTCATATGCAGTGTGTTTCATGTTGTGTTGTGTCTCTATTTATAGATGTTGTTTTGTCTAACAAACTCCTTTGTACAAACAGTTTTGTACACTCCACCCATATCCCTGTTACCGCATCCACCCACCCTCCTTGCACAACTGCCTGTATAAAGGACCATATGGTACATATTTAATTTACCCTATTATAATTTATATATATCAAAAGGGGTGTATGCCGCACATCTGTGTTTTAGGCCAATATGGTCTTGTGCATACATCCCGTCTTCAGTATTTATAATTACTTACTCTTTCATATTGCTTTTACGAGACGAATAAACATACATACATACGAGGCAATGTTTACAACCCTGCTTGAAAATCTGTCTGAGCAGCTGCAGCCTGCAGAAACTGCACTTATTTCTTATTGGGTATGGTTAAGAGTTAATGTAACAAACAAGGAAATCGATGCTACAGGAAATCCTAATGTTAAGTAGCTAAGTACAGGTACCGTAATACAGTAATAGGCTATTGTTCAGTTGTTACACACTAAATATTGTATTTCATATGATTTTAATAATAGACACTAGAATAGACTGGAAAAAACACCAAAAAGCTAAACGGAAATTCTGACGCCAAACGCTTTTGAAAAAAGCCAAAAATGGCAAATTTGGCGTTAAAAAAGCCAATATGGCAACCCTGGTGCGGGCTAATAACAGGGAAAATAGATGTCTATCATCTGGAATGGACCTTTCCCCGACCTTTGACTCCCGAAAATTTCTTCCCATACTTCCCAAATTTTGGGGCTATCTTAAACGTGCTTCGCGAGTTGACGCCTGGAAAATGAAGTTTGTGTTTCAAACCAAACCTTTATGATTCATCGCATGCAACCATCTGTTTATTTAAAAGTACCGGTAAATAATTTTAGCCTAGTCTATCGCAGCTATTTCTACACTAATTTTGCATTACTGCAATTGAATTAAAACTCCTAGGAAGACAGAGGAATCATTGAATTATATGATTTATATTCAAGTTTCTGAAACACAACAGAAAACTAACGAATAGAGTTCGATAACGAGATAGTGTTCAACGTCACTTTTTGCATCTTGCTGATTGGCCAATGTCACGAAGTAAACAAGGAAGTCGATGATCGGGGAAAGGTCCAAAAATCATATGCATTAGTGCATAGCATAGAGTTACCATATTTTAGTGACTTCAAATCGGACGCCTCGAAAGACCACGACCCCTTAGTTGTGATTTTATAACTTCACATTTTCCGATTATACTACATAGGCCTACATTTAAAGCTGTCTCGGCTGTCTTTATTGACCATATTGTTATCAAAATTTTCATGCGCATATTCTCTGTCCAAATATCGGGTTCAGTTCGAAAAATAGGAAGGAATTGACGTGAACGATACCGGTACAAATACTTCGAATTTAGACTAATCAGTATTGGTTTTACATGCGATACGTCTGCCATCATTGGGAATCAGCGGGAAACGAACGCATTCGCCTTTAGTAAGTAGGCTAGTGCTGCGCTACACAGAAACAACAGTAACGAGAACATGTTTGTGTATTATGCTGGGAAAGCGGGACTTTTGGCTGACTTATCGGGACGGCGGGACAAAACGATGAAAAGCGAGACTGTCCCGCCTAAAGCGGGACGTATGGTAAGCCTAGCATAGCATATAATGCGCCACCGCACCGAAACCATCGGATCACAGAGTTCTGTACAACGAATCAACACTCAACAGATTCAACGAATGCAGTAATAAGTATAATAATAGTATAAGTATATTTTGATTTTCCCGCAAAAAAAATCATACACAAAACACAAACAATGAACACAAAGAAGATTGGGAAAATCGGAGAAACTGGCTAAACCTTCATAAATGTTTTTTAAATGTAAATATACATGCGCCAGTTTACCCACATTCAACACATAAACATGCATTCAAAATAGAAAAGACAAAGACACGAACGGGTATCGTTCGGGCGTCAAACTTGTGTAACTCAAACACTCGATAGGTCCCAATTAATAAATACACTTTGATAGGATGGAATGCATGGCTATGGTATATACAGTGGCGTATGGTATATCCACCCCCGCGGTCGCGGGAGGGCCCACAGCGCAAAGGAACCCAAGAGGTTAGAATTTAGAAATTTAAGCCGCAAACCAAAAGCTACAGTGCAAACCGAGTGATGCACATCTTATAACGTTAATGTTAGTTCTGCTCAAATCGTTTTGTTACGTAACAATGCCAGGGAGTCGGTCGGTTTTCGGCGTCTTGTGGTTTGATCGCACCGGCAAAATTACGAGGGCTGTCAGAATGATGTCGAAAGCTAAACCTCTGAGTGACGCACAGAAACGCAGAAAATGAGCAAAAGAGAAAGAACGTATGAAAAAAATTAAAGTAAACAAGTTAAACAGCAAATTTTAGGTCACCATTGCCATTTTATAGCGACATGTTATGCTTTTTGACGAAAAAAAAGCGTTGTTTTAGCTTATGTCCGAGAGTTTTTAGGGTCATTTCCACAAAATATTTTGCGGCGAGGCCCACGGGAGTCTTGCTACGCCACTGGGTATATATGTGTATCACAACAGTGCTTTTCCTACAAAAATATATGGAATAAAAAACACTCGTTGACGTAAAATGGTGATGCTGTAGTTGGATTTCATTACAAAAATTACACAGTGACAAAAAAATGTTACTAAAAAAACAAGTTCTGTAAATAGATTGAATGTTTCATAACAGTCTATGCGGATTCTCGGCACCATGGTTTCGCGTTTTTGTGATGGTTGTCGTATATTCATGATAAATATTAATATCCCATCCCCAATCAAAATTTTGCAATAATCACGCAGCCAAAACATATTGCTAGCTCAAGGCTGCAGGAATGTATGTCTGGAATGTCAATTTAATTTGAAACAGGTTCTTTTTCAATTTTCATGTGTCCATTTTACATTCCGGTGTAAAACTCTTCCTGCTTTTCAATATAACTTAAAGTCATATATCTCCAGGAAACTACGAATTTTGGGTACTCGTAGCTGCAAGATTTCCACACAAATTACGGCGTTGGGATAAGTACTTTGTGCAGTATCAAAGATACCAGACGATATCACAAGGTTAGGACTGTTTTCAACCATTCATTATGCTTACATTCGTCATATGTATAAATTTCACAAAAACGAAGCTGGAATTCACCGTGTGTGACATATGATTTACGTGCGGCCCGCGGAAAACTGGAATGTAATTTACAGCCCTAGAAGGCTTTTGGGTTGGACATGGCTTTGCTACGCAATACCACATATTTGTAATCACTTGATTCAGTATATTGGAAAGTCGAGATGGCACAAATCAAATACCCCTGGTTGGTGCGAAAAAGCTTAAATACCGATCAGCGAAGAGAGTGAGATTTTAATGTCACAAACAAAGTCAACACCATATTCTAACCAAGATGGCGCACAACCTGAACATAGTATGTGTACCAGGTTAGGGTTAGCAGGTTGTGCGTCACCTTGGTACGAATACTACTGGAGCACCGACGTTTGTATTTTGTACTTATAAAAAACACACGAAACGATTAACATTGCTATTAATTCAAACTGGCGGACCCGATTCAAACTTGACTTGATGGGCACAAAATATGACATGACTCCGATTTCTTTGTATTTCGAGAGGTGACTTTTCCTTATATTAAAGGCTGAAATCCTATTACCGTTTACCACAGTATCAACAATTGTCAAGCAGACAACCAACACAAATTTTTATGTATTTAAGTATAATTTAATTAAATATTTAAACACTTTCGTCTCAAACATAAATATCAGTTACGTTTTACGTGATGTTGGCATTTCACGAATTTTGTTCTTCATGTACTTGATCCAAGGTTTTCAATTCCGCATGGTGCGAAGACGATTCTTCCATGTGATATCTATTGTATACATGCATTCGTAAACGATACAACAAAAATAATGCCAAGTGAATGCAAGGAGCTGCTATTAAAGTTACAGCAACAATAATTCCAGAAGCAAGTTCGGGATATTTTTCCCAGTCTAATATTCCATACACTGCGTCAGTAACCTTTGCACGCCATAAAATGATTGTAAAAATGCCATAAAATGCAGCAAGCGCCATCATGTACACGCCATGCGCAATTCGTACCGGAAATGCTGAGACGAACAAATCAATTAAAAGCAATGCAAAACTGATTCCATGTCGGAAAATGCTGATGGCACTGTATGCTATATCCGGATCTAGATCTGGTGCCACGTAACTCCAAAATAATATCGTTACCACGAAAGTAGGTCCAACCGTAAGAGTGAAGAAAAGCCAGGTTATGCCACGAAGCCATTTGATGCCTCCTGTGGAAATGAAAATTTGACAATAAAATACACAAACCTTCTAATATATTATCTAGTATTATTTATTGTATATTTCACTACTCGTAAGTTATCACATTTTTGTTCTAATTCGAGAATCATATCATGCAACAGTCAAAATGCGGCTGAAAAAACTATCAAAAATAATCTTGGCCTTGGTCACTGGAGAAAGACAAATGAAGAAAAATTGTCTGATTTTATTAGATTGTCTGATTTTTCTTGTTGTCTCACCTTGTTCTTCCACCATATATAACTGGTTTAGCATCCCGATTACAACCAAGAGCGCTACGGTAATAAAATACGTTGTTCGGAGAAAGTCAGCCCACGGCGTCAGAAACCAATAACTGTGTGTGATTTGCCATGGTTGAACACTGCTATACCATATGTAATATGCAATAGTCCATCCCAAGGAATTCAATGCCATTATAGCTCTGTACACTGTAAAGGCAGCGCGATTTTTTCCCCACTGCAATGTATAAATTTTATTTTATTTGCTAATCAATTAAGCTGGGAAGAGATTAATATATACTTGGATATATAATATCCAGAACCTTTGTTCTTTTTTACCAAAAATTATTTGTTTGACATTATGTTTTTGCTACAAATACTCCGTCTTAAAATAAAATAATTTATATTATACTTGCCTGTGACACATAAAATGATTCTGATTCCTTGTCGTTACATGAAAATCCGAAAGATCTGCATGAAAAATTTTTTCGGCACCATCCATGGGCCATTATACTATTAAACGCTTTTATGATATTTTGTACTTTTTCACACAAAAGTAATCTTTTAATAACGTTTTTATTTGTGTTCGGAACACAAGTCCAATTTTGTAAGTTTGCCTCTACGAATTGTATATCGTTGTTCTTCTTTGCCTGTTTTACGAGGCCCAAAATATGAACACGCGTCAGCCACAGACCAGTTTTAGTTTATTAGAATAAAACGCTAAACATTACAGAAAATATCTACAGCGATTTCACAACAACTAGGTATAGTTACCACTCCCAGTTCTTAAATTTAGGTGCCGCCTGACTGCTACCTCCGATTACCTGCTTACCGTGCGTACAACAAGGTTTATTAATAGAACTGTTGACGTTTTTAATGGAATGGCATAGAAGTTGCCTCCTCCGTGTATAAACCCAAAGTTCTTTCTTTGATTAATATTCGAAAAACTTCCCGATTATTAATTTAAACTTGACGGTTTACCCTTTCACGGAATTATGACGTGTTCTGTTGCGGATGCGTCTGTTCGATATAAATATAAATCCTGACAATATGTATTTTACTCAATCATATAATTAATTACCTCGTTTTGATTGTCTGGATTACGCAACAGGTCATATTCAATACATGCACAATTTCATTGAAATATTTGGAGGAACAGCCTTACGCGATAAGGAATGCTAGAAAGTGAGATTATGTGCAAATGAAATTTTATGAAAGACCGCATATTTTAATGCGACAAAATTACTCATAATGATTGTCACTGTTCGAACAATAAATAGGTCCAAGTCGATATTGTCTATGTAAAGTATTATGAACAAATAATATTGGGACATTCCAAGTCAAATCCAGTGACGCTTGGTTCAATCAATATATAAAGGCTCGTCTATAAAAGGTCAACAATTTATCCAAATGAAAAACAATAAAGCATTTGTAATATTACAATTCTACATGATATTCCGTTATCGTTTTGAAAATGAAACTCGAAATAGAGAAAGGAAAATAACTCAGTGGTACATCGACTGAATAAGTTGTAATAAATGTTGTAAATTGTATTTTCGGGCTTTTCCTCACAAAACAAATTGAAAGTTTTTGCGCGTGTGTCCTCACAATATCAAATTTATGTCAAATTGATTGCTGACTCATACTGTCTGTCTGAGTGGGTTTTCAAGAGCCTTGAGGGTCTAAAAAGCGTTTCAAGCTACGAAAAATTGCTATCTATGATACAAAAAAATGCGTTTTTTTGCATTTTGAAAGGGGGGGTTCAGACCCTCACCTCCGACGACATTATTAGTAAGTGATGTGGTCGTAATTACAAAAAAACACTTGTTATAGCGAAGGCCATGTCAGACCTCTTACATCTGCTTGTTTCATCTATCAACCAAATTTGTTCGCGAATGTCAACGCATATTCAAACGCGTCTAAATGAGCTTACTATGTATATATAGCGTCCGCTCGTTGCGTTTCATCATTAGAGCTTTCAATTTACCCAACAGTGAATACAGTATCACGGTTATACAAACAATAATTCAAACTCCGACGATTGATGTAATTGTTCTCGAACAATTGCTGGGTAGGAAGGAGTACGGGCTACAATGCTGATTAAAGTTATGATACATTTTACCGCCTGAAAATTGTCGACAAGCTTGACCACCGACTAATAAACCAATAAACATAATATGTTTAGCAAAGAGAATTCCTTCTTTGATTCAACGCCGCTTCTCATGCTTGTTCTTCCTCGGTTTTTATTTCAATCATTGAATTTGTTTCGTCTGTGCTTGAATGTTTATGATTATGTTTTCGAACTTTATTTTTTAGTATATATATCCCAAATGTCAATAATTGGGCCAGAGGGCTTCCAACAAAAGCTGATAGCAGAATAAGAGCAGCGGCCACTCCAGGATTTACTTCCCAATCCAAAATCTCATATACTGCCGAGGTGTCGCCGACACGCCATAGAAGAATAGTAAAAACGCCATAAAATAGCGCCAATGCCATGCCGTATATGGAATGCAGTAAGCGTACGGGGAATGCTACGATGACAAGGTCTAAGATAATGAGAACGCTGTTGCAAGCATGTAGCAGTATACTAAATATGCCGAATGCTTCTTCGTCGGGCATAGTAGGTGCAACAAATGTCCAATAAAATGTTGTAACTGCAAAGTTGGACAAAACAGAAACTGTGTGGAGGTACCACGCCATGCCTCGCAGCCATTTGACAAAATCTAAAGTCAAAAACAAATAAATAATGTTACAACGCAGTTTAACTGCTCACAATTAAATTCATATGTTAGCGATGATAATGTCAAGTCATCCGTCACCCGATAAACAAAATTATAGGTTCAACATTATTTAACGGTACATTTTAATGCATACCTGTAGTACGACGTATTGTATCCAGGAATTAATTATTCAAGGATAAAATCACGACCGTGATATTTGGGGATTAGCCTCTTCTATACAAGAGACAATACCATGTTGTCTGCTCAAAACGTATTTCGTATAGTTCGTACTGGTGGATGATGCGTCTCCTGATATAATTTTTTCGACAAGACAAGTAATACTTTTTCAAGCATGCGCGACCGAGCACTGAATTAGAGCCGTTCATGCGTGGTTCATCTATATAGCATATTTCTACTTTCGAACAATTAGGTACACTAAAAAGCAACCAATAGGGAATTGTGAATTTGCGAGCTGAAGAACCAAAAAAACTAAAAAATATAAAAAGCCCTGCGCAGATGAATATTGTCAAAGAGGGAAAATATTTTGTCGTAATTTAATATAATATACAAAATTAAAACCATATTGGAGTGGTTTTCGAAGGGGAAAACGCATTCGTATCATATGTGATACGGCATGAGCGTGATGCTTATTCAACTGACTTTAAAGCATCAGTGCAATACATATTCACAGAGAGGGCAGTTCATTAACAACCTTTGACATACAGAGGCGGGCATGGGGATTAACATCCATACCGAGATGTTCTATACCAGTGTTATTGAACCGGGTATACTGTATCCCAAGTGTATACCAAGTCAAATCCCGAGTATATACAAAAACAAATGGTGTACTAGAGTTCCCAGCTATATTCGACGTCGAATATATTCTGCAGGCATTTTCTTGTTTTCGAAACAGATGCAGTTAACGTTCGACATTGCAATTCACTATTTCGCAAGTACTGTTATTGCAAGGTGAATTATGGGAGCGAGTAGACCCCATTCACGCAACAAAAAATAGTGTCGGAGATATATACAGAAAGTGCTAAGTGTAGGTTATTCGAAAATTCTGAATACAAGCTAAAGTCATAAAATCGACGTCAATTTCTACGTCTTTCGTTAATTCAGGCTACGTAATATCCTGGGATCAAAGAAAGACTTCTGTAATGACTTTACCAAACAACTCTTTACTACGTTATAGTATCAAATAACCTTTATTATTTGTGGGGTATACGAAGTAAAAAAAAAATGAAAAAGGTATAAAACGAAGTAAAAAGTTGAAGAACTGTTTTAGAATACAATATGTGACAATCACGATGTCTTTCAAGATAAGTGAGTGTTGCGAAATATGTTTGCAAACTTTAGCAAAAGTTAATCCAATGATTGCTACTAAGATAAATTCTTGCTGTCTGAGTACCGGAGTACCGATGGAACGTGACTTTGGGTATGAACTATTGACATCCCGATGTTTCAAAATACTTTTCATTCCTACATTTAATTACCTTGCTCAGCAATATTCCGTTTATCGTTGGCCAGCCCCACTAGACACAGCACAAAGGCCGACGTAAAGTATGTTGTTCTGAGGAAATCCGACCATAAAGTAATATATCGATATGCATTAGCGACATGCCGTTTACAATGAATACTCCAATACACGTAGAAACTTATGGTCCACGAAAGTGATAACAATGCAATCATCAGACGATATATGAAGAAAACTGCACGATTTTGTCCCCACTGTAACATATAAATACATTGGTTACATCGACATATAAAACCAAATTTTGGTGAACGAGAGAAAAGAGCATCATTGTTGATTGCATATGAAATCAATATATTGCAACAGCGCTCCAGATTTTATCATTTGTGCTATTTGACTCAATTCGATTACATTTCTGTATAAGAAACAATGCATTCTAGCAACCATATTTTCAACAACAATTGTCAAGTCTGAATTACACGAATATACAAATTTTCTTTCGACAATAGAAATATGATAAATATTGGAGACACGAATTTCCAGTAGTTTTCGATGTTCATTACAAATTTTGTTGTTAGTTCGAACCATGAACATGGCTAATCATTAGCGGTAAGCTAGAATATTATTCTATCCGAATAATCCCAATCGCTGTGGATTACCGATTGTAAGCTAAGTATGCGTGTTCAATCACACTTCAGCTAGTTGAGATTGGCTGTCGACTTATTTGTTTTCAATTCATTCCATCGATTTTTATTTTTAAATATAGATTAATTAAAGCAAATTTATGAGCTTTGACTCAGGAGTTGGAAATAATGGCAGATAACAGCTATGCATTTAAATATATTGTTGCGAAAAAAGCACTAGTTAATATCGTTTTAAGTATAAACGATTCCACGCTGACATTGCAATAGGTAACGTCAAATCTTAAGAGGGAGGAAATTCTTCAAAAAAGAACTTTTGTAGAAAGTATCCCCCCCCCCCCCCAACGCTCAAAATAAGTAATTATCCAGTTCGAGTTTGGGATGTAGATTGCGCTGGAATTCAAACCCTAACTGGCTTTTTAAATATATATTAAAGGCGTTTAAAGACTAAATGCAAGATGCACATTGGCCAAGTTTTCAAAACGAAACGGCGAGTATTTTCAATGCCGTGCAGATTTAAAAATAATTTCTGCGATTCCAGCTCATAAATTTTCAATTTGTTTTATTACATTAGTAAAACATGAAAAGCTAAACAAAAATACTATTGTAAATTACAACGTTACCTGGGAAACGTAAAAAGATCTTTTTTCTTTGTCGTTACATGAAAATCCCATTTTTTTAAAAGAAAATTCTTCCTTCATTGATTTGCATGCCATATTTTTATAATAATCTCTTCCTCTCTACTTGAACCTGTCGTGCGCCTACTCTTGTAGAGCCACCGCCGACTGATATGTCGACGACATGACGATCGAAATATTTCTGGTTATTCAAGCGCGTCCACCGTACTTGTCTCATATGATAACAATTGTACGGAATAGACGAATACACAAACGCTAAACCAGTTTAGTGAAACGATTGTCGAACTCGTCTCATTGATGTCCGTTCGTTCACTTCACTACATGATTGTACTCTTTTCAAACAGTAACCCAGGGAAATGAATACTCGCCCCAGATATCAGCATATAAAATACTAAAATAAATATCAATAGATCCACCTAAAATAAATTTAATTATGACTGGACTATGATATTTCGTGAATATAAAATATTGAAATTATAGTGCAGCGCTTTAATATATATGTACACAAAGTACGTTACCGGCACTTATTTCTCGACGCCGAGTGTGAGGTAAACAGCTTCTTATTCTACACACTATAAGCAGCTCCCCAATATTCATCCGCCGTGTCTCACCTTTAAGTCCCAAAAAACAATGCGATTATCACAAACATGAAAAACAGTAAGCTCGACTTTCGTCAATCTTTAGATGTCATTAAAATATTGTTGACGTTTTTTTGTTGACTGATAATGGTTGATTGATTGTGACGTCAGAACAATGTAGGATGTTTTTCTAAAGATATAAAATACCAGCTGTTGCCAGGCCTGAAGTCAGAATTTCCGACTGAAACTCGAAAAGCATTGAGTTGACTAAGAATTCTCAAGTACTTGTAAAAAGGCTCGCATACGCCAAAGTTTTGTTTCCGAAATTGCATTTTATTGAAGTTTCGGAGCTGTAGTCAAAATTTCCCCAACCCGTAGTCATTGTTTGTATGGCTCGGGCCTCAGAGTTTGGTGTTGGGTGTAAGTTTTCGCCACATTTCCTATGTGTCCATGCACCTTTCCAGATATTTTCGTGTTCCAGGATGTAGCATTCGTTGGCGAGAGTAAATTATCTGAATATTTTTCTTCCTGCAAGCATAATGAGGTTCAACGATAAGGGCTACAGCCGCTAGCGTTTGATTTGAAAAGCTTCATATTCTCATGCACGGCTGCAACTATAATGGGCCAGCAAAATGGAAATCTGAAAAACAGCTAAAAGCTCTATATGAGGAGCTTAACTTAGAACTATGCGATAGGAACAATTTTAACACCACATTTATTAACAAGAGAGCTATGGTCAAATATATGGACACGTAGCGCCACCTAATGGCAATAATTTTGATGACGTCATAGCAAAATAAAAAATAAAGTAATAGCCTTCTGAAGAACATTTTTATCTTTAACCACTGAAAATTTCAAAGCAATTGGTCCAGTAATCAAAAAGAAAAGCGATTACTTCAACACGTGGTAAAGAACAACATAACAACGAAACGATCGTTATGTCCACTAAACGTGTCCAATATTTAATGTATGCTACTATATAAGCTATGTTAACATTAGGCCTCGGAATGGTTGACCGGTTGACTAATTTTAGATGATTAACGGTTACGATTTATTTTAACCGTTAACTGACATCTCAGGTACAAATCATTTTTATACTGTACAATTTCTTCAAAAATGATTACGTCATCGCGAATTTTTCTCCTGTGGCGTTTGATTCAAAAGAAGATCACTAACTGTATGGGTAAGGTCTCAATAAATGTAAAGAAATATTGAAGTACCAAGATTGATGAATATGAAAACATACAATGATAAATTCAGAATCAGTTTGCAAAATCGTATATTCAATGGCATCCAACAAGTGCGCAGATGATGCCGTTTTACTTTATAATATCTCGAAGTAGAATTTGTACATCGAACAATAAAAATTTGTCACATAAATGGATAACGAAATCGCGTTTTCTAAAATACTTCCACATGTCCGAACAACGCTGCATATCTCTTGCAGAAGTATGGTGGCCCATCGTTGTCACGCGTAAAATTGAAAATAAAAATAAAAAATAAAATAAAAAACCGAAAATAAAAAAATAGTTGTGAAAAAACATAAAAATAATTGAAAAAAAAATGATAAAAAAAATTAAAATTAAAAAAAAAAAAATTGAAAATAAAAACGAAAAAAAAGAATGGAAAAAAAATTTGAAAAAAAAAAATTAAAAAAAAAAAAAAAATTGAATCAAAAGAAAATAAAAAGGTTGACAACGATGGTCCGCCTCGTGGCCCATCGTTGTCACGCGTTTTTATTTTTAGAAAATTTGCTTCTGCTTGGGACCAACGTTGTCAGGCATAATCCTACGCGCACAAATGTGTTCCCTGGGTTTCCAACTCACTACTGATTTTCTTGAGCAATATTCAATATGAAAATGTTCTATAAATTCTCCATGCTACAAGTTCAACAAGACGTAATATATTTATAATAAGGATAAGAGAATATAGAATTGAATACGAAAATTCGGAAAATTTGTTTTTACGTGTAGAAGGTAATTGAATTGGAGAATGCTGCTTAACTACTCAGTTGTCTGGACACTCGCGATGCCGGTACCGTACCGTCTTACCAAATACCGGTAGTCGGTTATAGTCCCTCTGCGTCTGACCGTACCGGTAGCCATGCAATCACTCATGAGAGAATGGGAGATACGGATAGTCTCGTAGAATATAGACTACTGAGACACTCTCTGCGCCTGCCCCATACCGTACAGTACCGATCCAGACAAGTGATAAATCGCCCGTGCTCAACCATTTATTTCAATCCATACCTCGATCCTAGTAGAATATAGTGAGTCGAGGTATGAATTGAAATAAATGGTTGAGCAAGGGCGATTTATCATTTGTCTGGATCGGTACGTTACGGCTGTACGGTATGGGGCAGGCGCAGAGAGTGTTTCAGTAGTCTTTTTCTACGAGACTATCCGTATCTCCCATTCTTTCATGAGTGATTGCATGGTCAGACGGTACCGCACCGGCATCGCACGAGTGTCCAGACAACTGAGCAGTTAAGCAGCATTTTCCAATTAAATTACCTTCTACACGTAAAAACAATTTTTCGTATTCAATTCTATATTCTCTTATCATTATTATAATTGTATTGCTTGTGGTTGAACTTGTAGCATGAAGAATTTATAGAACATTTTCATGTTCAATTTATTAAATATTGCTCATGAAAATCAATAGTGAGTTAGAAACCCAGGAAACACATTTGTGCGTGTAGGATTAGGCCTGACAACGTTGGTCCCAAGCAGCATCAAATTTTCTGATAATAAAAACGCGTGACAACGATGGGCCACGAGGCGGACCATCGTTGTCAACCTTTTGATTTTCTTTTTATCTAATTTTTTTTTAAATTTTTTTTTTTTTAATTTTTTTTTTTGTTTTTTTTTTTCGTTTTTTTTTCCAATTTTTTTTTTTAATTTAAATTTTTTTTTTTTTCATTCCTTTTTTTTCAATTATTTTAATGTTTTTTCACAACTATTTTTTTATTTTCGCTTTTTCATTTTTTTTTTTAAATTTTACGCGTGACAACGATGGGCCACCATACAGAAGAGCAATTATGTACTATCTCGATTCGTGAATAATTTTGAGCGATATCGGGATAAGATCACGTAAAATTGCTTTCTAACCATTGTGACGTAACAAGCCGAAATTATAAATTGTTACAATTGGTTACAGGTGACCGTACATTTGTACCCATGTACATTTGAACCCATGCGTATATCCACGGGTTCAATCTATATGCGGATGCTAAAACCCATGGGTTAGGGTTAGTATGGGTTCAACAATCCGTGAAACAAAAAAAAAATCCATAGGTGCAATAGCATACAGGTGCAATTGTCATGGGTTCAAATGTACGTGGGTTCAAATGTAATGGAACCGCTGAAGCAGGGTGGTCCATGGTTGCGAGGTTGAAGAGCCGCCTTTTGAGGAGGTCTCGCGGGCCACAGTCGGAGAAAACCCAAAAGTAATTAAAACATCGCGCATTTACTCACTTCAAATTTATTTAAGAATGAGCGCTTATCGTTCTAATCAGTTTTTCAAGGAACCTATATAAAGCCTTTAGTTTTTTTTTTAAATTGCTTCCCGAATCCCGAGAAATATCGTGATATTTTTGGTATCTTTTTTCGTGTTTGGTTTTGTAATGTCGCTTAAAATTATATTCTTTCTTGACGGATATTACTAGAAAACACACCAGACACTGTGGCTTAACGTTGTTGTGTGTAGGAAATACGTTTCATCTTAGTTTACTTCGGTCACCTTTTTTCTACACTCATTGTATGATGAATTGTTATATTTGAAAAAAGTTATTACTTGTAGCGTGAGCAGGCCCAGTGCTCCCATCAAAAACAACCAAGTCCGTCCAAGTTGGGACCTCACACCCAGATAAAAAATATAAAAAAAACTGGATTGCGCGGGACTAAGTCAGCTCTGCGGTTCGTCACTGCTGTCACGTGACCAACGCTTGTGAATAGAGGAGGCACAAAACGTTTTTTCAAATGAGGAGTTTCTTGACGCGAGCCATCTCATCGACTTGGTCCAGTCTGCACAAGACAATTCATTCCTCTTTTATCGATCACAAGACGTAATTCCCATATAGCAGTAGTTTTAACCTTTTGATACCCTTTTACTGATGCGTACCACTTTTGTGTTTTATACTCTGGTCGCGTACCACCGACAAAACTCTCTTCAGGGGTTGGGACCAATGGCAAAAGAAACTCGCGGAGTATTTAATATGACACTACACCCATTTTAGACCTTTGTGCAAAGTTTCAACGTATTAATTGTATAAACTATAAAGTAATAACGTAATTGCATGCAAAATCGCGAGATGATTTGTGTGGTCTGCCGTCAGAGCTGAAAAGCTTTAATCATCGTTTTGTTTAGGTGGAAGTAGCGGTCGAGGGTGATCTTAAGACAGGAACTGGTAGCGCTATAAACCCGTTGGAAGCAAATGTAAGATAAAGCGTTGCCGCCATATTTTAACCAACTCAAAAGTTAATTGTTGCAATAATGCAACGCTCTTCATGCACGCTCACCACAGGTTGAGAAGCACTGCCATATAGGCACCGTCTTGACGTTTATAAACACAACAATGAAATTCCGTGATTTTAACAAACATCAATCCCGACATCGGGATTAGGAAAAGAACTATTCCCAGTTGGAATAGTTTAAAAATAAATCAAAATTGTTCTGCTAATAAATACAAATATATTCCAATGGTTTAGTAGTGTACGCTAAAATTATTCGGCGGGCCGCACAGACTGCGGCCCGCGAGCCGCAGTTTGGATCACCCTGTGCTGAAGTTAATAATTGAAATAATCTTCACTAAAATCCCTAATACTTCCCCAGTTATGGGGTATTTTCTTCTGCAAGAGGTAGAGTTCTTGAAATTTCAATTTTTGACTTGGTTGACGAGAAAGCGACAATAAATTGTGGAAAAATCGGCGATTGGCGCGTTTTTTGTTGTTGTAATGAAAACGAAACAATCCGGATTTTCTATGAAACGCACATTACTATAGTGACAGGAAAACCCACGTGAAGAATTTCATCCAGATTGATCAAGCCGTTTGGACGCTACATCTAGAAAGACAGACAGAACGACTGATAATAAGCGTCTCCCCTTCTGTATGCGTTTGTCACTCGAGGGCAGAGGTGGACAACACCTGATTCGTCGCAGCTTTAGTGGTCGGTCGATCGTGTGTGATGTCGAGAGAACTTGACTTTTGTTTACCACCGCCCCAGAAAAATCTCTCCGAGTGAAAGAAGCGACTGCTGAAATTTTAATTGTTACGTCGCCGTTGATGTCTTACTAATTAGCAATGTTACAGAAGTAAGCAAGGACGCCGATGCATTTTTATATTCATTTTTATTCATATATATATATATATCGTAGCGATGGTTTGTTAAATGTCGTGGGTGACGGAGTTACTTTATTTCTAAATGTAAACAAGGTATAATACCGGACTAATGTATACCATTATAATTGGTATGAACATGTTGAACGCAACTTTGAGCAGACAAGGCCTGTATGACAGGGATAGGTTAATTGAATTATAGCAGATATATGGCATCAAATAATTGTGGTGTGATACAACATGGCCGTACTATTTTCGTGACGGGGAAATACCTAAAACGCATCAAAATATGCCTAATAGCTGAACACAAAAATGGCTGGGCGTTTGTTAATTAATATAGTTTGTAAAGGTGAGTCGAATTTTCGTGTTACAAAATCCTTTCTAGGCAACATGGTAATATAAACATTTACAAAAACATTCAAAACACCTTCGAATCGGCGTCGTGATTTTCTATGGCTTAAGACTTAAATATGAAGATTATTTTACACATAACTAAGTATTTTAATTATTATATGTATTTGCACAAATCACAAAATGTTTAAAGAAGATGTTAGTAGTATGTTGTCAGTATTCATATTCGACGAAGATCAAAATGCTTTACATGGTGCCCATAATTTATCATTCAAACATTCATCACGTCGTATATTGATGCAGGCAAACACGAAAGTAATTTGGTTCATTGTGCCAGCGATGAAATAACGAAAGGGAAAAAATGGCAGGTTCGCCTGAGGTTAATTTTGCGTAAAAAAAGAGGCGAATCCCCAAGTATCAAGTGGTAAAAAGACAAGTCATTCTACAACAACAATTTAAGTAGGATACTTGAATGATGGATATATTTTGTGAATGATGGATAGATAACTGTTTATTCATCATCCAACCAGTAGTTAACAATCAAACATAACACAATATATAAAAACTCAAACAACCGACTAATTACAGAATTTATAGGATGTCGGAAATACCATAGATCAGGGCTACTCAACTGGCGGACCGCGGTCCGAATCTGGACCTTCGAGTATTTTATTCGGACCGCACCTAATTCTTTATTTTAGAACATTAGCCCCACTTTTAAAGTTTCCTTTTATAAAATGACTCTTGTAGTTTTGAATATATATGAAAAGAACTATAACACCATAATAAGCAATTTTGATTGAATAATAATCATTAGCCGGTCGAGGAAGTGTGCGTTTTTAAGGATGCCGATATATGAATTCTGGAAAGACTGGACCGAAATAATTTTGAAGTTGTATGCGGATCTTCGGTAAAAATAGTTGAGTAGCCCTGCCATAGATCACCAAATCCCCCTAGATTACAGATTGAGGATTATATGCTGAAATGAATAAAAGTTGGATATATATTTGTCAAAGTTTCTTTGGTTGTATTTGCCAAATACTTGTATCTTCTATCCGTGATTATGAGCACGGCGAGATTTCAGTCTCATACAAAGACCGTTGCGAGGTTGTAATATAGGAATAGCAGACATAGACGGTTCCTCGTCACCGGAAAATTTCCAGTCTTTAAAGTGTGCTATCATTTCTATGACCGTTAGCTTGATCACAAGTTTGGCGAAATGGTTGCCCGGGCATATTCTCGGTCCACCTCCAAAGGGTATCCAACTAAAAAAAGAATATAAGATTGTCAACCGAAACTAGCAGACTTCATTACTTTTAGGAACAGAAAATCACAGGTAAGGATAATTGAAGAGATGTTTATTAGGATGGTTGAATATGGTCTTCGCCAGATTTTACTTGGAGCAGTTTGCCCGCCCAACACGGTATTTTTTACAACAATAACTACACGGGTAATATTAACAACAACAGCGATACATCGGTCCAATACGTGTCCAATAACAATTGCAAGTATTCGTTTGTGAAAAGGATTACCGGAATCTATTGTCTTTGTTTTTCGTCCAGTTTTCACGAGAGAATCTGTCAGGGTCAAACACATCGCTGTTTTCAAATTCGTTTTTGTGAGTGCCTCTGATGTCATAAATCACTGTCCAGGCTTTTGGAATTCGATAATTCTGTTGAAAAATTAATTTAAATTATAATATTTAATTAGTTACTTGATCCAATACACTTTGGTGTTGCGGTGGTATAGCAAATAAAATAGAAAATCTGATTTTTTCATTTCTTTGTCAGCCCTTCCGAAAAATGTTAAACTCCATTCTGGGATCCTAAATTTAAGCAAGAGAGTGATGCTTAAATATACGGACACAAAAGCCAAAATTAAGTAGTACTCTCACAGTAGACTCCAGGAACCGCAGTCTTCACAAATTTGCCTGACAACCAGATCGCAGCTAGCATGAAACTGCCACAATACGCGCAATTTTAAATTTTGGTGACGTCATCGCACGTAACAAACTAATCCCATAGAGATAAATAACGAAGCCCACAGGAATGAATAAAAGTAATATCATTTTAGCGGAAAATGAAATATTTACCCACTGAAATTTTCGAAGCAATTGGTCCAGTATAGTTAATGAGAAAAACAAGAAGAAGAATTAAAACATTAACAAACAACAATAACATAATAATATTAACAAAACGATCCATATGTAAATTTCGTGTCCAAAAACTTTAATTCTCAAATTATTTTTGTTCAAGTCAAATTGTGAGAAAATAACCAGAAGTCATTTTATATCATTCTCGTACTTCTGGTCACTCCTCATTGTGAACAGTGAAGATGCAAATATGAGTGACAGAAGATATTACATGATATACCGCAATTGGAAATATAAAATTAGAATAATATAACGCAATTTATATGATTATCTGTTTTGAATCTCTCACCCCAATTCGAAATGTTTTCCGTGCCTTTCTAAATCCACCCGTGATTGGCGGCATTATTCTCAAAGTCTCTTTCACAACTTGCTCGAGATAGGTTAATTTTTGAATTTGTTCCAAGCTCGTCACAACAGAACCCTCAGCGAGTAGGCCATTTTCTTTCAACTCTCCTTCAATCCTTTTTCTGACATCTGGATATTTTGTCAACTGTATAATAAGTGATGAAATACCACTTGCTGTTGTTTTAAATCCAGCAAACATAAGTTCGACAGCGTTTTGCTTCAGCTCATCGATACTGAATCCACATTTCTTATGTCGTTTGTACCCGTTTTCAGATTCTTCTTCCGATCCGTTTGATCTGAAATATAGCAATACTAATTACCACCAAGTTGGAACAATGAAAAACATTTTTGATTTATTTATGAGTCGAAGTATTAGACAATACTTGTTCTTCGCGTTCAAGAGATTGATATTAATTTTGGAACTTTTATTCTGTTTATTGTTATAAAAATTTTCCGACATTGCTTTATTTGAATATCTAAACCAGTGGTGTCAAACTCGCGGCCCGCCGGCCGCATACGGCCCCAGAGGACTTCCAATGCGGCCCTCGAACGTTTAACAATAATTGTAATATTTTGTAAGGTTTTTTATTTAAATGTAATACATTTTCAACCCTTTCAAAGTGAAATTGATTATTCACACAGAATACGACAATTTACTGAAAGTAGTTTTGGAAAATTACAATTTTTTTTGTTCACATTTTGATTCAATTATGATGAATACACCTCAAGCTAGCAAAAAATACTTGACGAAAACACTTCAGTGATTAAATGAAACGCAGAGTCATGAAAAATGTGGCATTTTTGAATAAAAATGGGTGTTGCAATATTTCTGCATTTCAAAATGATCTAAAATCTAAATTAACCGATGATCATGTGACCTTGTTAATTAGAGTTGGTGCAGTAAAATCATTTCAGCCTGATATTAGCAAGCTGTTGGCGCAATAGAGATGCCAAACGTCAGGGCAAATGTAATGAATAACATTGAGTTTATTCTGTATTTTGTAAAATTTAAGGTTTATACATTTAGATTAGGTCATTTTAGTGTATGTAATATTCTTTCCTTATCAATAGTTTGTTCAAAAATGTTTTGGATAATTGTACAAAAATTTTTTTGATTTTTTGTAATAAATACAGTAAATTGCAATAATAGTAAAATGCAAGAAATTACTATGTGAACGGCATTTGAAATTTAAGAAAATAATAAAACTTTATTCGGCTGTTTAATTACATTACAATATATGTCACAAACTACATCTATCTTAAAATATGCCCAAGGTATACATTATCAAAATATATCAAAAACTGTTCGCGACCCTTGGCGCAATTCCCAAAATACTATGCGGCCCTCGAAAACCCACGAGTTTGACACCCCTGATCTAAACGATGAATTGGCATACATATATATTATTTCAAACTTTTAGGTATTTATCCATTTTGCAATCATTATATTTCATCCATCTTACTTTATCTTTTCCATCATGTCTGCTTCCAGTATACGCTGTATAACGTCATTTTCTGCTGGAGTTTCTTCAATGCTTTCTTCGTTTCCATTGGCATTTATTCTTTCAACTTTCTTCCTCAAGTGATGGTCCAAAATGGCATGTATGTAATTTCTGCTATTCTGTGCCTAAATTGTAACATTCTTTACGGCTTTGCAATAATTTTAATTAACAAAATATTAGCTGTAATATTGTCTAAAAAATACCATCTCACCTTCCGAAATCCTGAAAATGGTAAATTGTATGGAAAACAGAAAATATTTCTAATCATCTCTTGAAATATGTGACATGTCTTTTGCATTTCTTCTTGATTTTTCCATTGAAGTCCGGTCATTACTTTCACAGATACTTCAAAAGTCATCTCCAGAATATTGTTATGGATATCAACTGGTTCGTCCAAATTATTCCATAAACCAACCTGAAAATATTGCAGTATTTCGTTGTTCAATGCAATAAACAAAACATTTTCTCCATGAAAGTATAAAACTATTATCTCATTGATCATTTTTCCTTGTATCAAGTTCGTTTGTTCTCTCCAGAACAAAATACTATTCTGATGCTTGTCAATTAGTCTGTTAAGCAGAATTTTTTCTATTTTACAAATTTGTAATTTAAAAGAAAGCCAAATTTTGATTATCGTGTATGAATTGAAATGAAATAATTAGTGCACGCCGATGACTTATTGGAACAAAATCGTGATCATTTTTACTGATCATATTTTTATACCTAAAAAAGCAAACAATAGCATATTGTAATAAAAATTGCTCGTGCACAACGTTTAAAAATTATCAATTACTTCAATTTCAATGGTAATTCAAATTTCGAGCGCTGGTAGGTTGTTCAAAAAATTGTTCCACCATTACCCAATTTTAATAAAGATTATATCAATAATGAAGAACACAGATATTTTTATTTTGGAATATTATTTTCAGTCTGTGAGAATAGATTACCGTACACTTCATCAAAAATCACAGTCATTGGATTAACTTAGCTATGTGGTCATTTCAGACCTACAAGTAATTTTATCCTATCCTAGCAAGTAAACTGATCATTTGTTATTTGAAATGTAAAAAATTGGGTAGATATGCTGAAGCGGAATGTTCATGTTAATTTCAAACTTGGTAGCTCGCGACTTGAAAGTAGATGCTTGTATTGAGCCATGTTCATGGATGAGTATAGAAAAATAAAGCTTCACCTTTATGTTGATAATTTTTTTTGTGTACGATATATAGCTATTCAGTGCAGCATGTGTGAAACCTTTCATTACCATCTTTCGGAAGTAGGCGTGTTCGTTACCGCTCATATTCGATATTGATTTTCCCCCTAATATCGTACGGAACGTATAAGGCCATACCGATATCACATTTACGTGTTCACCCTGTAGTATCTGTGTGATAAAAAATAAAATTTTGCAAGTATGATATTAGTTAGAATTTACCAATATAAAGCTGATGCTCTCGAATATTTGACGCTTCGCCATTTTGTGTTAATTTCATGTACAAGCCGCGCTTCGCGATTGTTTTACTTATTTTACAATATCCAAGCGATTTTAAGTATGGATGTATTTAAGATGTATACTACCTGTCTAACGTTTTCCGCCCCTGTGACCCTCACAGTCGGGTTTCCTAGCATGTGTGTGCTAAACACTTTTCCGTATTTTTGCTGTCTTTTAGTTGTGAATGTAACTCCCTGCAATCCAAAAATATTCATGTTAAATAATCAACAAATGTTTTTCCAATAAATGCACTAATGAGTCAAAAATCTTCCTATCTCACAAAATTCGATGAAACAATTATTATTTGCTCGCATTGATAAGGTATATGTTTCTAGCATGAAGCAAACAGTTAACTAGAGTGAGTGAACATGAACCGAGACTGGTGTTACATCTTTGGCGACTCAGAACTGGAATCGCCTATAATGCCTCAAATTTTCGTTCAATTCGATAAATCCTATCCATACTTGTTACATATGTGAAAACGTCACAGCCAACGCATTAAAACAGTACACAGAACATTCAATTTTTACATAAAATTTTCTGCTTGTTATTGTTGTAGGAAATTATATAAAAATTAATCCACTCGAAACGGAAAGTCAAAAAGTGTTGCGATTCATGGGGCGGTAAACTGCGAGAATATTTATACACATGGTAGCTCCAGTGCTGCTTTCTAACCAATTATAAAATTCAACTTTAAGAATGTTATCACCATTACCTCAATCGCCCAGGATAGTGTTTCTCCAATAATCGGCAGTCCAAAATTTCCCGGAGGTATAGGCAGATTTCTTACAGAGATTTCGGATTCCGAATCGTTGGCCGATACCAGGATATAAATTTTCCACAAATACTTGGTGAGCAAAAAACCTGCAGCTGCTGCCACAAAAATGTAACATGTCATCGAAATATATGCTTTTAATAGACTTGCGATGAACTCGAAGTAGCACATTATCCACTTGAACTCGGTGTATGTAATTAACTTCAAGTTTATTCACATGTTTAATTGAAAAAAAAAATTAATTAATCTTTGAAATATTGATTTATCAAATATAAAGTTCGACTATATTGTATTGTTGCTGTCATTTGGTATTTGAGAATGAATACCTGTCTCGTTGCATCGTTTTCTAGTCATCAACGATTTGATTGATAATTCGTGATTACAAACATTAAAATCTAATACTAATTAACATTTATCTTCAAGACCCATTTTAGAAAATATAAAAATATGTTTCAATGCAGTTTAACTGTTTTAGTAAACTGGTGATGCTTTCGATATCTCAAAGTTCTTTTCACATTCATCATCGGAAGTTCTTGCTATATGCTGAGATAATCATTTTTATCCGAAACTTTTATACCCAAGTTTTTGTGCTATTGGCAGAATTAAAATTGAAAATTTGAAATATAAGAAAAGAAACTTTTTCGTGATATTCACATTTTCGACCGCGTTGGCGTTTTATAGAAAGAGTACATTTTTTTCTCTCACATAGACTAGTTGTTGTTATTTCTTTTTTTCTTGGACGATGGTGGATTATTCGCTGCAAAGTTACACGCACAATGGTCTCGGAAAATTGGCGGCCATCAAAATTGATAACATGAACCTTCGGTTTAGTATTGGATAGGCCAGTGTCCGACCAGTGCCCATTACCCACCTATAACGTACGACAGTGGAGAGGTAGCAAGTATATGACGGATTCCGAATAAACTTCACATGATCAAATCTGGAACGATTAAATATTTTCTACACTTTGTGTTTTCTGTAAGTAGTCGATACGAAAAAAAATATACATGTATTTTCATTGAACATAGAAAATACAAACTCATTTTTATTGAGATTGTTCTACATTCTTTGCCTTTTGGACCACAACATAGCGTATAACGCAACGTGGTAATCAAAATGGCGATATGCGGAGGATCTATTATTCCAAAACTCAATTAGATTAATCCTAGGTAGGTAATAAACAGGAGTTCAAATTTTCCAAGGGCCATCTATCTATCAATAATGAATCCATGATAAATTGAAGACAGCTAGCGCATACTAGTACGTGATCCTTTTATTTGAAAGAGAAATTTGTAAATATAAAATCTTTTACTAATTTTTTTCTTTTTATATTTGATCAAGCAGTTTGTAAGTTGACCAAATAATGGGGAAAATTTATGAATGTGATACAGTGATGATGATTTTTCGCTGTCAAGTTTGGTTAAATTATTATGAGATTTGGATGCGAATGTATATTACAAAAACTTCTCGAAAGCTATAATACTTCACAGCTGTTTTCGAGTTATTGAAATTGGTTTGAGATCATCAAAGATAATTTAAAATAATACTGTGTTATTCATCATGCCTTTCTGTATATCTTATATCAATTTTGATCGGAACTTAACCTTATAAAGCCCAAGTCGTATTAGGATGTAGCAACGAATGAAATATGTAACATCACCAGTGGTTTTCTAATTGCAATTGTTGCAGCCCCGCAAAGGGAAAAATAATAACAAAAGAATGTTTCTTTCAATATAGTTATTGTACTGCGGTGGTTTTCAAAGTGCATGTAAATCGGGGGTTGAACGTATCGGCTTACAGTTGAAATAGGGTCACCATGGATAATATAGGGACCTATCTCGGCAATTGATCTGCAATACAGATTTATCTATGGCAAATTTAAGGTCAATTCCAATCCTTACCTATTCTAATAGTCTACTCTAGACTCTAGAATCTCCCAATCAATTGCGTTTTTAAGATATTTATATACTGTAATCCGCCTTTTTAGCATCAAGGAACGAAAATTAGTCGTTATTCAAAATAGTTCTGGTGCCTTTATACGGGTCAAAAGTACGGTCAAACGTTCGGAGTATATATAAGTTTGAAGTATAAATACATAGAAGTTATAACTGTTTTTCTGTCTATCCGAACTTACTATCTACGTGAACTATTGACCCTATGGCCCGGTGAACCACCCGTGTCCTTTTAGGCTATGTCAGGCTTATTAAAGTCTTTGAACCTTATTTATTTTTATTAAACCGTTGTTAAGCATTTGACAATTGAACTAAATTTGCTCTTCAAATCCGATATTACCGTCTGCGTGACCTTTTTGAAACACCGTGCCCCTTTTTGTATGACCCCCGGGTGAACCATATGAAAGGTAAACAAGAATGCACAAATTTCTATCGTTCACACGAGCACGCGTTTTATGTCACATGAAGGCACGCAATTCCATGGTTCAACATTCGGTCACTTTGCCGTGTCGACTATGTGACGTCACATCGATTAAAGAAACCCGAAATAGAAAATCGTTATTTTGCATTTGTAGATGTTATTAGATGTTCGGATATGTAAATGTTATTAGTTTTCTCGACTATCCCATACTCTCTAGCGATTTCCAGTCGAATGACCCATGCTTTGTGAAAACTAAAATATGGGATAGTCGATAGTAATATCTAAAATATGACATTAGCACGCACGATGAGTATGCAAAAAACGTCTATGCAAAGAGGGTTCGAGTCCCGTTGAACCACTGTAATGGTTGCCAAAGAATCAATGCACAAATTTTAGGAAAGAGACTTTGTCACCCATAAAACAGAGGTACCAGTATGTTCGGCCCGTCACGTAATATGCCCCCATGTCGCACGTTGAATTAAATAAAACAAAGACCGCATCTGCGGTTTAAATTTTTCTTGAGGGCAAAATTTGGTTTCTTGGAATCCCGGATTATAATAAAATTAATGTCGTAATCTAGACGAAAAAGATAAGTCGATATTCTGATTCCTGACTGCGTGCGGTTTATCAAAACAAAACAAAAAACTATTTTTCATTCACTTATACTTGAGAACGAACGACATAACCGTGTTTTGTGTATGCCAGTGAATAATAATGTAAATTTAGATTTACTATACATGGTTTGACAATTGTGTGGATCATTGTTGTGCAAGGAAATATTGACCAGAGACTGGAGGAAATACATTTGCAATAATATCGTCGCTAGACAGGGGTAAATATTACACGCTAATGCTATATAATATGTAATATACAGCCTATCTGACCATTGAAGTAGCATATAATCTCTGGTCTGAGCGTTGGAAATAACTCACCAAAACACTATAGACTAGCAATATTTATTATGCAAAAAAACAATTTTTTGTTGGTTTATTTGAAATAGACTTCATAAATCGAAACTAATGGGTTAATGTTTACCACCAATCAATAAGAAGAGTATATTTTAAATTTTTTTTTTCGGACGTGTTGTATTATTTAAAGCAGTAGAAATAGTGTCCAGAAAATTTTAATACCTGACTAAACTAGGACTCATCGATGCACACGTTGTGATAATGGGGTATATAGTATGTTGCCCAGGCGACAAAATTTAGAGCGTAGGAAATGTTGAAGTATATGTTTAAATGAAATGCTAAATATATCTGCGTGGCCTGTATTTGGGGATCTTAGATCGTACTTTCAAAATTAAATTTGATTCGTTTATAAACATTTTCCCAATTTCTTTTCTTGTACAACATAAACTTTTACTGGAGTGTATATCAACGATTCGACAAAAGCTAAATTTAATTACATCACTAAGATCATGAAAATTTGAGATAGAAGTCACATTTAAGCTATACCATGGTTTTGTATTTGTGTCACTCCAGATGACTTAATAACAGTTAAACTGAGCTATAACCCGAAGATTCGCCTCACTGTTAATTTGTCGACTTTGTTTCATTTGGCCTTGATTTCTTGAAATTTATTCAACTTTACTGGAGTAAATTGCCTTTACCGTTGTTTTTAAATGCAACTGATAATTTGATCATTTTCATTCTGCCAGTTGATATCTATTCATTGTTTTGTTTTTTTCGATTAAATACTACTAAAATATCAAATGTTATTGCTTCATAAACTCAAGATTGATTTTGGGAACAAGACTAAAGTCACCATTGTAAAATATACATTTATGTGAGAAGTGTTACTATCAATTATGTGTTTACATTTCGTATACGTTGGTCTTTGGTTGGGTCTCGTAAATTATGTGGGAAAGGCATTTTCTTCCAGTTGACAATGACGCATTGTTGCGTATGTTCAATGTTTTTATACTTTTATCTCAAATTCGAAAAAGCGGGTCGAGTTGATTCCCTAACGACTTTTTGTAAAAACATTTTTTAC